ACGTGCGACACGTGACCTTAGTCCTGATGACTAAGCAGCGATGAGGCCTTTCACCTCATCGCCGCAACCTTAGCTAGAACGTCTTCCACAGCTAGAAATGCAACCACAAAACGACATCTAGGCCAGCACTAGTGCACACACCTTGTGATACCAACACCAACTCCTCCAACTCGCCACGAAACCCAACCTAGCTGACATTCAAAAGCAAAAAACCCGAAACAATAATATATGACCCAGATACGCAAACCAAAAAAAAAAAAAAAAAGGATAAACATGCGAAGCAAACAGCAAGCCCACATCTACTTCTCCCCCATATCGATCAAATCGTTTTCTGCCTCCAAGGGTGCTTTATTAAAATTAGCAGGCTTTCCGATAGTAGGCATGCCCTGCTTCCACTACACGTTCGCGAAGTTAGCATTGCCTAAACAAGAAGAGATTTTGAGATTTTGAGAGGGTTCGGAAGCATTCTAGATGTCGTTAATTCTAGTGACTCGGAACTCCCAAGACACTATAATATACTCCCAAATCTACCAAAAATAGGGAATTAAATGCTCGGGGAACATGCATACCATCTGACTAGGCGCTTCGTCAAAGTTGGCCGAGTTATATCTCCAGATGGACTGGACATTTGAACCGGGCTTTGTAAGCTCGTAAGCTTCAAAATCCGTCCAGAATCTATTATCGGGAGTATCTGCAGCGTCCTTTGGCATCAAAATGCGGGCATTACCACCGCGGACAGCTGCGAGTCGCGCAGAACCGTAAGATGCAACCATATCATACCAAAGGGGTTTTCCGGCAGGTACCGGGCCTACTTGGGTGGGCAAGTCTGATGGGTTCATTACCTGACCCATCTGCTGGATATTATCGGTAGGTTGAACAGGAGCGTCCCCATCTTGGCGAAATTTTCCCGCTTTGAAACCGTCTTGGAACTTGAGCACGAGCTCAGCGCCGCCTGGTTCAGTGGCATCTGAGTCCAGCTTAGTGTAAAAGATCCACGGCGTTTCTGTTTGTGTAGCTTTGAGGATGTTAAACCAATTTGCGAAGCGATCAAATGCCTCTCGTTGTGGGGTGCCTTGTTTCAAGCCCGCTGCAACTAGTTCATCTTCTGTTCCCAGAGTTGCTACTTTCGGAGCCGGTGCCGCGGGAGGGGCAGCTTCTGGTGCAGGATTACTGCCGAAGCGTGGTGGTGGATCGGCCGAACCTGCCGGGTTACTTTCGGGTGGTGCCGAGCCTGGAGCTCCCTTTGTAGGACCCGTCACGGGCTCAGGTTCGGGACGTATAATTGGAGGAGCTCGGCGAATTAGGTCTTCCAATGCTTTTGGCGCTGCTGTCAAGTCTTTTCTGAGTGGAAAGCCACATGACAGATGTTGCGTGACGAGAATGGCTGCAACAAGCAGAGTGCTTTTACCAGAGAGAAACTTCATTTCAGAAAACAGAAAGAGAGTTCAAGGTGGAGTGATGGTTGATATGATAGTTTATGAAATGGCGAGATAAAATAGATAGGGCGTTTGAAGAGCAGAATGGAAATTCTTGTTGTGGTAATGATCTGGATATCTTCTACGAAAAGAACCATTTGAGGTTTTATATATTTTTCTTTCCAAAGACCTACTACTTTTAGGTAATTTATCTGATGGTTAAAATAGCTTTGATATCATTTCTCATGACATACATGAATCCTTCTGGTTCTATTATCGGGCTGTCCTGTAGGCTGTATCGACGGGTTGACACTTTGCCGTTCTATCTTGGAACTATTAACACACGCTAGGTGGTTGAATCCTTTCTAGTCTGACCAAGACCGTACGCATCTGACAATTCCAAGCGGTTAGATGTGGCGTTTCAGACAGTAGTTGCGGCCAGATCCTACTTTCTATCCTGTGTGACAGCGTGAATAGATGCGGAGGTATTTAGGTAGTGACAACTAACACCAAACTTCGTCAATATCCCTCGAATTCAACCCCCTGTAACCAACCAACACTTCTAAGCGACCAAAAACGTAGACCTCGTCGCCTCGTAACCCATAACCAATCCTAATTATAAGCCACCAACAACCGCCGTAAACAACATCACTAGGCTGACAGGTCGCTAAGCCGCCCAACAAAGCTTGATTCTTGCTAAGCAACTACATAAACAATATATCAAACATTCCGATCCCAAGTTAGCCAAGACAATAGCCGAGAGTAACCAACAAGATCTGCCTGCATAAACATTCAATTCTTCTTCCTGATATTCAAAATAGACCGGAAGCAATCTAGTCTTATTCTTAGGATGTTTCGGTCATCCTTCCCCTGGCCAGATGATTTGTTTGTTTCAATCAGCTGTGTGCTATGGATATCAGATACCGCTGCTTTGCCTCTTCCAACATCTCAAAATAAATGTTCATGCTTCAGTATTATTTTTGTTGCAAAGTGTTATTCTAAGCTTCAGCATATGACTTGTAGTATGGAAAGGAATATACTAAGAGTTGGACTCCGTGGCATTAATCTATCGCTATATTAGTAAACATCTCCCACTTCAAAGCTCATATTATTCTCTCTATAACACAACACTCTTATATTCTAACTTCCTTTTACCTATAACTCTTTTTTGGACTTTCCATTTTCTTTCTATGACTTTTACTTATACAGATCTTCTCCGCCCTCTTTTCATCTTTATTAAAATTCACTATCCTTTCCGAAATTGACTTCACTTCCTCTTTCTCACGACGTTCAACTTCTCGAGATGGCCGCCAACGCTATTGTTCTCGTCGTAACCGCTGCCCTCTCGTTTCAGACTGTGAAGACAGCAATATTTCCCCCTCCGCCAGCGGACGAAACCACCAGCATCAAAATTGGCGCTGGATCTAACAGCGACAACGATGGAAACATCCCGGGAATCCATCTCTTTGACTTCCAAGGAAAGACAATCGGGATTAAAAAATCTAGTGGTAATATTATCGACAAGGGCAAAGACTTCCAGATTGATGTCGGCCATCTGGAGCTCCAGGACAATTCGGCTGCTCAGGTACGTCAGACTTTGCTGTTGTTTTCAGAATGATTTAGGAGCCGAGCTCTTTGGGAGACTATTTAAGAGCTCGTCTCTTGGGGCTATCAAATTATTTCTTGAATGCACATACTGATCCGTCAACTAGGCAGAGTACATCTCTATTGTAACGGGAGGCAATGATGCGCTCTATATCTCTTACGTCACAGTGACTCTCCCTACCTCAGGAGTTCAATATGCATGGAATGGGGATTTTGGCTTCCAATGTGGCGCGCTTTGGGGGTATGGCAACACGACCTTTAGCGCGGATCCTAGCGGCGGTGTCTACCAGCCTCGATGTAACTGGATTGACGGGAACGACAGTAACGGGCTTCATACTCAAGCTATCGGCATGCACCTGCCCTCAGTCCTGGCAAACCAGGCCCGGGTGGACCAGTACAACAATGATAACGATCTAATGTGTAAAGCTGACCCTCGGTTCAAATTGTACGACAAATTGGACGTAGAAGATCCCATCCCGTACTTCAAGAGTGAACCCTTTGATTTAGGCACGCTGGTAGATTTTAACCGCGACAAGACTCTCGACAAAAACAACTGGGCTACCACGCCCGTCGATAGATCGGCGCTGAAAGGTATCGGGAGTGAACGCCGTGATACAGCTTGCAGCTATGACCAAGGTCAAACATCTTCGCAGAACTCCAAATCAACTTCAGGTCATGCCATCCTTACCAATACCACCATCTGTAGTTCTGGTTCTTCTGGAAACATAGGTGAGCAAAATCCTGCTGGCGCTTCCAGTAACAATGGCAACATCAAACCCGCCGGCAACAACAATCAAACTGTTGGTAACAGCACATTCAGTGGCACTCGTACAGCACCGCCACAGAACGAAAAGCACAGGGGACAACTCATCAAGAGCGGGGCGCATTACCATAGTGCCAAAGAGCTTTGCGACAGCGCTACATCCTACGGGCCCGACTTCGTGTCCATTATCGAGGGCCTCTACTGCGACATGGAGCAAAAGAAAACTTGACCGCTCTGCCAAACTGCCACACAGAATACTTGTTTTGATAACACTGCCAACAAGATGCGCCTTGGTGCGAGGAACAACAGACGTGATAGTAAGGGCGTTGTGTTGCCTAGGAAGGTATATAACAGTGTTGAGCAGTGGTGAGTCATGGACCGGGGTTTAGGCTGTTATTATTAGAGTGGAATTGGGGGCGGAGCGATTCGTTGCTACTGGAGTTCTGCTGGAGTTTATGATATTATTTGTTTCTTGCTTTCTGGCTATGGTGTACGGTGCACCTTTTCAGACTGGCGATTAAGTCAGTCATTCTGACAGCGGGCAATAAGTATAAAAGCCACAGAATTACCTTTAAAATAGTACGCGCTTGTTTTTTTCTTGTAAAAGCGCGCATATAAACATTGCCTCGATCTCTGATTCCCGATTCCTAGCTCCGAGCTTGAAGAAAAGGCAATAATCTTTCGGGTCGTTAAGTTATGTGTAACTGAAAAAAAAAAAAAAAAACCGGTAGATATAAAGACTGTAGAACGCGGTTAAAAAGGCATTTCGTTTATTAGAAATTAAGCTTACGGTTATCCGTATTCTTGCCTATAATTCAGAATATCGACTTTAGTATAGTACTCTGCTAACGAGTCACAAGATGCCTGATTCGGAACTTAAGTTCGCTATTTTACGTAATCCGGTGCATATGAATCCCAAGAACGGTTCGGAACTGAGGCTTATGCTAGGCTAGATTAAGGGCTAAATGTACTGAAGCTTGGGGATTTAATACAAGGGTTTGGAGGTACGATGGAAAAATGAGTGAAGACAAAAAATAGAAGCCAACGCTCACTTCATTGTTGTGCTGTTGACCTCAGAAATATCATTACCACGTGACGAAGGGGCTAATTTGTAGTGGGGCGAGTACAGTAATCACAAAAAGTTCATGTCCCAACTGCCTATCTTTCCTTTCCGCTAGTGCAATATCTATCTGCAATTGGAATTTCTCACACAGGAGATGGCTTGGTCTAGGAGCCTTGCTGTCGGTGGAGTATTTGGTGCTGCGCTAATTGCTCTTATTGCCGGCTTCGTTCTCACCGATATCAGGAGCTCCAAATCCACCCTTTATTGTGTCACCAGCCCAACATCATATAACATCATAACCCTCAATACCTCGCATCCTACAGCAAAATGCTTCCGTGTTGAAAACGGGCTATTCACCGAAGTTCTGACTGACTTTCCAGCCCCCTTTGCCAACGAGATTACGTACCTGGACGGACATATCCTTCCTGGGATTATCGAGTCACATGGTCATATTCTGCAGTATGGCGAGATGCTGGAATCAGTGTCCTTGTATGAAGCTGAAAGTGTGGAGGAAGTGAGAGCAAGGATCAAGGAGTTCTTGAGAAAGCATGCTGGTGAGGGTTATGGCACACGTGACAAATGGGTGAGAGGCATTGGGTGGGACCAGAAATACTTTGGGGGTGTGATGCCAACTGCTGTAGAAATATGATCTCGTTCTATTCGTAAACTTTTGCTAACAAATGTGCAGAAAGAACTTGCAGCAGATCCAGAACTTACAGATCTCTACATCATGCTTGACCGAGTCGACGTGCATTGCGTACTCACATCCCAGAACGTCCTTGACCTCCTTCCCAATCCGCTGCCACAAGCACCTCCTGGAGGATTTATTGTCACCGATCCGGCCCCTGGTGTTTTCTGCGACAATGCCATGGATGCCATAATCTTCCCAGTCGCGCCCAAACCAGACGTAGCACAAAAGACGAGATGGTTCAAAACAGCCATGGCCGAGCTAAACAAAGTCGGGATAGTGGGAGCCGGAGATGCGGGTATGCGACCAGAAGATATTGCAATCTTAGAGAACATCGCGGAAAGTGGTGAGCTGACAATGAGAGTCAACGTCATGCTTGAATGTGCGGAGAGGAACACCTTTTGCCCAGAGGAAACAAAGATCCTAAAATTACTCGACGAGCCAAAGAGCTTAGGTGGAAATATGTTGATGCTTGGAGGAGTGAAGCTGTTCGCAGACGGAGCGCTTGGTTCCTGGGGTGCGGCGTTGCTTCAACCCTATTCGGATAAGCCTGACACGAGTGGCACGATGCTGATCAACGAGACGGATTTGACAGATGTGGTGAAGCATGTGAGTTATTCAGCACAGTAGTTCTGGAACTCTACCTAACAGATCAAGTGGTATGGTGCCGGATTTCAAGTAAATATACATGCTATTGGCGACCGCGCAAATCGAGCTGCGGTGGATGCTTTTGAAAAGGTTCTCGGGTCGAATTGCAACGGTTGCAATCAAGAAAGGAGGCTTCGAATTGAGCATGCCCAGATCATTGTATTTGATTTCCCGTCTCTGTTTCTCTGTAGGTGTTGGGGCTAATTTCGAATCAGAACCCTAAGGACCAAATGCGTATGGCAAAGTTGGGTATCATCCCCAGCATCCAACCAACTCACGCAACTTCCGACATGGCCTACGCTCTCGCACGTCTCGGAGAAGAGCGGCTAGCAAAGTCTGCTTATCGCATGCGCTCTCTCTTTCCGCCTCCTTCCTATCCCTATCCGTACCCAGGGCCAGTCCTTGGTTCGGACTTTCCTGTCGAGCCCCCTTCTCCGTTCGCTGGAATGTACGCCGCTGTGACTAGGCTCTCTCCTTCCACAGGCGTTCTCCAGCTGGAGAAGGAGGATGGTTTCCCGATGAGAAGTTATCTGTAGAACAAGCATTGCGAGGCTTCACGACCAACGGTGCATATGGGTGGCTAAAGGAGGATGTTACTGGGGCGATTGAAGTAGGGAAGTGGGCGGACTGGGTGGTTGTTGATAGAGATATATTTGTGGACGAGAGTGGCAAGAGTCTGAGGGACGTTGAGGTTCGCAGCACCTGGGTAGCGGGCAAGAATGTCTTCTCGTCGAAGCAGACCAGCGACCGCGACCAACCTGGATTTCTTGACCGTCTTGAGAAGTTCACGGTATGTGTTGTTGAGAGAATACAGGGCTCGAGAGCGGCATGTGGTTGGCCGATTATTGGAGCTCGTGAGTGAGAGAAGCTCTCCTCATCGTAAAAGTTTATCAGAAAGCCGTAATAAAGATCAAAACAATGCACCTCGGTACATATAATTCGGTTTTCTGAACACGTGCCTTGCACTCCTGATATCTAGAGCGCATCTCCGAGCTCCGATACCCAATTCTCACATCTAATCAGCCTGATTACACGGGACTGGAATGCACCCGCCTGAGACACATAGACAGCCAACAGAAACTTGGTAATGTCAATCAGTGAGTGCATAATTCTTCATCGCTCAATCACCTCCCCGTCCGGTCCAGATTCACAGGTTCTCACTTGAATAGGACTACACTCAATGCTCAATATGCATACTCATAACATAAAATCCCCGACTGCGTGTCTATGATCTCTTCGACCGCAATCTTTGGTGCCAGTGTCCCCATTTCTAGCTGATCCTGCAACGAAGCCGCCTCCTTACTATGCATAGAGCTCGCCCCGTTATACTCACGTCGCCGCCCCGGCTTCGCATGTTGCCATTTCCACCATAGCCGATCCAACTGCGCATGGTGCAGGAAAAACACAGGATCTGGGATACACTATTAAACAAGTGCTGCGCACTTTTAGAATTTGAGGACTTACCATTCGGCGCTGTATCTGAGAAAAAGTCTCCCAGGACTCCGTGTGGCATCGCTAGGTGCGGCCCGTTCTCCATGCCGAGATTGAAAGCATTGTATTGCGGCAGTGCCATTATAATTGCAATTGCATCCTGATGAGGAAATGATGTTAGTTTTCTGAATCAAAAGGTATTTTAAAATACCGAGAACATGGAAAAGAGATTGGAGCTATCATCAACTACTTACCTCGGATATACGAGCGCTGTAGTACTTCTCCATGTCATCAGGTGCCTGGAAGCCACGGGAGAGGCAATGCGGCTTTGCCTCGTCAGCATAGTATTGTACCTGGAGGTTTGCAAAAGGTCCGTCGGTCACGCAGCTGGCAGTATTAACCGTTCGGACCCCGGTGGCATTGCCGTCGCCGCCAAAACCAGTGATCGGGTCCCAGATTGGGGCGGCGGGTAGGTCATGGACGTTAAGTTGCCAGTCGAAAAAGCTGCGAAGGGTTAGCGATGCAGAATTACGGTGGGAATGAAACGTACACAAGGGAGCCCGAATAGTGACAAACATCACGGAGCTTTGCTTCGTAGACGTGGAGAAAGTAGCGGTGCCAGGCGAGAAAGGGTGCGGCGTAATGAGCTGGAGAAAAGAGGATGTATTAGTCAACTGTAAGCACGCTCTTTTTCGAGATATAGCTCACCACTCATCCCTTCATTGTTATGTGTCCACGGGAAGTCTTCAAACACCGTCTGGTTGCGGCCTATGACGGACGGCGTCTTGGTGAGGCACACGACGGCATCGAGGTACGCCAATTTCTCGTCCGTACTCAGTGTACGCCATTCACGACGCACTGAGGGATTTTGGCAGCTTTGGGATGAGGATGCGGATTTATGTACAGTCGACGGTCGCACGTATATTATTGTTCCAGCAGTAACTACAACGGCACCAACAACTGCGATGCAGCAAAGGGCGACTACAAACCATAAACGCCGGTACACAGGTATATAGTCGGAGACTTTGCTTTTCTCTTCTTCGGCGTATGCATCTTGCTCCTCTTCTGAGAGGAGTGGACGTGTTTGCGCAACATTTTCGAAGCTCGCCGTCGCCATTGTTTGGGGGCCACCAGGTGATCGAATATATTTCTGATTGGAAGGTACAAAGGATGCGCAAATACAGTATCACGCCCTACGAACCTTTGATGCTAACATGCCAAGCAAGATGACCAACAACTACAAGCAGTAATGGTATCGATGCAACAAATACTACCCTACGGAGAGACTCCACATTTATTTGCAGGGTACCATACCAGGGTTTGCATCGCTATCGCCATCCTTGCAGGGAACTACCCTTTCCCCTGCAGATTGATACAAGCATTAAGGTTTGCTCTTTCTATTGGTACAAGCCCTTGCTATGCTCCCTGTATAACCCGCCGTTTGCGGGGTGGATCTATATTTCTCAGAACGGAAACAAAACGGACGGTAGATCAATAATCCTGTGCCGCAACAGTACTTTATTACTCCTCTTTTCCGCATCAAAAGAGGGTTGGTTATAGCTGCCCCCAAACTTGACCTCTATTTGTTTCAGTGAAAAGGAGCGGAGCAACAGAAGTTCACTATCGTGCTCCCTTGTATTATTGTTACGATCTCCCAGTCACTTTATTCTCCGCAAAGTCCGATTTGCAAACGCCATGTCATCTAGAATCGCAGAGCTCGGAGCTCTGATATCTTCCAACACGCAGAAGATTGACGAGTATCTAGTCGCTAATTCGCTACCATCACCATCGTTCGAGGAAGATGGCCCTGTGAAGCTCAACCTGTCCGGCGAACTCGAAAGTGCTCGAAGTTCTTTACTCAATGCTACAGCGGAGCTCCAGGCTTTGCTGCAAACTCCAGATGACCTTCTTCGGCCTATCGTATGCATCCCTACCGTCCTGTTTATCTGACGTATTCTTCGCTAAGCACATTTATACTTACGTACAATCCAGTTAAATGGCACCAGCCTTGAAGCGATTTCTCGCTATGATATGGCTCGTAAGATCCCTGTCGGTGGCTCTATCTCTTTCCAGGAGCTAGCCGACCAGTGTGGCCTCTACGAACCTGACGTACGCCGCATCGTACGCTTTGCCATTGCGCACCATTTTGTTTTCCGCGAACCTCGCAAGGGCTTTGTAGCTCACAGTGCAGCCTCTCGGCGCCTGGTTGATACCCAAGGCGCGCGAGACGGGCTTGGTGTTATGTTCGATGATTGCTACCAGAGTTTTGGGCGGGTATGTTGGCTTCCTCTCCATTTTTGACTTTTAAGATGCTATACTAACTCTTGGCAGACTATCGAAGCTATAGAAAGGTACAAGTCACAAGATATAGATAAAACAGTAAGCCGCATATAACTTCCCATGGGTCCTACTAGACTTTGTCCAGATTCTCACCAGTGATTTGTTGCTTCATAGGGCTGGGCACTCGCCCACGATGGTCAGTCACTCTTCGAGACGTTTGGCAAGCAGCCGGCCAAAGCCAAACGTTTTGCTGGCTCCATGGCAGCCTTCAACGCATCACCACTTATGGCACATAAGCACATGGCCACCAATTTCCCGTGGGAAACCCTGGGCAATGGTACCGTCGTCGATCTAGGTGGCTCGCACGGTGAGCTATGCGCCGCCCTCGCACTTGCCGCCCCCAACCTGCATCTCATCGTTCAAGAACTCCCCCGGACGGTGCAAAGCGTTGACCGTGCCACGCTCCCTGCCGAGGTTGCCCCACGCATCGAGTTCATGGAGCACGATTTTTTTACTCCGCAACCCGTCGTTGCAGCCGTTTATACCTTTAGGCAGATCTTCCACAACTGGGCTGATGTGAACGTCGTTAAGATCCTTCGCAGTCTAGTCCCGTCGTTACGATCAGGGGCACGGGTACTCGTGCATGACTTGATCTTGCCTGAGCCTGGAAAGTTGCCACTAATGCAAGAGCGGCAGATTCGGTATGTTGGGAAATGTAATGGTAAAAGGCTGACTACATGCTAATTGATGACTACAGGGCGATGGATATGCTTATGCTTTCGATTTGCAATGCGAGAGAGCGCGACGAAGACGATTGGAGGCAGGTGTTCGCCGAGGCGGATTCGCGTTTCAAAGTCCTGCGTGTTTTCACCCCCAAAGGAGCTGCCCTCGGGATTGTCGATGTGATGTGGGAGGGTGAGGGTGAGGGTCAGGAGAGCATTTCCGCCAAGTAACATGCAATTGAGTGCATCGGACCGAGAACAGAATAAAGCAGCTCTATAGAATGTTTCTGGCTCGTGCAGTACTCTATTTTTATTCTCGGAACACCCTTGTAAAACACATTTCGGGTATCTTCTTAATCAATTCTACCTATGATTTGCAGTCCCCACTCGCTGGTGCCATACGCTCTGCTGGATGACAAAAGAGAGGACCTAATAGAGTCCTAAGAAGGTAATATGAGGCCATCATTGACCTTGTATACGCCGTATACCACCGTAATCGTGTGCTTTGCAGGGGTTGATATGCACAGCTACTACTGTATAAGAACAGGGGTTCACGGAAGTTACCGAAGTACTCCGTATCTTATCTCTCGGTCCAAAAACTTAACTTCTTTGAAATCTGAAGACTTTGAGTTGTTTCTATTGGTCGGCTCGCGGAGGTGTTTTTCAATTGCCGACGAGTTCTCTAACGTTACTGCAGTAAAGAGGGGCGATGGGGGGGGAACGGACGAACTTTTTACAAGTGTAAAAAGTGGACTTTAAATGGATTTCTACTTTTAGTCTGCGAGTAAACTTAAATTTACGTGACCCCTAGGGTATACTGTATAACCAAATTTACCCAGTAGCCAATAAACAACGAACGATTTGCGTATAGGAGTTTGCTCCAAAGTGCTTCTTGCTTCGGCTGCAACTGTGCCACATGCAATCACAGTATATGCAGGGATACTTAGTTTAGTAGATTAGTTAAGCTTCTCATCGAGACAGGGATACTTCGTAGCCACGCAGTCATTTCCGTCGGCTCGGGAGGTAAATAAGGTGGCGGGGTACTTGCTCGGTAAGCTATGCCGACAGGGGTTTAGACGCTGCTATGTATGTCTGTACTAGTTACAGAAAACAATAGCACTGATATCTCATCTTCTAAAGAGCTGCCATATTGAGTGCCGCCACTCGAGACTTGTGCAGTAGGCAGTACACGTATAGTGTACAATAATTCGGCCGAACCAAGATTTGGGCTCAAGATCCATCCGTGCACAGCGAACCAGATTCATGGGCTCGTGTACAACAACGACGTGGAAGCATCACTGTACTATCCCTGTCTCGGTGAGAAAGAACCTTAAACGCTTCTGCCACTTGATGGCACGGCTTATCATATCCCTTGTAATCAGCTCGAATCAAGGAACCGATGATTACTACCGGTTACCACTCCAAGGGGTACAATCCTTCGAGTTTGCAGTTTGCAGTGATGCAGAATGCTTTGCATGTCAATATAAGCTTGGTGGCTGGCTGTACAGTAAAGTATGCTTAAAATTTGTTTGTGGAAGTGGTAGACGCCTATCATTATACTATACTCAGCCCCAATGACACTGTACAAATACAGCCCACACTCCGACTCCCACTAATATTGATGAACACATTGTGCCTTACAGCGACATATTTAGCAACGCTCCCCTGCTACATGATCACAGACCTTGAGGTCGTGGTTTCAGCGGCGGATTGAACCCCACAGCTCGCTCGCGCGTCCAGTTATCCAGTGCATCCCAGTCCACACAACTCCGCTGAGCATCGGTCTTGGCATGAGCTTTGGTAACATTAGGCTGCCACTCGAATGACCAGAGCCCGGTGCTTCCCGTGCACATGGTACTAACACGGAGCGCTTCGAGGCAATGCTCTGCATGGCGGAGGCTTGGAGTTAGCTATAGGAATCCTACGGTAGATGTCCAAACTGGGCCGATGGCATGGATGAGTAGATATAAAGTAGGATTGTGACGTACCAACGTGTCTTTGCTCGTTAACTCGCTGCTTTTCCGTCATGTCGGGGTAAAAGTGGTCCGCGTAAAGAAAGAAACGAACGCGACGCTATATTTTCGGTCAGGAAATCACGGTATGGATGATGTTTCTTCTTACTAGGCAGTGGAGATCGTGGTAGACCCCCAACGAGGCGAGATATCCGCCGTCTAAAAGTTCGATGGAGTTATCTGGGTCTTCGCCTGCCAAGGCCATCTCTTCGTAAGAAGCTCGCATCATGACCGCTATGGTTCTGTGAGCTTGGCATGAAACTGAGAGATCTGTAGGAGCTTACGTTCGAGCAGTCTCTCCCACGATTTGGTCTGCTCCACAGTTGGAGTGCCCCAGTATGTCTCTGGGCCCTGAGGGTGGATTCTCTGCTGTGAATAGCTGATGACACTTTGGGCTGGGGCTATTGTCGAGTCAGAAAAGAGGTCGATTATCTTCAGCTTCTTAACTTACAATAAGTGCTTGTTTGAAGTTGATGTGCATCAGGTTTCATATAATAGGAAAGAGCAAAACCAATTGTAAATCCGAGAAACAGTGTAACAAGTGATATAACCACGTGAGTCCATAATACGCGTCTTGCAGGAAGCTTTTTCGATAGCTTCAGATTATCCTTCTGGTATATAGATTCGATTTCCTCATCTTCTTCATCTCCAAGCAGAGGGTGTTTCTCGACGGTAGTTGATAAACGCGGTTCAGAATGAGGAAGCATTTTGGACAACGGATTGTTGGTCGAAAATGAAAGAATAATGCACATACGAGCAGAGGAGTTGAACTCCGATGGCGTTGGAGGATATATCCTGGCACACCACCAAAAAGTCGACTGACATCCCAGAACCAAAAGCAGCAATAGAATATCAAGAATATTTGGGGCGGTGTGACTTGGCACATAGATAGAGATCATCCATGCCCTCCACGAGTATCACCGATTGTGGATAAGCTATACAAGGAACATCATTTAACCGTTACTAACTGTATACCTGCATGATCAGCGGTCCACTTACGATATCGGAGTAATATCCGATATAGTCCATGGCTTCCACTCTATCCTTGCGTCAGTTGAAAGAATCAAGATATACCTGTTATGACTTGAAACTGATAAGTGTAAAGAAAGATATATAGCCTCGTTGTTCCCCATTCTGGTTTTAAAAACTACAGGTCAAATCAACAAGCAATCCTCCGCCTTCAACATTCAACTTTCCAGTCAACCCCAACCCACAACGAAACTTCGGTCACTTCAACAATCATGCAGTTCTCGCATCTCTTCACCTTGACTGTCATCGCTGCCTTGAGTGGTTGGGCCATTACTGCACCAGTTCCCGAAACTGCAAACCGTAAGCTATCCTCTGTTTTTACTTCCACAGACCTCTTCTAATTGTATACAAGCCGCCAGCGAAGCTTGCGCTGAGGCCGAAGCTGTCCCTAGCGTCAATGGGACCGTGACCACGAGATGCTATTGAGATTCAAGCCGTGGGCCAAGGTGGGAATAGATGGGGGTTTACGGTTTCAACATGTCGAGGTAGAATCAGCATTGAGGATGGATAGATACAGATCTTGTTAAATGAAATTGCTATTCCTGACCCAAAATACCTTGTCCGGCCCTGATTCCGTCCTGAAGATCAACGTGTTTAAGAGCATAATGAGTGTAATCTGTCAAGTGTCATACTAATGACCACTTCATTCTAACACAATCTTGCAAATAATTTAAATTTGCATTTATTTGAAAACATGGTTAGAGCAAGACAAATTTGAGAATATACTTGGTCAGGTTTTTGTTCCAAAACATCAATAACCTTCATCCTCACTATAATACCAAGGCATTGATAGCCAGCTCAGCTACAGCCTAGAATAAGGAAATTGAGGTGCGTAGGACTAGAGAATAGTCCAGTACCTAAAACACGTTGCAAACAGAGCGTAGGTTTAGAACATGTACCCCTCTCGAATACACTTGTAAACGCTGTCGCCACGGCATATATTTCTTTCCCGGCTACCCCTTCATCTCATGTCCCTCCTCCACGAGTCCCACTGTTTGTTTTTAAATAGAAGACGGTGAGGTTGGTTTGTATCGTGGATCACTGGATTAGCGACAGGTGGGGTGGACGCGTCCACGTGGTGACGTTCCAGTCGGAGGGACAGCCCGTTTCGAGCAGCCTTACCCGTTATCGCAACTAGAATCCAGATACGCCGCAGCGCCAATGCCCCATGAGACCACCGTCGCCGCACGAGTACTTATAAATTTAGAATTGGCTTTCCACCTCGAGTTGTTGGAAAAGGAAGGTCAAAATGGCAATCGGAAGGTGGAATGTACAAGGTACAAGGTACAAGGTACGTACAGAGTGAAACTACTTCGAATTAGATCGCGCTGAACAGATGGGCAGGCAGGTGCATCGCATTGGATATCCGATCAACAGGGCGGAGGAATACTGTAATACGAAGTACCATAGCCAATTATACCCTTGTATTCGGTGGCAGGATTGGGTATTGTCCAGATACTAAGTAAATTAACTACAGTAATCGTGTCCGTTTTTCCCGATGATGCGATCTGGTTTCATGCTTTAGATATATATACACCCTGTAGTATAGTATAGTATAGTACTATCTTAAATACCTTAGAAGGAAATTCTTTACGCTTATTGCGCTTAAGCACGTGCTAAGGGAAACATCTAATTCGTCCAGCTAGCTAAAGTGGAGTGAGTTTAAATAGGATTTGGTACCCGAGCTCGCCGAGCAGTAGGAGTGGATCTTCCTATAACTCTATATATGCTATAGTAAAGCACCTAATCGCCTGATGCAAACAGCCTTAAGAGCCTATTAAAAAAATACTCTAAGGTGAGATAGTAAGGTACACTCCATCTTTAGTTTGCTCGCCGCCAAGCCAGTATTGTTCATAATTCAAAATTGGATTGGTTAATGAACGACAATAGCTTTGCCCCGCATACTCCGCCCCCAATGCGGTGAGTTCAATTGGGGTTATATCCGAAGTAATCGCTTCCGAGCGCTTTGCTTTGCCGCCGTCGTGCATAGATTATGGAATGATACACTCATGGCTCGCAAGTAGTGTACTCCGTATTTTACTTAGTATAGACAAGATTTACCAGGTCGCTTATAGATATAGTATAGAAAGTGCAATTTTCTCTCTGGGAATCCAGGTTTTGAAAAAATGCGAGTTCTTTTTGATAATAGAAGTAAAATTGAGCGTATTTTCTGGAGAAATGTTGCTATTTTCTATGTTAAGTGAGTTACAAAGGAGATACGGTAGTAAATCTACTTATGACACCGGCGTTTTTAAGTTTAGTAGACCAGAAATCCATAAATAAATCCATATTTTACACTAGTAAGACGTTCATCCGACATGACCCCCCCCCTTTATCTTAGCGTTGTCCCACATATGTATTTAGCCGAGCGAGCTTCAGGGGTATAAAAAAACCAAGGTACCTGATTGATAAGCAGCAGATATGCACCTAAAATGATCAAGGATGTATGCTATCACTCTATAGTGTCATGTAGCCCCTCTTCAGCTTTTAGGATTTGGGGGGCAGGCAAGCAAGGGTTGGATTACAGGTTCGATATTTCTATTTACGGCGTGTTGTCATGATCAAGTAAACAAGATAGCTAATTATAGAAACCAGGGTCAGTTGAGGAGTGAGGGGCTGTCTGTCAGCTTTTAATATATGTATGCCCACTTATACATCATCATGTCTAGCACGTATTTCCTTCCAGTTCTCTCAACCCTTTTCTAGATCTTCAAAGTTCCTTGGGTTGACCCAGGCCTTCACTCAAGATGCCAGTCGACAGTCCATCATCCGTAATCGCTGTGGGAGCGGTAATGCCCTCCCTATCCATCGTCGCCGTCGCACTACGCTTCTACAGCCGCCGCGTAATCCACAACCCCTTTCAAATAGACGACTGGATACTCATTCCCGCGCTCCTCCTCACAATCGGCATGGGAGCCAGTTTGATCGCGGGCGTGAAGTTGAATGCGCTGGGATACCCGACTCCGTTTACGGGTGATCCGAATGATCCTCTCGCGGCGCTGACGCAGAAGAATTCTGGAATCCGCATTACGTCGCAGGTCGAGTGGGCGCTGCAGCTGATGCAGGTGGTGCAGCTAGGTTGCATCAAACTGAGCTTCACGTTCTTCTACCGCCGTATCTTCGTTACTAGGACGACGACATCTTTTAATCTTTTAACGTGGGCGACTATTGGAGTAATTACAGCGTGGACGTTGGCTTTCTTCTTTGCGTTGCTTTTAGCGTGCAAGGGATATTCGGGCGAGTGGTCGGCGTGGTGGGGGTCTGTGATTGATCTGTCGACTAAATGTGTTAAGACTGAGAAGCTGGAGACGGGGCTCGTGGTATCGGATTTCTTGACTGATTTGTTTATCCTCCTGCTTCCTATTCCGAAAATCTGGGCCCTTCAGATGCCTATACGCCGCAAGCTTGCCGTGACGGCCATCTTCGCTCTCGGAATCGTGTAAGTTCTCCATACCTTCAAGCTAGCATTTGATTTCTAACCGAATCCCCAGAGCCGTCGCAGCATCTATCGTTCGAATGAAGTATTTCATTGACGTAATCTCCAAGGGTTTCGACCCAAACGACGACGAAGATCTAGCGATTACCAGAAACCTCTACTGGTCCATGGTAGAGTCCGGGCTGGGCATGATAGCCGTGTGCCTCCCGACACTGCGCAGTCTCTTCAGCACCAATTCTTCCGGCTGGTTGACCAGCATGCGCAGCAGTCTGCGAAGCATGCTTGCCAGCCGCTCGCAGGCTTCAAAACTGTCGTCCCAGGGAAATTCGAAGAAATTCTCACAGGGTTCGAGTGAGGAGTATATTCATATTGTTGATGATGGACTGGATACGGGGAGTAAGAAGCATGAGAGGTATGTGATGGAGGAACGGATTCCAAAGGTTAAGGAGAAGAATTCTGGGAGGGTGGATTATAGTGAACGGGGGGGGTGAGCATGTATGATTTGCTGGATTGGGATGGTTTTGTAATTCTTTGTTACGAGTAGTTAGTAAATATCTGTTAAGTTCTTAAGTATTTACGATAAGAGATGGATGTAAGCTTACAGTACGAGAAACGAGACCTATGATTTTCTATGCTTCGAAAATTCAGATAATACAGCTGTTTATCTGCTACTGCAATGGTCTTAGCTGCTGTAACAGCCGTTGTAAATGTATAAAAGAGCATGGTTTTCAACCAAGTGAAGTGATAAATGAATACCTGACTAAAGCCATAAATCTAGCGTCTCCTCTCCACCTTCTCCGCCAAACTACAAGGTATAGGTGCTATAGTACACCTAATTAGCTAACCCATAAAAGTAAGTGATCACCGCCATATAAATATACAAATACCCCACCAACCCCTCCCTCCCTCCACCACCACACAAGCTCTTTACCACAACTAGCAGTCAAAAAATGGCTAGCAGCCGCCCACTACTAGTCAACGACGACGACGATGAAAACAGTATCCTCGACCTAGAAGATGGAGGCGAGAAATCAATCAAACCAACCCACTCACCATTCCGAAACTTTCTTTCCTCTTCAAAAGGCTTTCTCTTTTCACTATTTTTCGCGCTCCTGCCATCATTCATCCAACCCCTTCTACGCCGCCACACAATCTCAAAACCAGAACCAAGCGTAGCAAAGCCGGAGCGTAATAATGCCCTCGAATACCTAACGGGCGTGAGGGGGGTAGCGTCTGTTATTGTGTTTATATACCATTGGACTCATGGGCTGTTCCATGATAGTATGGATCATGCGTACGGCGACACCAACACGAACAGTGATGGATCGCCGTCCTCAAACTCAGAGTTACATAACCATATCCTGCAACTCCCACCATTGCGGCTCTTATACGCCGCCGAGGCAATGGTAGCGCTGTTCTTCATCGTCTCCGGCTATGTGCTCTCGTACCGGCCTATCCAGGACATGAACGTTAAGCCAGCAACCAATAAAAGTACTACCACCCTCTCATCCCTCGCCTTCCGCCGTTTCCCCCGGCTCTTCCTCCCCGCACTCGCCTTAGTCCTGCTCGCTTTCCTCGCGCAACTAACCGGCGCTCTCAAAACCCCCACCACAACCCTTCTCACCTTCCTCCACAGCTTCCTCATAACCGGTATCTGGACTTGGACTACCTTCCCCGATAACACATGGTCACTATCCCCGCACCTCTGGACCGTCCCCACGGAATTCCGCTGCAGTATGGTGCTGTTCGCCCTGCTACTTACAGTGAGCCAACGCACGTTGCTTGTACGATTCGGGATAGAAGTTGGGGTAGTGGGCTGGTGTATGGGGGCTGGAAGGTGGGACGTAGCGCTTTTCGTGGCGGGTGCTGTGATGGCTGAACTGAGGGTACGACGGGAGGTGCGTTTGCAAGCCCGGGAAATGGAAAGGACGGGGGAGGAGGAGAATAGAAATTGGCAGTGTACCATGTGGAAATCCATACGCACCACAGCCCTCCTCTCCACCCTCATCACTGGCCTCCTCCTCGCCTGCTACCCACCTATCCCTCCTTCCCTAGACACCCCAATCTTCGGCCCGCTCTCACATCTCACCAGCTCCCGCTCAGAATCCCGGCGCACCATCTACGCCATTTCCGCGCTCCTGATCCTCTCCTCACTGGACAACCTCCCAGGACTCCAGAAAATCTTCAATACGCGCATAGTGCAGTATATGGGACGGATTTCGTATGCGCTGTACTTGGTGCACGGATTGCTGATTAGGGTTGTGGGACAGAGGGTTTTGGATGGGGTGTGGAAGGCTGCAGCAGGAGGGGGATGGGGTGCTGGAGATGGAGTGAAATTTGGGATTGCGAGTGCGGTGGTTGTGCCGGTTGTGGTGTGGGGGGCTGATTTGTTTGAGAGGGGGGTTGAGAGGAGGTGCGTGGTGTGGGCTAGGCGTTTATAACGGTGTTTAGGAACCCAAATACAAACAATCCCTTTCATCTATATCTAAATAAACATTCTTCGATCTTTTAGAGTCCAATTTTTTTTTTTTCAAAGCTAAATATAACAGGACATATAAATAGCAATCAGATGGAACTTTGAGGTCCTCTTATACTATACTGCAGGATTATTATTCAAGTCCTGTCCTGTGGAACTACTAAACCCTTATATAAGAGTCATAGCTAGGAGCTATTATGGCGCATTGCCTATAATCAGAGTTGACAAGGCTTGAATTCAAAGGCAAAAGTGCTATAAGCACACACTATTCCAGCAACATGCTTGCCTTCCAATTCGAGCTTCGCTAAACAAAACCCGTTCTTCGGAAAGTTGTATACTATACGTGATGACGTTTTATATTCTAAAGACTTGTTTATTTATAAGAAAAACAAATAGACGACCAAAGCAAAGGAAAATAACAGCGCTTATAATCTTGAATTAATCGAGACAGTGATGTTCTGTATACGGAAGATGAAAAAGACGATGATAGAAATAGTGTATATGATGTTAGAGAGGTTTAGAATAGAAGTAGAGATATACGGTAGATGAGCAATTGACGCTGAACGCTGTCACGACATCCTAGATAATCAGCTTAAAGGATTCAATAAGATACCTCCCTACGTTTACATACTATACGACTAGTGGTGTACGCTTTTATCGAAATACACGTACGGTAAAGGGGAGGGGAAATAAGGAACTACCTTGCATAGCCGCGAAGTGTGATTTATCAAGGAGAAGTACATGGCCATGTGGCTTGAGATAGAAAGCAGAATTTCATGCAAGTTTCATTTATCTATTCCATAATATGTATAAATTCTCATTCTAGACTTTTCTATCTCCCCATCCCATAAGAAACCAACCAAAAGCATGGAAAAACGCCAATGCATGAACCAACCCGCCTACAACCTGTCCAGCAAGCCCTCACTCTCCAAAAGCAGCACAATTTGATGCACCGCACTCCTCACGCTCGTCTTCTCAATATCCACCGTCAGGTTCGCCTTGGCAGGCGCCTCATACGGATCATCCACACCTGTAAAGCCCTTAATATCGCCATTTCTCGCCTTAGCATAGATTCCTTTCTTATCGGTCTTCTCGGCATGCTCGAGGCTAGTAGCGACGTGGATAAGGTAGAAAGATCCGAATTTCTCAACGAGTTCGCGAGCATGCGTGCGTGCGTCTTCAAAGGGCGCGATTGGGGCTGCGATGACGGCTGCACCGGCGCGCGTTAATTCGGATGCGACGAATGCGATGCGGCCAATGTTCTTGGTGCGGTCCTCGCGGCTGAAGCCGAGCTCGGAGGAGAGTTCAGCTCGGACGGTTTCACCGAGCAAGAGTGAGACGGAACGACCTCCTTGTTGGTTCAGCGTTACGTGGAGAGCGCGCGCGATGGCGTCCTTGCCGCTGTTTTGGTAGCCGGTCAGGAAGACAGTGAAACCTTGTGCGGAGCGGGGTGGGTGGGATTCGCGGAGGACTTTGACGACTTCGGGGTAAGAGAACCATTCTGGGATTTCACGACCTGTTCGTAGACGGCTGCGGAGCTCGGTACCGGATATATCAAGGGTGCGGACACCGGCTGGGACTTCATCTATGGGGCGGTATTCGTCGCTGTCTGGGAGGAAGGTCATCATCTGGAAAGGAACAACTTCGATTCCGAGCTCGTCCTTGTATTTCTCGACCGCGTATTGGGCGTCGTATGGGCCGTAGAATTCTACACCTTTGCTGTTCTTTCCTGGGCCTGCGTGATCTCGACCAACGATGAAGTGGGTTGCGCCATAATTCTTGCGGATGATGGCATGCCAGATGGCTTCACGTGGACCACCCATTCGCATGGCGAGTGGAAGGAGGCCAAGAACTGCCATACCATTAGGGTATCTTGGTAGCAGGGCTTGGTAAACGCGGACACGGGTGAAGTGATCAATATCTCCGGGCTTTGTGAGACCGACGACGGGGTGGATGAGGACATTTGCTTGACGGGCACGAGCAGCGCGGACGGTCAACTCTCGATGTGCTCTGTGCATTGGGTTTCGGGTTTGGAAAGCCACGACTTTTGACCAGCCGAGTTTGTCGAAGTGCAGGCGGAGTTCTGCGGGGGTATCTTCTCAAGTTAGTGGGGGTTGCGCAAACGGATTGGAACTCGTACATCTCAGCGCCACGTAGTCATAATGCTCTAGACGGTTGATGGCGTCTACCTTTCCTCCAATATAATAATCTTGAGCGGTTTCGTACAGGTATTTTACGGCCGGGTGCTCCTCATCGCCTCCAAATACATCCTTGGCTTCCTTTTGTCTGCGGACTATTAGAACAGCTCAATCTTAATGTCTGGATCTGCCTACTTGTCTGGTTTGTACGTATCGTCAACGGTGATGATGGCAAGGTTTCGATCGTCTCTGAAATCACGAAGTGTAATTCTCGATCCAGGCTTGACGCCCAATGCCTTGAGCTGTTCCAGAGATACATCGAGGGTAATTGGCATGGAGAAGAGGTTGCCATCGGCTAACCGATTATCTGCAACAACACTGAAGGATGTAAGTCAAAGGTGAAGTTTGTATGCAAAAGATTTTCATACCCATTGTAATCCTTCTCATTCATAAAACCTGTCAGACGAGAAATTAGTATCTGTTTGCTTTTTTCAGAGTGGCAATGTCGTGATGGTGGGGTAATTATTGCCCCACCAAAGGGCTGCCGACGTACCTTCTAGAGGAGAAAAGCCTCCACTGAGGATCAATTCCAGATCACAAAGCTGTCTCTCAGTGAGGACGATGGCAGGAAGGGATTCTGCTTCGGCAGTGAGCTTCTCGTGTCGTGGCAAGTCTCTGGCAATGAGATCTCTGATGTGTTTTGTCAGCCTATGACGCAGTATGCCGGATGAAGGGTACAAACTTGAGTTCTCCGCCGTGAGGAGGGTTGGCCATGATTGCGGATGTAGTAAGGAGTGTTGTAGACGGGATGAGATGGGAAGACGGGAATTGAGAGAAGTTGTAGGAGGAAGAAGAAGAAGAAGAAGAAAGGGAAGAATCAGAAACCGGAGTAGAGTGAAAGTAAGCGCGGCAGAAGGCTAAACGTGGTGGTGATGAAAGAAAAATATTCTGGGCGTGAACGGCTGAACAGCCTCGTCAATCACGCCATCGCCGTGGTGGGGTGGGGGCATGGGATGGGATCCGCCACTGTGCCTTGCATACCTAAGGTACTCGTAAGGAAGGGTGCAGAGCCTTGTTCTGCTTTGTCACTAGGTAGCTTATGTAAGCTTTTCATATGGGAACAAAAAGACTCACTTGAGGTTTGTACAGTATATGTATACGGAAACCCACCAATTGAGACTGCATCGAGAAACAAGAGACTGCTGTGGGAGTAACATTATATCTTGACGAGCAAAGTGCGAATCCGTCCGAAGGAACTCCGAAAAAAAACAAAAGAATCAATTCCTTATAGCGCCAAGACTACCCCACGTTATGGATCTAAATGGGGATTATGATGCAATCCTGAGAATCCTCGTAGCAATTGCTACTGTATACTACTCCATATGACAGGCCATCGGACGAGAAGAAGGAGTAGTTAATCATAAATAGAATTGGCCTCCCACTCAATGTTACAGTACTGTATGTATACTTCCACGTGACCTCCCTTCCATCTTATCTCCTTCGGCCGTCGGTGAAAGAAGTCAAAATGCCGACGCTAGCCGTGTTTGCTTAACAACTTGACAACATTTTGGAAAGCTTCACTTGGACTTGAACCAGAACCGCAGCTTGAGACTCTTTGCAAGCAAGCCACAACACCAGAGCAAGACCAACATGTCAGTCTCATCGGCATTGAAGGGTGATGCGGGTCAACAGGCTAGATCACTGGTAAAATCCCCCTTCTCTTCTTCCCTCCTCTTCTTTGCTTGCCTTGCCACTTGGAGTTGGCTTTTGGCGAAGAGTGGTCAACATCTGCTAACATCTGTCTCTATCAGTACCGCCAGTTATTACGGCAAGGCGAACAATTCGCCGCCTATAATTTTCGAGAATATGCCAAGCGCCGCACGCGCGATGCGTTTCGAGAGCACAAGGGCGTGCAGGATGAGAGGCAGCGGCAGGAGTTGATGCAGAAGGGGTTGAAGGACTTACAGAGCATGAAGGTATGCGAATACAGTACTATAATATATCCACTTCGGATTAGAACTAGAGGAAATGAAGGGGGTGTTTTGCGGTAGTTGAGCTGCTGAGGTGCTGTCTGGAGAGGGTTGTTGATGACTAGTTGGTCTTATGTTGTGTTGGGAAATATATACATTCGGGGACATATACTGATATCGCGACCTGAACAGAGACAAACTGTCGTCAGTCAGTTCTTCCAGCTCGATCGCTTAGTAGTCGAAGGCGGGAAATCAGTAAGCCAGCCATGCTTTCAAATCACAACATCTATTCTATTCCCTCCACTAACTCCAACAGGGCAAACAAGGTGGACGAAGGAACGATATAGTTAGACAGAAGGATACCGGGTAAGTTCCTATTTTCTCTCACTCTCACACTCACTCTTTACGTTGCTAATAAATCATTGTAGATGGGACTGATTAAGGAATAAACACGAAAGAGAGTTCAAGCGGATAGATGGATACCTTGGAGGGATTCACGAGCGGATGTGATAGTGAGATGAAAACCCCTCATATTTGTTGTATGAAGAATTGTATAAAGGAGTTCAGGGGCCTTGCAAGGTCGAAGCAGGCCGTCATCGCCTCTCGCATAAATAATATCATATCCGGTTTTGAATGCAGCATTGCATGTGTAGTCGTATTTCTTCTCTTAACGAACTCGTTATTCTGATAAAGGACCATTTCCAGTCTTCCAGACCTTCTATTTCCCTTCTATACTTTATCCAAGTCCCTAAAGTTCGTTCTCTCAAAGCCCATCTCTCTACATACACATCCACGACTATTTGAAAATCTTGTAATTATACCAGCGCTATGATTAATTACATTGATTATACGAGAGGTATGCTACGCTACAAGGCGGTCTATTGCTGCGGCTTGTGGGCAGGCATAGCCGCTAGCCATGGTCCAGCACAAGACATCGCATCGCCCCATGCTCAGCTTAGCTAATATGGATGTTAATAGACGTGATGTTGCTAGGCCGCCTATACTATACTAGGGACGGTTTGCGGACTTCAGTTTCCGTGTTTCAATCAATCAATCAAAAAGAATATCTGATTGATCACCCACAAGTAAACCCCGTAGACGTAGAGGATCGTCGTTTTTGAGTATTTTTCCTTAACCCTTCTGAAGATACTTTTCCCCTCACTCATATCAGGCTCCAGCTCGATAGATATCCAGACCACTAGACTTTTACATCTGCTACACTTGGCGCTAGTAAGTTATTGATGGTTTCGGCGCTTATGTTCCCCAGATTTGGCAGCACGTGATGGAACTAAGCTCTCCGCCTTGGCCCTCGCGTCAGCCGCATGTTTCTCGTCTGAAGTCGCGACTTCCTTTCTCGTCGTCGTCTGCCATCACCACTGCCCCTCCAGACCGCAAATCTATTTTCTGCCGAGCGGTATCGCTTCAATAGAGACAGCCTCACTTCACAGGTAAGTTCAGAACTCCAACTTCATCCAAAGTCAAACCCAATTGCCTCGTCAACAAGCGCTGATATATATGTAATGGCAAGATTCACCGTCAACTCCCCCAGTGCGCATCTCACTCCATACCCAAGCAGTCACATTGCGCCTCGAATCAATCCTTTCTTGGCATCTGCGGCTCCGTATACCCCCGCTACGACCCCTCAAACACCCGTCAATTATATATACAAAGACGATCTTGATTGCGACGGAGATACAGATACCGAGTTTGGCTTTGGTGGTTCTTCGAGTACAGCTATTTTCACGCTCGCAAAATCTTCCGCTCCAAAGGTAGAGTCTTTACCTACCACCGTACCGCCATCCCGACGCCAGTCCATCCCAGACGTCGATATCTCCAAGGCAGATTCGAATTGGGATTCATCACCCGTCGAGATCGAACCACATCTTCAGTCTGTATCAAAGAGCCTCAATTCATGCCCCGAACAGTATCTTCATAAGGAGGAAGATCCATCACCTCTATTTTCTAGTCCACTAAAAGCTTATCCACGCACCAAGCGCAAACTTGGAGCTGTTCAAAGAAGACCCCACCAACTGTAGGACGACCACCAACAAGAACTACAAAGCTCAAGGTCTCATATACAGCAAACAAATCCGTTGAATATTCCAGACTTCCATTTCACGAGAAATCTTCAACAGGGGACAGAAACGGAAAAGGCCCCTCCAGACCTAGGAAGTCTGTTGTATCAGCCGGCAAATCCAAAAATCTTGTTACAGACTCTGTTCTTGTTGTCATATTACTAGTCGTCAATCTACCAATCCCGGGAGAGAGGCTAAGAGCTTTAGAAGTCACTGGTCATATCAAGAGCTTTTACATTCTAGCTTTTCCTGGAGATAATTCCCCAAGGTATATCAACGAGTCTGAACTTGGTCAGACCTTCTCATTTTTTGGAAAGACTCGGCTACTTCGCTCTATCCGCCCAGGAAGGTTCCCCTTTACTGAAAAGATGGCTCCTAGCGTAAGTGTCACCCCAGTATAACCGTATCCACCTAACATTCCTAGTACCGGAATCAAAGCCGGCGTCAGACTAGGCCTGTTGAACACGACATTTTTGAAGGGCTTCCCGTAAGACAATGGAGGAAAGAGTACATCACCATTGCACCTCCAGCCTCCACTGAGACTTCTGCTGCTCAGAATGATATATGGGCTATTGAGCTTCCTCACGGAATGCCCAAGGACTCACATCTACTACCTCAGCACTCCCAGGACCTTTTGCGTGCTGCTCGATCTGGTAAACTCTATGGAAAGCGAACTGCCCCAGCTGAAGAAGAGGAGATTGACCCCGAAATAACCCTTGGGGAGAAACCAGAAAAGAAGGAAGATGACACCAAAGTTCAAGGATACACGGTGAAGACTTGGAAGCAATTACCTCGACATATGGAGGCGCCGGACATCGACTATCTTGCTAAGCGCAGAAAGAATATCAAAACGGTCACAACTAAACCGACAGCAGCACCAACTCTAACGAAAGCTACGGTGAAACGTATAGATGCCACGGGAGCAGAGTACTTGCAAGATGTTGTTGTGCCAAATGGGCAGGAGATTGATGGAGAAGTTGTCGCTCAAACCACAATACCTGATCCAAATGCCAAACCGCTTGACCCATATGCTGCGCCAACGCCGTCGAGGAAGAAGGCGCCGATAAATAGAAAGAGGCCCAAGGGGCCAGGTAGAGGTAGAAAGAAGAAGCCAGCGCCTACGAGTGTGCCAGCTGTGGAAGGGATCCCAAATTCAGAGGGTGTAGTGTCCGGTCCAGAGGTGAGGTCATTCTCCGATGGATGTGAATCAACTAACATTTTAAAGGGCGTTAAAACCCAGCCAGATAATGGTGCACCTACAGCGAATAATGAAGATGTCGACATGGGAGACGGTTCGAATATTGCTTCGGATGATGAGTCAGAAGGAGAGGAGGGTGATGATGATGAAGGTTCGGAACTCGCTCAGGGTTCTCCTGCAAAACGCCAACGGACATCCTCACCTGCCCAATCAAGTCTTCCAACCATGAAAGAGATACCAGATCTGGTCCCTTCACTCGCCTCTCCGGTCCCTCCATTTGCCCAACTTGAAAAGGAGAAGCCGGATGGAAGTCCATTGAAACACATAGCAATTACAACATCAACCCTTACATCACCTATCTCCTCACCCACAGCTACAGCAGCACCGCCTTTCCTGGATCCAGCCTTGGCCCCTGTTCCAATAGAGGGCGCCGAGATTCCACCAGTCGAACCAACAACTCTTGACACTATAATGCAAGAAGCGGTCTCTGAAACGGCGCCTACGGAACTTCCACCCCCTCCAAAAGAAGCAACTATTGTTGAGGAGGTTGCAGCCGTTGAGACACGACAAGAAGAGGAGGAAGAGGAAGATATGTTATTGGACATTGTTGATAATGCTAACAATGCTCTTATGGGTGGCAAGGTGCCGAATGCTATGGCACAACTCGAAGTCCCTGCTAGTGAACCAGTCGCTACAACGGATCCTGAGGCTCCTGTTAGTGTGCCAGTCGCTGCTGCAGGCCCTGAAGTATCGATTCCGGCTGTCGATGTTGAACCCGCTCAAGAACAACTAGAATTAGAGTCAATGGTTGCTGCCGAAGCAGCAGAGCCAGAACATGAGCAGATCGAACCGACCAAAGTGGAGGATCCACTTGTTGAATCGCCAAAGCAATCAGGACAAACTACCCCAGCAGCGATCAAGACCCAGAAAGCTACCAGTGAAGCACCCCCCTCGCCAGTGAAGGTACAGCCTGAGGTTGTCCCTGCCTCTGAGCCAGAAAAAGCACCAGAGACCGTTGAAGACGAGGACGACTTCCCAGATCTGTTAGGTGGGTTGGAAAAGAGCCTGGGTAACCCTGCGCTTACGCGGACGTCCATTCCCGTTGAAGAACCTGTAGTAGCTGAAGCTGTAAAGGAAAGTGGGGGTGGTGATGCGGATGCGGATGAGGATGAAAAGAAGGATGAATGAATGGGGGATTATGATTGCTTGATTGATGAATGAAGTATCCAATACAATGTTTTGATTTGCAAAAGAAGGGAATGAATGGAATGCACGATGTTATGAATAAGCACCGTAAGATAGCACCGACGCAGAAGCTGTACTGTACTTACTGTATTATATTTTTATTTACTGGCATAATATGATACGATTATTCGCTTCACTTATATACACGTGGTACCTAATTGATTTCTATCTTTCATCCATTCTTGTATCTCGATTCCAAGTTCTACTACTATGTAGGCTAGGTAGGCCGTGTATGCATGCATGTATCTTATGTAAATAGTTGATAAAAACAGAACAGACTACGCTATGCCCTGCCGTCATGTCAACACCGCGCTCATCAATCAATCAAGCAACTAACGTCTAGCCCAGCCTAACCCGACCCAGCTACCAAGACTGAAATATATCTACTCTATTCATCTCCCATCAATCATTCATTCAGGTTTATAAAAAAATATTCAAAAGGTAAAAAGCCACTCCTATTCCCGTCGACAAGGAATTTAACTTGACGAAGTCAAGCAATCAGAACCTGTACCTCCTCGGCAGTAAACCCGAAAATGAATAACAGCTCTAATAAACTACTCCCGTTCAACCGTGCCTGCGCCTCCATCTGCACAACCGGCTTCGCGTTCCACGCCACGCCTAGTCCGGCCGCGCCCATCATGAGCAGATCATTCGCGCCATCGCCGACAGCGACCACCTGATCGATATGCACGTTTTCCTTCTTCGCGATCTCGAGCAGTAACTCGCGCTTCCGTTCCGCGTTAACTATGGAGCCGGATACTTCGCCCGTGAAGGTGTTGGTTGCTGGGTCGGAGACGAGGGAGTTGGCGTATGCGTAGTCGATGCCGAGGGAGTCGGCGAGGTATTGCGTGAGTGGGATGAAACCACCTGAGAGGACGGCTGTTTTACAACCGATGCGTTTCAGAGCGCGGATTAGTTCGCGGGCGCCTTTGGTGGGTGTGATGACTGATTGTAATTTCGAGAATATGTCGGCGTCGACTCCGCGTAACAGTTTTACGCGTTCGCGGAACGAGGAGGAGAAGTCCAACTCGCCGTTCATAGCACGCGAGGTTATGGTGGAGACGGCGTCTTGGACGTTGATGGAGGCGGCGAGGAGGTCGATTACTTCTTGTTCGATTAGTGTGGAGTCCATGTCGAAGACTACCAGTTGTGGGTAGCGGCGTAGCACTGTATCGACTTGCAGAACAACATCCACGTTCCATTCCCGCTCAAAGCGATATAGCAGTTCGTGTTTCCGTAAGTCGGCTAGGGTAAGGTATGTAGCGTCTGGCGGCGGGGAAAACGTGAGCTCCACGATACAAGGATGCTCGGGATTATCCAGACATCGGTGCGAAGACGTCAGCGTCTGGGACCCCGGGGGGAGGGCAACGATGCGATGAGGTGCAGAAAGGACGTTAGACATAACGGCGAGATATACGAGCCGTACAGATGATCCAACGGCTCTGGATCAGGTGGCGGCGGCTCGAGCGGGAAATTGCTCAGTGAGCGCGTAGGCGCCATGTTTGGCGGGATGGTACCGGGGGTATTTATTCTCGAGGGCGAGGGCGAGCGGTCAATTGGCGGGGCCGGGAAGATGCGCGGGGAGTCGTTCTTGTACAGGATCGTGGCGATTACACGATCAGAGGTTGTACCTGGCGGGGCTTGGCAGTTTGTGTGTGTGAGGGTGTGATTCAGGCCGCTGTCGACGATTTTAGGCGGCGAGTGAGGGGAGGGAACACCATTGTAGGGTTTGAGAGGGGGTGAGGGCGTGATGGATGTATTCTGCGTACGTTCCACGATGCTGTCGATTCCTTCATGGCCGTCGGGTTGAGGGGGGCGGTACTGGGAGAGTTCTTGCACGTAGGAGCTGCTGCGCATACCGGCTCCAAGACTTGGACGGTTGGCTCGCGTATTGGGGGTTTCGGCCATTATTGAAGGTGGTTGCAACGGAGTCGCAGAGGAGGGGGTGGTGGTGTTGTGTGGAAGGAGGATGTGAAGTTGAGGTTATTGATGGAGGGGTAAATCTCGGTGTGCCATCGCTGCCGATCAGGGCCAGGGGTTCTGCATAAATAGTGGTGGGGTTACAAGGTTAACATAACTTTATGCAGGTCTCCCCTTTTAACAACGCTCTTGAATCTTGAATACTCCTACGTTTCTTCTTAATAATCATCTTTGTGGCGGATATCACTTGCTTTGATTTGTTTGAAGCACTGACAGTATAGCGTTGTAATCTGTACACGCCTTTCTTGGAATCGGATCTTTGATCCTTGTTTTTAGCTTTAAAGAATAGCAAACTCATCTTTGTTTACTTCTTTGTTATCAAATTATGGAATCTCGCTGCAAGATGTAAGAAATGCTTAGTGCCTATCTATATTACTTTCATCTTTGAAATATCAGATCACGTCGAGGATTAACAATATCCTTACTCTTTTGATATTAGTTTATTAATCTCCGTTCAGATTTCAAAGGGTTTGTCTCTCTCTAAGCCACGATGAAATCTACTAACATGTGAATTTCTTTTGGACGGTTTTGTTTCTATCCTAGCAGATGGTAGGACGTACAAGAACATACTCCACCATCCATTCCAAGCCTCGCATTGAAACACAAGAACTGAAACTAGGATAACGAAGTCCAAGTATAATTCTAAAAGGTGGACTATCCACCACGGCATGGCAATCCGGAAGACTAGAATTTCTTAAAAGGGGATACAGAACTGATGATCAAAGAAAATTATAGATCTCGCAGTAGCGCACCAAGTTAAAGCCTCTATAGGTTGTTTAATCTCTTTCCTGGACTTGTTCTCTACATGTACGGAAAAAAGTCGCTGAATACACAAGCGAGTTGTAGTCCCTTGCCCCGTATTCCAAAACTTATTCCATACACGCAGAGCTTCTTCTCAATAAATCCCTCCGTCCATCCAACTTCCAACTGCTGTTAAAAACCAACCTCTACCACAGATCTCTAAATCAAAGCATCCATACCAAAGCACTAGTGCTCGAACTCGGAAGAAAATATTGATGTCGGTCTACTCGAAACCCGTTAGCTGAGGAAGAAGAAGAGTTCCTTACACTCGCGAGTCGCGCCTAAGGGACTATATCTCGGTGTAGAGGTATAATCTGCAGAAGTAATTACGGATATAAAGAGAGGAAGACGTCTATAAGGAGTAAACCACTTTAACCCTACCCCCCTTCCCCGGTAGTGATTCATAGGCTTATAACAACTATACGTTTGTGTTAAAGAGATATGATATTTACTTTACTCTACTGCTTTCACATTTTTTACTAGTAGTGCGTAGATTGGATTACATTATATTGCTGCGTGCTTGTCAGACGGGGATGTGGAAAGGGATATAAGGAAAGGCTATCTAGCGTGCGGATTTGTGAGGTTGTTCTGGGGGGAGGTCGGACTGAGTGGTGTGTTTGTGTTTGTGTGTGAGTTGTACGTACATGTAGAGAGAGGGATATAGGTAGGCAAGGGAATTACTGCTTTTTGGTACTTGCTTGTTTTAGGCGTTTTTGTTTCAAAGGCGCTTGATGGTTTGTTTGTACACGTACTGTAATACTTGTATGAATAATGTCACAGCTTGGATGAGGGATGGATTGTACAGCGACCATTGCGTGCGTGCGTGCGGGGTTCTTCTACCCCACTCATAATCAGCACCCACAACCACACCACCACCATAATACCTCACGATCTAGAGCACGAGCACGAGCACGACGATGTATTAATGTGAAAGAGTGTTGTAATCTTTGTTTCATTTTTATTTCTGTGTGCAATGCAATGCAACTTTTGATATCAATCAATCCTTTTTGTATGTGTCGTGTGCCGCTCGCTCCATCAAATGCAATGTGTGGAAAAAAGAATGCTTCCGATAACGCCTGTCATACCGCGGGTACCTTGGGTAGATGTCCTTGTACCCTCCAACTAACGCCAAACACCAATACGCTCGTCCATTTATCAATCAACTATGCAGCTTTCAAAAAAGGGTGTAGGAGAAAAGGTAAGGGGGGAAGAAGGCAGGAGAGAGGTGTCACGCCGCAACACTAACCTCCCCAACCCTTTCCTTCTCCTCCCCAATCTCAATCTTTCCCAGTCTCGCATCCAACTCATCCCTCTGCGCCTTCTGCTCCACCTCCCACAGATACTGCGCGTACTTGCTCCGCTTATTATGAATCCCGCACTCCGTCTTCGCCTGTCCCTTCCAGCGCCCCGCCCGCTCATCCTCGCCCTCGCGCACCGGCTCCGTGCTATGCCAATCGCCCACGCTCTTGTACCCCCGGTCCAGCAGCACGTTGTACGGAACGTCGTTCTCGCGGATATACTCTTGCACCTGCGCGAAGCTCCAGCTAGCCAGCGGGTTAATCTTGATCAGGCCCGCCTCGTCGATCTCGATAATGTCCAGCGATTCCCGCTTCGCGCCTTGAGACCGCCGACGCCCGGTGAGCACGGCTGCAACAGATAGGTCGGAGTATGCGCGCTGCGCAGGCTCGACTTTGGCTACCCAGTCGTACAGATCGGCGTCTGTTTTCCAGAGTTCTGATCCGTGCTTGGCTTCGAACTCGGAGGCTGTGGATACGCCTTCGGGTTTGTAGACGTGCAGGTTTACGTTGGGGTAGCGTTGCTTGGTCTTCTCGACGAGTTCGAGCGTCTCGGTGAAGTGGTACAGTGTGTCGAGGAATATGGCATCGATGCTAGGTGCGGACGGGGTCTCGGTTTGTAGTTTCGAGAGCATGTCTAGGGTGACGAGGCCGGAGACTCCAAAGGCGGTGGTCTGGTAGAGCGAGGGGAAGGTGAGCTTGCACCAGCGGAGGATCTCGAGGGGGGTGAGGGTGTTGAGGGTTGAGTTGAGGAATTTTAGATGTGCTTTTGTGAGGATGATAGAGGGGGAGGGGTCGGCTGAGGAAGAGCCAGATGCATAGCCAGACTCGTTGTTGGAGCTGGAGGATGATTCGCGGTGGTGACCCATTGTGGTGGTGTTGAGAAGCTTCTGTGCTTGAAGCTGAAGAGGATATTGACGGACAGGTAATGTTTAGGTGGTAGAGAATTTGTTTGTTTCCCAAGGTTGAATGCAGTGTTTGAAGTGAAGACTTTCTCGGTGAGTATGACAAGAACAACAATTTGCAATGATCAGTCTACGGGATAAGACTTATAAAGCAAACTCAATATGACGTTCATTCAATAGCAGAAGAGCAAGATGGAGCAGCAAGCGTGTATATAAAGGAGAACCCCCATCCCCATCCTCACTGTGGAGACAAAGCACGACACGCATTACCAATGAGGACTCCAAAGAGGATTCCTCAGCCAAAGTTGAGTGATTGCACCTTCTCACGTTACCTGCTCTGACATCTCCGTAGGCGGTGATGGAGGGAAATTTGGAAGAAAGATGTGATGGCGTGCTCACCGCTAATCCAGATGCGGTAAGGCGGTCAGGGACTCGCTTGGCCTGATTGGTGCATCTAGACAGCACACGAGCGTTTGCAGCTTTTATAGAGATACAGTTCAAGATCCCTTGCAGCGTAAACATCGCTTTAGTCATTATGCTGGTTTATATTACATGGAGATTACAGGAATATTCAGGCAGAATGATGGGATAATCAATTGATAGGATAATTACGAGAGAATGCATTCATTCTATGATACAGCACAGCTGAATTAATTATGCGAACAAAGCCCGAGCTCGAGGGCATGGGATGGGATGGGATGGTGTCATATCTCGTGACTGCGAGCCGCGATCCAGGAGTTTGGCACGAGCGATGGCGTGCGAATCCATCCCATCATGTCGGGATTTGCGGGGCCGAGTCAAGTCAATGACGATGAGATGTTCTTCAGCCTTGCGACGAGGCTCCAGTACGTGTGGCAAACTAGTAAGAATCTAGTTAGTCACTAGAGAGAGTACCAGTAACGCATCCATTTATCACATGTTCCGTCACCTATCAATGGTCCGCATAAAACATTTGCATACCTACCTTTAGGTAAACATTATTATTATTATCATCATCACTTTCCTTTTCTAGCACTCATACTCCGTAGATGAAAATTCCTCGGAAAGAAAAACTTCACGGGATTGCGTTACTGAGGCAGCAGCTGACCTTATGATAAGCGAGCCCCTTTTCACACGGTTCACTGCCTAATTAATGACCCTCGATATCATTCTCGCTTTATATATATATATATATATACCTACATACTTTGCATATAAGCAGCAGCTGTTCAAATGTTAGGATTAATGCGTGAAGAAAATCTCATACTGCCTTGCCTCCCGTTCTCAGCAAGTCAGTCTGTTTGTTTACTGATCCATCCGTCTTTGTGCCCTGTGAGGTAGGCGCAGCGAATAACTACAACTACGCCGTGGACTTCCAGAAATCAAAGCAACAGGGCAAGGCGATTATGGCTCATGGCTCATGTGATGTAACTCTCGGGCGGTGGTGTTGAGGCTTAGTAGTAGGGCTGCATGGACCTCGTGATGGTTGTCCAGCTGCTGACGCTTACGAGCGGTTGCATTACACATACTCGCTTGTCCTTAGTCTGACACTCATACTTGTCATATGGCGATAGAGTTCCACGCATATAACCCTATTATCCGTCCCTAGCATAGCGGGACTAGTGAAATTAATTCATGTTTAAAGTGAGGGAGTTCGTAGTTGGAGGATGGATTTTACTACTCACTTACAGCTGTATTCTTTAGGTGGCACGGAGGTTAGGAATATGAATTGCGGAGTTGCCTGTCAGATTTGAGGAAGACGTGTAAGACGGGGCTTTGCTTTAATTTGTCAACCGAATGGCGCAGCAAAGCTTTTGTGTAACATCAGCTAGCCCTACCGTCCGTCCAGTTAATGCATAGAACTCACTTGCGGATTCTGGAAAGGTAAGTAAGACTTGGTTGATCGAACGATTTGTAAACTTCCGGTTTTGATTTGCGGTAGCGGTTGGTGGCGGCTTATTCAGAGTGAAGTCTTGTCGCCAATAAGCTTGAAGGCGGGATATATACCGAAGTCTTGGGACTGTGTTGACTGGTATCACACGTCAGATATACGGATTCTTGTTACACCGTTTGTCGATTTCTCGTACGTATCGTATCTTGGCGAGTGCTGAGTATTCTCAGGCGGATTTCTGTGAGGCAGCAGCTTATGCCTGAAAGAGGGAGGCAAGGAAGGGGGTATAATAAGTAAAGTGCTGCTGCTGAAATGTAAGAAGAAGTTTTCCAGACATATCTGCATATTAGTTTGAAATAACGAAATTATATACTCTGAATACTTGATACCGACAACTACTATAATAACCTCACTTGCAAGCTCCAAGACAATCAACTAGTCATGGATCACGTAGCTATTTCTCCTACTGTCCAGCCTTCTGATATTAAGAATGGTGGGGTGACCGTCCAGATCCACGAAGTTGAGGCCAAGCGTAGCCAGGAACCTTTGACTACAAGCGGTACTGCTGCTCCTGTTACTTGCCCGGCTTTTGAAATTCCATCTGATTTCCAAATCCATGATGTTGATGGTAATCTGGGCGCCCTGCTAAGACGCCTAGCAACCGTCTCAAGTCACCTCCATCCCCACCACTTGGAATTCTCGTGAGTAATGATCTCTCTCTCTCCCCTCAATCCAACATTCCCGTAAGTCTCTCCAACCACAATACTGACTCGATATTGCAGAGTAACTTTAAAGGGACCTTTGCTGGAAGTGGCTTCAACTTAATCTTTCGTCCCAACAGTGGACCACCAACAACAACGACATTCCCCAACCCCATCTCCGGCCCACCCGCACCAGCCGTCCCCAACGAGAACGTCCTTGAGCTGAACCTCACAACAGAAACCCTAGCCTTCTCCACCCCCATCGGCACAGTTCCGAACCGTGGCCTGCAGAAACAAAACGACATCTTCCTCAATGGCGTCCCTTATATCCAATCCATCAGCGACGTAACCAACACCACGACCGGCAAAGCCGACGGCGTCCCAGCCCCAATCCACTTCGAGCCAGGCCTCTGGATGCACATCCCCTCAACGGCCGAAGACCCAACCCTCAACACGTCCCTCGCACGCATGGCGTCCATCCCCCACGGCACAACCATCAACGCGCAAGCCCTATCCCCCAGCTCCTCCGTCCCTGGCCCCCCCACCATCCCAGCCGTCGACATCACACCATTTCCGATCGGCGGAGGGGCGTCTATTCACTTCGTCGCCCAAGACGCAGCGAACACCGGCACGCCGCGTCTCCCGCAAGACCTCACGCCCTTCATCGCAGCAGGCACCATCACCCAAGCCATCCTCACAGACCCCAACACCGTCCTCCGCACCGCGCTCGCCGCTCAGAAAATCACCAAAACAGTCGCATTCACCGTCTCCACTTCCCCCACAGCCCCCGAACTCGGCGGCGGGACAGCAAACATCGCGTTCCTGCAAGGCGGCGCTACGTCTCCCCAAGTAGGTCCCAATGCCAGCGCCGTGCAGATGAGCGCTACGTTCTGGATCGAGACGGTGGAGCATGAACTTGTCGTGCCGGTGTTTACAAAGGGGGATAAGGCGTTGAAGCTCTCGCCTGAGGGATCAGGATCAAAGTTGGTTTTTGAGGTCAAACCGCCGGTGGATGTGACGGCCCCGAAGACGATCGTGGTGCATTCGACGCAGATCCAGTATAGTCAGCTTGTGTTTTTGAATTTTGCCGGGTTGACTTGGCCGCATGTTTCCGTGGCTACGTTGGCGCCTGAGGGGGTTTTGAGTGTGCCGGATTCGGTTTGGAGTTGAGGAGGTAGGTAGGTAGGTAGGTAGGTAGGTAATTGGCGCGAGGTGGAGTAGAATAGAGAGGGGACAACGTGTGGGTTTTCATTTTGGGAGATTGGGTGGAATAAATGTTATTCGTTTGAGGCTCACAATCATTTAAGTAGTTCTATGGAGCAGTTTATAGGAATATGAGTTTTCAAGTTATCGTTGTGCTATTACTAGCCTATTAGCTGATTGTACATCTGCATACGTGACATAGTGGTGCGGTATTAGTTATTGACCAACATTATATACCTACATACCTACCTCCCTACTCTTAAGTCTAGAGAGTAGACTAACTCCAAAGTTCAGTCATCTATAAACAAACTATAACATAACAAGAAACTCTTGCATAATCTCCGATTCAGCAGTCATGCTTTTCCGCCTCCAGTACAGTAACAAATTCACTTCCCAATTCTCATACAATGTCCCATCCATATTCACTTACAAAGATATGGATCGATCCACCAGAGAGATACAGAGATTTTCCTCTCCCGAAGCACAGACTCCAAGTGATTTCTTATCTTTCTTTTCTCTTTCCCTTTTCTCCTTCTCCTTCTCCTTCTCCTTCTGCATCGGAAACAAGAAGGAAGCGATTCCCAGATTCAGCAAAGCAACAGCCATAGATATATCAGGAAATCGGATTGCGCAGATACAATGGCTTGCCCATCAACTCATTCCGGCTCCGTGGCACGACGCCTGCGTTATCGCGAATAATGTGTCGGATTTGATTCTCAGTGTACGTTTATGAACCCTCTCTATTCCGAGCAGTCAGCATCTCTACACCAGACATATAAAGACCATCAATGACTATAACAAGATACCTCTACCTTACTCCCTCCTCTCCAAAATCTTGATCATGAGAATCAATACTTCACATCTTCATCTTCATCTCACGCCACCTCACTCCAAGCACTACACACTAACATCCATCCCCACCCACCCAGCGCTTTCTAGGCTGTTCAACCCACCGCCCAGCTTCCAGCTCCCCACACGCAGGTAACTGCTTTGTTTACTACAACACCACCACCAGCGACCCCTCTAACACTACAGACGCCGCATCCTGTTTCTCCTCCGCCCTCCAAGCCCTCTCTCCCTCCGTTCTCCTCAATAATGTCGACATGGCTTGTCTCCCCGGTCTGCTACCAACATCAACATCAACAACAAGCTCTCGTACCTCAGCGGCAACGCTCAGTGGTGAAGCATTTATCACGCTCTCCGACACTGCGTTTCCAAACGGGGCGGCGAAAGCTACTGCGACTGCGAAGGCTAAGAAAAGCAGGGCGGCGAAATCGGGAGGAGTGGGTGTTGCTAGGATGTTGGTCTTTGGACTGCTTGTCTGCGGTATGATGGGATAGATAGCTCGCTGATTATGGGATTTTGGGACGAGACCTTTTGAGAGTGGAGAGTTGGAGTAACAAATGAAGATTGGTCAATAAAAGTAGATTGGAATGGGATAGAATAGCACAGAGATAAGACTTGCTAGATAATAGAATTGCCGTTTATGGGTTCGTTGGGATGTACTGGACGATGGGCTCTTTCTTGTTTTAGATATTAGACTACCAGGCGTGGATCTGGGTTTTGTTTTGTAGCTAGCTGCGGCGTGCTGGCTGGTAATAAGACACTCTGTTCGTATCAAATAGTGCACCTTGCTGGCCTAGGAATCTGTATCATATGATGGTTCTCATGGTGTTAGTGGTTTGGTTTCCAAGGATCTAAGTCTAGTAGCCCTACAAAGAGGTTAAGGTATGCCTCCACCGTTACATTGCTTAGTCATTGGCTCTAGGGTCATATGACTATACAGATACATACATATCCCGACACCCCTCTTCCGTTTCTAGGAAGACAAGTTTATCAAGCTGTGGAATCGATATAAAGGCCACTATTGATTATATACCTACCTAGGAAGAAGTATTCAATTATCCTAGGTCATCTTCCGGCTATGCTCTGTTTCTAAACAAGTTGTTTAAAACACCTATACTGCATTGAATACCATGGGGGGAAGTGAGGGGTTCACATGATGTGAATAGCTGGTTATGGTGTGTTATATAAGTAAAGGCCACAAGTTGAAAGCTATCAAGATCCAAGATCGACAGATATTCAACTCCACGAACTTAGATAAATCCAGTTTCGATCCTACACCACGCAAGCTAAGGTAGAACCATCAATCGAAATGCCAACACCAACTTGCCCAACTACTCTGATTCTGAGCTCGCCACCTTGGGTGAACGCTGTAAGCACACCATCTCCTATACTTCATATCCAGCACCTCCACCCCTAGCCATCACACCCCCCAGTGCATCCCCACTCCTCTACTCCAACCCCGGCCCCTACATCCAAAGCCCCTAAAACCCTAACTCCATAGTGCGTTATATCAACCGCCCTCCCCCCACCCCTCGTCACCGCATTCCAAACCTGCTGCACCGCCGCCGGCGCCCCCCTGCTCTCCAACCCAGAATACAACTGCTACCAATACTGCAACAACACCGACAACCGTGTCAGCAGCTGTTTCGAGGCCCTGAAGCTGGGGGATGTAGATGAGAGATGCTTCGGGGGGCATTGGGACGGCGACGCTATCGGGGATGGGGATGGGATTGGGATCAACGGCTACGAGTACGCCTACGAGCAGCAGCGCTAAAGAGGCGAAAGCTGTGGCGCGGGGGGATAGGAAGGTTAGTGTAAGGGTTTTGGTGGGGATTGCGGTGCTGGTTTTTGGTGTGCTGTTGGTTTAGGGATGGGAATGAGGTGGTGGTTGGGAAGTAACTAGGTGGTGGGCGAGAAGGAAAGAAGCTTTGTTGGTTGGCTATTATGCTATGCAATGCTATGCAATACAAGGGAGTCTGTGGCATTAATTAAGTGTTTTGGACTCTTAAATCACATAGGCTAGATAAAAACAGTAAACTAGAGTCTGTTTGAGTTTTCATAGATTAATCGATTACCGTGTTCCATCCATATCTCATGTTGGATCTTTGCTGCCCCTGATTAGCTACGCGATTGATTCTTCTTCTAGGCTTCACTTGTATACAGCATATACTTGAAACCTAAAGTTATACACGAGGACCTTTATTATACTTCTTAATCCTCATAATGAGGCGTCCGACTTATGTAGACTACCTGCTTATAAATGAAAGAACAGTAAAATCAGATACCCGCTTTCAACTTGCAAACATCTATATCACTCAGCACAAGAAAAGTTCTACTTCAAAAGGATTGCATTTGATTGTATCTATCTACCAACCACAGCTAGCTAGCGTTTACCAGGTCCCCAAGTTGCCGGAAACCGAGTGCTAGGTCCCGGTACCCTACGCGGTTCTAGCATTTGGCCCGTCCACGCCCGTTCACTGTGATAGCGGCTCGCATTTGTTGTAACGCGGTTTACGAGCCTGGCGTCTTGGATGTGGGGGTTTTTTATTGGGGGTGGAAGTTTGCGGGTGTTGGGATCCATGGTTGTTAGTGTTATGCTGATAGTGCGTTGAGCTGAGTTGTGAAGAGCGCTAGCGTGGTTGATGTAGGAACTGGTACTGTATTATGTTGGGAAACGTAGGCGCGCGTTTTGCTTTTGAGTTAGATTTGAGGAATCATGAATGAAACGGGGAAGAGAAGGATCCTACTTATAGGCTGGGATTTCTGGCTATGAATGGTGATGGCTCGTATGATTGATTAACATGCCGTACCACTTGATCATTGTATAACACTTATCATTCACTAACCCTCTTTTTGAAATGTTCTACGCTATATGTGATATTCTGTTTTGATATAATAAAATTTGCATTCGTGAGTTTAGAAATGTTATACCTTTTATACTGGTGATCGAGATCCCTATAACCTGGTACTTCGTGTGGGACTGGTAACAGAAGGCGAGATAGGTAGGCTCTAGCACCCTTTCCTAAAAACGCCATTTCCCTACTAGTACTATATATTCACATTTCAGTCGTTCTCAGACTTACTAATGACTAGGCGACATTTGAGTCCATTCCATCCTTCCAAGAAAGTGACCCCAACACCCGTCCAAAACCTTTCTATCCCACAACACAGATCCATAACACACTCTTCCAAGCCATCCCACCATCTCAACACCTCACGAACCCCAACCCACAAACCACCAAGCAAAATGGGATCCTACTGCGCACCCACCCCCCTCCTCGCCTGCCCATCCTGGCAATCCAACGGCTGCGCCCTCCGCCAGCACATAACCAACCAATACCCCGACATCCTTGCCGACTGGACCACATGCTGCAGCGCCTCGCACGTGCCCACCAATGCCTTCTTTTCCTGCGACTGCTACATTTTCTGCAACACGACAGAGGTGCAGGCCGTGACGAACTGCTTAGGTCCTGCGCTGCAGGCGTTGAATCCGCCTGTGGATATTAATGCGATTGATTTCCATTGTACACCGACCGCTATTTATGTTTCTGGTGGAAGTGGCAATTCTAGTTCGACTGGTATGGCTACGGCTACGGCTACGACTACTAGTATGGGAGGGGGAGAGGTAACGGAGACGGCTACTGAGATGGTGACTGAGACTACGACGGATACTGCAACTCTGAGGTCAAACCAGGTGGTTGGGACGGCTGCGATGGCAACTTCGACGACTAAGGCAAAGGCGTCTGTCGGAAAATCGGTTTCGATGGGTGCTACGTTTATGGTTGGATGTCTTCTCTTCGGACTCCTCGCATAGCATGGTCCCAGGGGGGAAAGGATCGCCGGGTGAAAGACTTTAGGATATGAATTTAGATGGCCGCACGTAGTATGTTACTGAGGCATTGGTTGCGTTAATGTGGGTAGCAATATCTGAGGTTTGATCATAGAGGTATACATTATATGGATGGAGGTGGAGCAGTAATTTAGGTTTCCGATAAATTGCAGTCAACTTACGCATAAATTGTCATTTGTACCTTATGCTTGAACCAAATGACTCTTGTGCCACTGATAGATAATTCTACTAATCTGGTAAATTAAAAAAGTGAAAGCTTTAGGGAGCGAAGTTGACAACGGTCATTATGAAGACCCAACGAGTATGAGCTCGATCCTATACGCCGCAAAAGCACACTCTCAAGAAATACGGCATAGCTAAGAGTCTAAGACCATCCATCTTGCAAAGGACATTATCCCACCGTACCCAGAAAACACGCTATTTACGAGACACATATATACACTCTCGAAAAGCTCCTTAAGCCTCCCTCCATTGAGAGTGATGTACATCAATAAGTACTTCGATTCCTTGTTTCCCCAGGGAGTTTTTTAAGAAGGTAGGACAAGAGAGACACATGCAAATATCCAGTTCCTACAATTACAAAAACACTCCAGATTGAAAAAGGGGAGAAATCAACCAAGAAGAAGAGAACAAAAGAAAGGAGTATATGTCGTGAGGAATTTCCGTATCGGGTAAGTGCCACTGTATCCGCAAGCGAAAGGACAGCTGCTTACGTCAGCATCTCTTTTGATCATGCATTAGATGAAGCACTTTATTTTCGTATTCCATTTTTTCTTTAGCTCAGTACATATCGATATACATGAATTTATCCTTAAATACTAGTTTCGGCCCCCACAGTGTTCCACGGCCATCTCCTTAAGATGGGCGCGAGAGGCAGCTCATTGACCCAACTCCTTCCAACAACAAATGGCATGCTATCATCCCATCTTTTAATACCATGGGCATGCAGCAGACCTGCTAACGTAAGAGCCTTTTTAAGAAGCCTCCCATGGACATGAAAAGCGACATGACGTTAATTTATAATGTGCTAGGTAGCGTGGGAAATTAATGAAAAGTGGGTGAGAGTAAGGTGAGCTGTTTTTCATGTTTATTTATTAGGCCTTTTGACTAAGAGAGGGGGTATATCCAACAAAGAGAGCCAAGAATGCTGCTGTAAAGCATCCGTAATCTATACACGAGTCCCAAGAATCTATCCACAGCCAAAGCAATGTCGCAAGTCTTGAATGCCACGTTGGGGGTATCAAAATCTGGTACCTAGCCGGCCAAATATATCTCTGGACTCCACTCCAAAATGTCAAATCACAAAATACAAACACCAGACTTCAAGATTTCTTCCCTCCCCTCCCCTTCAACTTTGGCCCCTGAAATTTCTCCCACTTCGTCTTGGTATAAAACTCCAGCACATCCTTATCCATAGGAAGCAGCGTGCGCTGAAACCCCGTCACCCTCAGCCCATCCGCATTCGTGGCCCTCGAAAGCGCCACATAAAGCTGGCCCGGCTCGAAGATATCGCGCGAGGAAACCTCGACGTATTCCAGAGTCATCCCTTGGCTTTTGTGGATAGACAGTGCCCATGCGAGAGTAAGGGGAATCTGCGTCCTGCATACAACGTATTGCTCGTGGATTTGCGCACCGCCGCGTAGGGATGCAGAGGCAATTGCGGGAATGAGATGGATGGTGCCGTCGGCGAAGCGGACGAGGGGCCGCATGTCGTTGTTCGTTTGTTTGTATGCGATCATGCAGTCTTTTCTGAATGACGGGTGCTCTCCGGATGGGTCGATTCTTTCGAGTTCATGTGCGTGCTCTGCAGGTTGGAATCCGATGATTACGCCTGAGCCGTTCACGAGAGTAGGCGACAGGTTGTATAGTAGCACGACGCGGGCTCCGACTTTTAGAGTTAGATCATCCAAGAACCTGTGATCTCGAAGGGAGTCGGCGTATTCCTTGCATTTGTACGATGCTCCTATGTCGTGGAAGCTGCAAGAGTCAGTATTGCTTGATCGATGAAAATGTGGGGTTGGGGGGAATTAGAAATCCCAAGACATTGCAAAAAGCTGGGTATAAAATGCCTGTAGAATTGTTTACCCATCCTTATCCTTGGCGAGTTTGATATAGTCATCCTTTGCTCGCCATACTTTGGGCGAGCATCGAAGTAATGCCAACTGCTGCTCGTTGAATTTCTTTACCTCGAAGAGTTTCGACATCAGGCGGATAGCAAAGGCATTCCGAGGGAGCTCCTTTGGGCGTTCTAGATGGTGCCATTCCTCATCTGTGAGTTCAGTGCCGCTACGAATTTTGTTCAAGACGTCCTGGAAGTGGAAATCCTTTTGCCGATGGATCTTTTCCAACTTGACATGGCGTAGCTTCAGTTCTTTCCACACGTTTGCCTTGAAAGCCCATTTAGAGCTCCAGGTGAGGCCCACGGCTCCTTCCGGCAACTTGCATCCCTTGGTTGTGCAGTTTGGCTCCTTGCTATTGGCGGGTATATCTGCTCTGCATTGCAAGCAGTGAGCAAAAGATTCAACCGGCGGAACTGCAGCGGGAGTTAGCTGGTATTTTGGGAGTGTTTGAGGGGCAAAGAAAAATAGTTCAGGAGTCGTGAGACAAATTTGGTCCACAGACATGCGAGGATAAAAGATATACGGGATATTTGGTAGCTTACGCTGATGAAAGTCGCCCAGAAATATGACTTGCTTGCCACCAAAAGGAAGCGTATTTTCCATGACGCTTTGAAAAAGTAGATTGAGACGCTCTAGGAACTGGTTCTCAACCATTGAGATTTCCTACAAGGCTCTCATCAGCATGGCGCTTTCAAAAGAAGGAATAGTGGCTCTTGAGCCCCGTCCCAACTTCTCGCTTAGAAAAGTATACCAACTTCGATGACTAAAACGTCTAGATCTTCAATGCGTTTGATCGTGCCTTTCCTGCGCTTTGAGTAGATCTACTATACCCTCCCGAAAAGAATCGGGATTCCACTGTTCATTGTTAACGTTGATATCATCCCAAGGAAAGTCCGAGGTCTGCTTACGCCAGCGAACGAGTAGGTAGTCTTCCCACTCAACGGCAAAGCCGCAATTCCCGTCGGCGCAATGACTTGCACGTTGTTGCCCTTCTTTTTCATCTTGGCGTTCCCGATTACTGCATTGAAGTGGGAAAATATTGTTTGAGATGGAGAGTAGTGGTTTATTCTATCGTATTAGAGCTGCAGTTGAGGGTTGTAGGCTGCTAATATTCCGGCCCTTCTTGCCAAGTAAACTTTTTATGAACGGTCAAGGAGACGCGTCTGTGCACGGACCATTTCAGGATTAATGTGAGAATGTGTTCCTTAATTACATTTCATTTTTCAAAGCACAACACCACAGAACGAGACTGGACAAATAATAGGATTATGCTCAGGTAAACCTCGAACGGCCCGGGAAGTTGTATCACATTGAGCACACTCCAAATCATAGGAACGTCACTTGCCTTCGTATAGTAAAATTCCGGCTCGGAAACCGGTAGGTAGGAAGTTGCATCTAAATAGATACTGGAGTCTTAGATCATATGTCTCGGTACTGACAATGATTCGATTCAGTTTCTGGTTTACATATTCGATGTGACCCCTATTGGTAATAGCAGAGCAAAGTCTAGGTTACTGTTTCCTCATGCCTTCTGTACCAAGTGCACTTGATTGCTCATGACCAGAATACATGGCACGCATATCGGATCTAGCTACTTTATCAACATGTGATCTACCTGAGCATAAATGAAGCAGGCTTGTACCCATAGTTGCTTACTTGAGACGAAGCTACAATTTGAAAAAGTAGATTGAGACGCTCTAGGAACTAGTATAAGCTTAGCAAAGTTCTAGGACTCTACTTGGTTTCGTTTTATTCGGGTACTTCTACCCGGGCCTAATTCATCGTGTTTTGCTATTCGCTTTTGGCGAGTCGTTATATCAAGTTGGTCTTGTCGGCCGTCGGACTTGAGATCCGTTTGTTGATATATAATATTGGCCTCTGCGTATTTGCCCTGGTGGACAGGCGATAATACGAGGTTATTCATGCTTCCAAAAGTATCGGGGTGCCCCTTCCCAATTACTGCCACATGGAGCTGTAGCGCCTGTCGATATATCGCTTCGGCCTCTGCATAGTTACCCTGGTAGATAAGTGATAATGCGCGGTTATCCATGCTTCCAAAAGTGTCAGGGTGCTCCTTCCCAAGTACTACCTCTTGGAGCTGCAGCGTCTGTTGATGTATCTCTTCGGCCTCTGCATGTTTGCCCTGGTGGTCAAGTGATAATGCGAGGCCCATTGTGCTTCCAAGCGTATCAGGGTGCTCTTTCCCAAGTACTGCCTGTTGGAGCTGTAGCGTCTCTCGATGTATCGCTTCGGCCTCTGCATATTTGCCCTGGTGGTCAAGTGATAATGCGAGGTCCATTGTGCTTCCAAGCGTTTCCGGGTGCTCCTTCCCAAGTACTGCCTCATTAAGCTGCAGTGTCTGTCGGTGTATCGCCTCAGCCTCTGCGTATCTGCCTCTGATATCCGAACACCTTTTTAATCTATACAACAAGCTCCTTAGTGCCTTCTCTGCCACCTTTGTGCTATCGAGCCCCATATTAAAGGTAGTAACAATATAATATGCATGAGGAAAATATACCAACCATATAGTTCTGTTCTGATGCTCGGGCGATGGGAAAATATTCTCAATCCGATTCAGGGTCTTGTGGTTCCAAGTGATCCATTCGTTCTTGAGCTTCAACCAATTTTGCATTGCCATATGAACTAGTCGATGTACATCATATGATACTCCATCAATGCGTTCTTTAATGAACCCAAAAGCTTTCAAGGTACTAAGTGCTTCTATCTTTTCGAACTTAGAAGCTGGAGGCAATAAGTCCTGAGGAATATGTTGCTCTTTGATACAAGAAACGAAGGCCATATAATCCGCGGCTAAAGGATCTCGGACTTTAATTTGCTCGAAGGAGATAAGCCACGTAGTAGCAATTGGGTTCTTCACATCCGGATATCTCCTTATGTCCTCGAAGTCCTTGCTTAACAACTTAATGATATTATCATTGCTCTCTTCGTAGATGCCAAGATATTGAGCGATAGTACTGACTTTAGCGTTCATGTATGCGGCTGCTTGCATTATTGCAAGTGGAAGATTGACAAGCGATTTTAGCAATTTGGTCGTATTATCTTTGTCCTCGATCAGTTGCTTGTTTTGAAGACTTCTTTGAAGGAGCTCCCTTGAATCTGTGCCGTCCATCTCATCTACATCAATGACGTTTGAGCCTGCGTATCTAGTAGCAGCCTCACGATCCCGAGTCGTGAATAGAATTCCGCCAAGTGTACTGAAAGGAAGATAATCAGACAACATTCCAGCTGCGCTGTTCCCAGTATCAGAGTAGAATATTTCGAAGTCATCCGCGTTGTCCATAATCAAAAGCCACTTTCCGGTGCTTTCCTGGGACAATCTAGTCTTGACTAATCTTTTGGCGTCAGCTTTATCATCCTCTAGTCCAGGAATAAGTTGCTGCCCAATATCACGATATGCGTTGTCGAAACTTGTGATATTACTAGCTCGGACCCAAAATACGGAAAGCATTGGAAGAATCTTCTGGAGTTGGAAAGCGCATTCTAAAGCAATCTGAGTCTTCCCAACACCACCAAGGCCTACTAGAGCTGCACGTTGACAGTCTTCCTGGGTGTCCTCAGTATATAGGATCTTGATCAGCCGATCTAACTGAGATTGGCGGCCAACAAAATCTTTGTTGCGACCAAAAGGGAGTACCCGGAATGGTTTTAAAGGTACTAATCTAGTATTAGTTATTATTCATAGAAATTATAATATCAAATTTGTAACAGCCTGAGTATCTCATATTTTCACAAAGAAACAGTACAGCACCCATATCAATCCTAAAGAACCTAGCCTTGAAGATGAAACATGCCACGTATAGGTTGATCTTCAGTCTAAGTTCGACTGCATATGACTAGGACTAGGTAAACTAACCCATTTGTGACTCGGGGGCTTTCTCCGCGCCTGAACTTGCCTGGTGTCGATTTGACTGTCTCTTTCGATTCTTCATCGGTGTGATCCTGTAAAGAATTCCTTTCGCATATGCAGCAGCGACTGCTGCTGCGTATGGCTGCCACTCCTTGTTTTTCTGCGCATCTCCATAGTCGCACACCCCTCGTATCACCCCAACAGGGATTGTGTTTATAGTTCCTGCTGCTTCCATCTCAAGGCCGATGAGATTGAACTTGTCTCTCAATTTATCCCTCTCCAGAGCATTCTTCATCAATCTATCGCCAGACCCAATAGAACCGTACCAAACTCTTGTTCGCTCGGATGTAGGTCGTAACGTCCGCAGTATAGGCTCGGGATGTGTTATATTGTCAGTCTGACATAATTGATCCTTGTCTTGACCCGGGTCAGCAAAAGTCCCGCTGCTATGCCTTTGATCTTTCATGGTTTCGTAGTATGTAAGAAATACATTGCCGTTCATTGGAGAGTAAGTTTTGATATTGCCAATCGCGGATCTCACAACTGTTTCTGTCTTGGCCTGGAACCCATGCCGTAAGAGTTCAAACCCTGTCGCCGTTTCTTTACCCAAACCATAGCCCACAAGTCCTGCGTTGTCGCCTTCACCAATGCCAACGAGGACGTCTCCAAGGCGAATATCACGCGGAGGAATGAGAGAAAGGTCAGGGAGACCAGCAGCAACTCCAACCAAGAGCCCAAACCAAAGATTGGGAAAGCTCTTCTTCACTTGACTCGCAAGAGCTGCCGCAGAGCCAATTCCGTAATCGTGACCGGCCGGAAAGGTTGCAATAATCACATTATGGCCGTTGATCTCTCCTGCCGTATATATATAGTCATCCCCCCGGCTTGTATCAAAATTTCCTTGATGCCTTCGATCCAACATATACCAGGCAGCCTGTGCTTCAATTTCGTGAGGGGCTATCCATGCGATAGTATAATCTTCGAAATCGAGGCTAGAATCAGACTCCATCCTGGTGAAGTAGGCTTTGTAGTCCGATAGCCTGCGACCTGTCGAGGGTCGGAATAGAAGCTGCAAAGCCAGAAAGTAGTATTAGAGGTTGATGTTTCAGGGTCTCGAGCTGCCGGAATTAGGGGTTTCTTTACAAAAGCTTGCCAGACTAGCACAATTGCGTCAAAATATTCGTATTGGGGTGCGGTTCTGCCAAGTCTCAAGATAAGGGGCCCTGCGGCTGTACTCTCGAGCCTTGCAGATGATATCGTGGAAGGTCAAATAATAATAAGAAGTATCAAATAGATTATAAAGCAAAGATCGCAGATACTTGATGGCTCACTCTCGAGGGGTTTTGAGAAACATAGAAATCATAGGTGCGCTGTCATACTTAGGACACGAATTTGAATTCAGCCGCAGCCGCCGGGTTTCAGTCCCCAACTGATTTGGAGTTGAGTACAAGCTTCTTAGCCCGATTCAGCCTTGCAATACGCCCCACTGACACCCAAGGCTTTCATGAGGTGCATATGATAAACCTATCGTTCCACGATGGCTGCGCTGGCCTTGCATAGGGGGCTAGAGTGAGGGGCCGAATTAGGGACTCCAGGCGCTGGAGGCTTAGGCTTGCTCCAGGCAGCGGTCAACCACCCCACCACATCCCCGCTTCTGCCAATGGGATCCAGATTCTCTTGTCTGCCATCTCCCTGTCTTTCATGCATGCCTCTTTTACAGTATAGTATAGTACTGCAACAATGCATTATCTCCTCAACTACAGTCTTATCGAACTCGATCGGAGCTTTGCTCAGCTACGTCAGGATAGTGCCTTGGCTAATCCTATGCGTTCAGTCGTGCATACGTGGCGTAACTATAACATTAATGAGTATCTGGGTGCATGAGTTAGCATAATATGGTGTCGCTAGGTGAACGAGATTGACGAATGGTTCGCAACTGAAAATGATTTTAATTGGGATTGGATATCTTATATAGCACCAGGATAAGAGAGTACTAAATGAAGCAGGCTTGTCCCCATAGTTGCTTACTTGAGACGAAGCTACAACTATTGGGACTGAAGATCTCAAGCTCTTTCCCATTCCAAAAGCTAAAAACGCTTCTCTCTTTCCGAGTACGCTACCTTCTGGCATCCAGAAAATTCCCCAGAATGGTTATATGCAGATGTTTGCAGCTAGTCATTAGATCCAAACGCTTCAATTTGCCTTACCCCAAAGTCAAGTGGTTTCGCGGCAATCACAGACTCGCCCTTCACATACTCAAAAGCAGACACCGCACGTCGACGCCAACCTTCCACGACCTCCGGCTCATCAAACTCTACGCCCAGTTCAAAGTTCTCACCCGTAAGAACATTAGATGCCACCTTTGTGTTATATAGAGAGCGCAGGATCCGATCGATGGTGACAAGTGCTGTGTTCGCCACGCAATCTACGATGCCAACGAGGAGATCTGGGTAATTGATATACCCTTGCGGTTCAAGAGAAGATGAAGAAGAGAAAAGGAATAGGGGCTCAGCTTCAAGTGTCAGCCAGCTCTTTATACCCTTGAGCATCCTTCTTGCTTTCTCAATCAGCAAATCAGTTCCCTCTTTCCCTGACTCATGGTACATCTCATCCCCGCCGGCTTTGGAATGATAGGAAACTAAGCTCGGCATCTCCGACATGGTGGTTATGAGGCGAGTGCGCAAGCTCAGTGAAGAAGCTTGCGTCGTATGATATGGCCAGACTGGACCCTGCTGTAGCAACATCTGCCATTCCGGGGAACTCAAAAAACAATGCTCTTTCAGCTTCAAGGATTGCCCGAACTATTTCCATTCTCAGTAACCACCAGAGCAATGTTTGGCAAAGGAGACGTACGACATGCGGTAGCTGGCACTCAAGCATCGCAAGCTCGAACTCACTTGAATACCGCTGCACACCCCTCGAGGAAAGCAGCACCGCTGTTCCACGCGCCAGACTTCCCCAATCGCCTCTACCCGTACTAACAACCAGCTAGTTCCGGTCAACCAGAGCCCCTTATCCGGCCATGGAAAGATACTGTACGCACCTCACACATCTGCAGCAAAATCGACGCGCAAAGTGTCTCCGCCTCCATCCGCAGAGAAGCATCACTCAGACACCCGCGCAAAGACGATAAAGCCTTGACATAGCTCTGGTAAATCTCCCGGTCCGCAGTATAGGAGATGGAGGGTCTGCGGCAATAGATAGCGCAGATACAAGATACCGCATCATCGAGCGCAACGTTATGCCCCAATCGAGCGGGCACGAAATCAAAACACGAGCCGGAAATCCGAAGAGAGACCAAGGATCCGTTTACTTTGCTGTCCAGGCAATATATGAAAGCTGGTCCGAGGGGGTTGATCTCGTGATATCTAGGGATTGAAGATTTGATTTGCTCTCGCTTCCAGGACATGACTCCTTTCAGGTTTGTATCTTGATCTTCATCTTCATCAAAGTTTGAGGAAATGCTATCGTAGATGTATTTCCGTCTCGCATACTGGGAGGCTAGTCGTGGGGCTTCATCTACGAATCTCCAGGGCAGGTTGGTTTTGTACCCAGGACAGGTCCAGCCTGAACGGATACATTCTGAGCATGACGGTCGCTTCTCGTCACACTATAGATCGAGGCGCACGTACTTTCAGCATATGCTTTGGATATCTGGAAATGGGTGGAAACATACTTTTTTCTTTCGTATCCGGCAATTGTCACAGCGATTGCTCTTCCGCACGCCGACCATATCGGATGTTCAAAGCATCACACAGTACTCCGTACATAGGTGGTAGAGAAAGTTTGATGTAAGATTCAGCAGCCCCACGTTTCGACAGGAGGTTATTCTGGCCATGTGAGATGGAGTGGCTGAGGATTGTGGCGCAGGCCGATATCCCAAAATCTGGCTTGACTTTGGACCACGCTCCATCCCATCTGCTCAACCACCAAATCAAAACTTCGCGTCCTACAATACCTCGTCTATGAAATGGAGATCCTATATGAATCAATGGGGACAGGTTTTCTGTCCCATTTCATGGACCCAGGTTCGACAGAATCTGAAGAGATCTCGCAACCGTTTGGCGGTAAATCTTTCATCCCATGGAAATGATCCAACACACCGTACCAACTTCATGACTTCTTTGCCCGGAAAGGCATATTGCTTGACTACTTCGGAAGCCCGACTTCTTTGACCTGGCCCATATCCGCATATATTCTCATGGACATCGGAAGATCCTCATTCTGTTGGGGGTGTTCTGTCTCGAATTCATTCGGAACTCGAACTCTCCTACGAGCTCGAAGATTGTGTAGTTCATGAAGGACGTGTGCTAGCATTACTGTGAAGCTCCAGTTCCAGTCTCATTATAGCAGTTCGAGTATCGGGCCCGACCAGTGTATGAACAAAGATTGGTTTCTAGTTTTATGGGTGACGACAGCTTTGTAACGATAGCTCGGGACCGGTATTCGACGATTACCCCAAAGCTAAGATATCCGGAAGGGGGGTTCATTGTAAGTTGGAGTGTGGAAAACAAGAGGAGAAAATTTTCGTGGATTGAAGACTTCGTAAGGTTTTCATCTTCGCGGGTTTGAGATGCAAATCAAGAAAGGTTGGGCCGAAGTACTATTTCAGTTACACTTCTTGATACACGGCTCCGGTTCGCACGGTCCGCACGGTCCGCGGGATCGATATTGGCATGGTACTTGCAGTACTAACGACTTGTAGCTCAATATATATGATGTTTCCGAATGTGCGCGCGTTCTTTCAAGAAATAGCCTCGTACGAAGGTACACTCGTATTTCAAACGACTTAGATCTACGGGGGCCTAGACTTTTGGCTCTAATGCACGCTTCTGATTGGCTGTTGCGCAACATCTTCTCACTTGAGTCGCTAAATCCGCTAAATCCTCAAGGGGATGGAATGAACAAGGTGGTGAACTTAAAGGATCCGCGTTACGAAGATTTAACCATATAATAAACAAAATAAGTTTAGAATTCACCTAAAGTCATACATTTTTTAACCACGTCTCACTCGGATTCTCGTCACTCTTATCACAGGTTCTTATACTCACCCCAGCATCAACGCTTCCTCACATATCCAACAACTCAAACTCACCATGCCATCAACCAAGATTCCCTCAATAGCAGTAATCATCTGCTCAACCCGCCAACCCCGCGTCTGCCCCCAAATCGCCTCCTTCGTAGCCTCCGCTCTTCAAACCCTCCTACCCCTCACCTCAAACACCGCCACCCTCTCAACCATCGACCTCTCCACCTGGAACCTCCCCATGTTCAACGAGTCATCAATACCCGCGCACACCAAAGACGCCTCCGCGTACACTCAACCACACACCCGCGCTTGGTCTGCGGAAATCAGCAAACATCAAGCTTTCATCTTCGTGCTCCCGCAGTACAACTGGGGTTATCCCGCGGTCCTGAAAAATGCGCTCGATTATCTGTTTCACGAGTGGAGCGGCAAGCCGGCTATGGTTGTTAGTTATGGAGGGCATGGGGGTGGGAAGGCCGCGGAGCAGTTGAAGCAGGTGCTTCAGGCGCTGAAGATGAAGGTGTTGGAAAATATGCCGGCGTTGACATTTCCGGGGCATGATGCGGTTGTTGCTGCGATGAGGGGGGAGGAATTTGGGCTTAATGAGGGTATTTGGGATGGGGAGAGGGAGGGGATTCGGAGGGTGGGGGAGGAATTGTTGGGGATGCTTGTGGAGGTGGAGGCGGGGAGAGTGGCAAAAGAGGGCGATAATGGTCAATAATTCGAGAGGCATATGTCAAACAGATTTTGCCGTTTGATTACGTGCAGTCTCAATTCCGAAAGGGGTCTAGGAGGCAGAGTTTTTGAAGCTGCAAAGGTTTCTGATTAATTACAGAAGAAAGGTAGACGGGATATAGGTATAGATTAGTTCATAGGAATTATGAATGGCGTATTGCTGCTCATTCATACGGTTGACCTTCATGGTAGCACGTTAAGACCGGTACATTGTGAGTGTACAGAAACATTTCCAATTGTAGGCACCCTCGTTACGAAATCCAGTCCAACCGATGTCTGAAAGGAGTAAAAGCAATACAATCGGTTTACTCGTTATGTTTTTGGAAATTTAAAGCGTTTTGTTTTGACTTACGTGAATCTATTTCGAGAGTGACAAGTTACTTACAGAGTGACCTAATTAGGCAGTCTCGCTTGTTGAATAGGGGAAGTATTAACAAGACCACAAATGTCAACTGGAGATTATACCACTTCCTGGAAAGTATATTTTCAGCTTCTGTAGATCTTCTCTTTGGCGCTAGTATTTATGACAACAACACCGCCCAAACACGTGATCCAGTTTGTGAAAATACGCTAACCCACTCTTTGCCAACCTCATCTTCATCTAATCTGACACTCTTCTTCCCCACACTCGGCCATCGCGATCTCAATATCCCCTCCCGAAATGGCAGCATGTGACATATGCCATCGAAGAAAAGTGAGATGTGATTCGCAAGGGTCAGAACAGTGTTCAAGGTGTCGTGAAGGGAAGCTTCGGTGCACGTTAGCAACCCCTATTCGCTGTTACTGTAGCTCTGTGGCTGATATGTCGAAGATTCGATTTGGCGAGTGCACATAGAACCTCAAATCAGAGGAGAAAAACACCGGTGACAGGTCGTTCAGAAAACCTCCAGTCGATTCATAGGGTACTAGCTGTCAGCAGTGTCAACCAGACAGGAGGCGCAAGCTCAAGCCCCTCGTCCCTACCACCGCTCGCACCATCTGGCAGTGGGACATCCCAGACCTTCGTCCCGTCAATGGATGATATTGTGGAAGAAGAGCTTTCTCGGACGGCTCTCACGCAATTTTATCAGCGCGGAATTACTGGAGCTGCCACCTGGTTTCCTTACAATGAGGGCCACGATATCCGGATTGCGTATATTGGCACCTCTACCTCAAACCTTGCTCACCTAGTACACGGAGAGCTTGATGCACATGACAACCATGATTCTTCACTACATTATCCTTTTCCGTCCATTCGACTTCCAATCCCATGGAAACCTGACAAGGAACAACCCATCGTCAAATGGTATTCGAAATTGGCGGATAATGCTGGTGCCCTACCAATGAAGGAAGTCAGAGACGATTTAGTTTATTCTTTCTTCGAAAAGATTCATCCTGGATTCCCAATCGTAGATGAGGTGCAGTTTAAGACACGCTACGCGGATCCTGAGAACCCCCCTCCACTTTTACTTTTGCAGTCCATCCTCCTTGCTGGGGCTCATGTTGTAAGAATTATATGATTCCATAACTCCTTTGATCTCTGATAGTGTACCCATAAGCAGCAAATGTTACTGCCTTTACTGGAATCCACGAGAAATGTGTTTGAAATATGAGTGCTGACTTTCAAATCATGTAGTCTCAGCATCCCAAGGTCGCAGAGTCCCGGTCCCTGGTCAAAATGGCTCTGTTCCGGCGAGCCAAGGCTCTTTTTGATATACATTTCGAAAATGATCGTATGCACCTGGTCCAGAGCGCGCTTCTTTTCACACTGCATTTTGAGGTTCGTAATAATTTGATTTGTGCAGAGATGCTGAGTGATCTGCAAGCAAAGTCTTACATTTTCTGTAGGGTCCTGATGATGTATCTTCAAATGCTTATTACTGGGCAGGAGTTGCCACTCGGATTGCCTTTGGTCTTGGAATGCACAGAGACCTCGGTCCTTCTTCGTCAACTCGAATGCCACTGGGTGACACTCGTATTTGGCGGCGTATTTGGTGGACATTGGTTCAAATGGATGTCCTCGCAAGTTTAACTCATGGCCGCCCAACGATGATAGATCCTGACGATACGGATCAAACGCCGCTCGCTCCGGAAGACTTTATTGAATATTGCGGGCATAAAAACCAACATATCAACATCGACTATTGCATTCAGAACTCGGCATTATGCAATATCGTTATTTCCATTTTGAAGTTGTCTTCTCCAGGATCTCTACGCCGGTGTCATCTTAATCCAGAATCCCTGGAAACTCAGAAATCTACTCTCGATGCCAGACTAATCGGCTGGTACTTACGATTGCCACCAGCTCTGGTCGATGCCAATAGTAATACGTCGGACTTCTGGGCATTGCAGATCCAACTGCACTATAACCTCGCTCTCCTACATTTGCATCGACTCACCATAGAAACAAACAACACAAGCCAAAGTAGTAATTTGCAACAAGAGCAACAGAAGTCTTTAGGTATTCGCCATACAGCTTCCCTGTCAATTGCCAAGATTTTTGACAATATCATCGCAATGAAAGCGGTTGATAGATGCTCATTCACATGCTTGACGGCGCTATTCTCTTCTGCTATGCAGATGAGTTTCGAAGCACGATCGGCTGCTGCAAAAGGAGAATTTGTACTGGCACTCCAGTCACAGACCAGACTAGAGAACTTACTTCCTGCCATGAAAGACATCGCCACTTACTTGCCGAGCGCTGAAGCCATTGTCAGGGTCTTCAGGAAAGTGTCCCGGGAGGTCAAGGAACAAATCAAGTCGTATTTTACGGCGTTCGAATCGATACCAGAAGACGAGAGCGCAGCCACGAATGGAGTGGATATCGCCTCAAGCAATCATAACATCTCCGATTCACCGGTGTGGGATCCCAACTTCAACGGTTCTTTTGCTGCTGGATGGAGAAACATTTTTGGTCTCCCTGATCTTAATGCATTCGAGAACTTTGAGTCATTGGGGCTTATGGATAGTTGGCTCACGATTCCTGCTACTACTGAGAACAACACCTTTTTTGGCTGAAATTTACGATTCACGGCCTTCGGCAAAATTCATATCACTAGATATTGAGCATGCTATCACGTCCGAAGGGTTGCCGTGCCTCAATACTGTTCCATTGTAATGTAGATGCCCGCGCTTGATGGCATGGTTGCCAGTCGTGACGGGTTCGTTTACACTGCCAGAAACGTATCATGGGAGAGAGTTAAAGCGACATTGCTTACAGCGCAAAACACGCGATATATACCAGAGCCCGGGTCTACCTTACACTGAGGGATAGACTTAATGGGGCCATGAAAGAAGTCCCGACACTCCCTAAGGTAAGACTGTTATGATCACCAATAAAGTGTGGCACTTCTATGCATTTACCACATTGTCCAAGATTTCCGTTAAAGCAATCAGTTCTTCATCTTTGTATGGGAATCCAACAACCTGCAAGCCAACAGGTTGCGACGAAAAGAGCCCGGGGTCATCTATATCATGATTCTCAGTACCCGGACCAAGAGTAAGAAGGAAAAGAACTTACACATGTCATAAGTCGATTTATCAAAGGGATTGTCTAGGGGCTTATACTCCGTGTCTATGGGGTCTTTCTCGGCTGAGATCTTAAGGTCTTTGATGGGAAGGGTAATGGAGGGATAGTCGAGGATGTTGAAAAGGCTTGTGTAGCCCCACCAACAAGTGAAATCGTGCCTAGGTAAGTTATACATCGCCATTCCCCCTGCCCGTGATTTCAAGAGTTAACTTACGGATAGCCTGCAGAAGGATGTACCGGGCAGATCATAGCATCTAGAGTCATTGTTGAAGGAGATTTTCCTGTTTTCGTTTCAACGGCACTTGTCCAAAACTTCGCCATCTGCGCCTTGTACGCCGCTTGCTTAGTATTGCAGGCAAACAATTGGGATACCGAAAGCTCTTTGATGTCAAAAATCTCCAAATGACGTTTAAGTGAAGGTATCATTTCTTCCCCTCCTTTTGCAAGGGTCGCCTTCTGCTCTGCAGCACCCGTTTGGAAGTATAATTTCCACGTTGTCAGGGCTACTTCCCAGCAGTCCAAAGGGAGTCTTACAGGGATAACTACACCTCAGTTAGGCTCTGTGTCCCTCTGATAGTAGGGAAAGTGTACCTTCATGGCCTGCGCCTTTCAACTTTGCAGCTGTCTCTCTCATTGCCCGCAGGATGGGTGGGTGTGGCATGCACACTCCATCAAACTCGAGGATCCCAATAGTGAGCTTACTAGGTTTCTGGACCTCCCGCCATGGAATGGGTATAAAACTTCCATCATATTCAGCAAGCGGGTGGCCGTTGAGAACTTTTGTAAACATCTTCAAATCGGCCATGCTGTGGCACGCCGGACCACACGATACTTTAATCGAGAGCTGTCCAGGAGCAGTAGTTTGCATACCTCCTTTGGGTATCCTTTCAGAGCTCGGCCGAATGGAATATAAGCCGTTAAAGGCTGCAGGTGCTCTGATAGAGCCCCCGATGTCTGACATGGGCCCGATAGGGCTGCCTTTTAGAGCTATCAAGGCTCCATCCCCTCCTGATGAGCCTCCTGATCCCAGCTTGTTATTTCGTGGGTTGAGGGTTCTTCCCCATAAGGTACTCCATGTTTCAAGTGCCATTCCCGTCTGGGGCATGGTGGTCTTGACGTAAAATACAGCTCCAGCATTGCGGAGAGCTTTCACCAAAGTGGAGTCCTTGTCAGCGATCACCTCTGCCCATGATACATATCCAAGAGTCACGGGGTGTCCCGTCACGTTGTACATATCCTGGGATATAGTCAGCTGCTGGACACGAGAGGTTGTAAATGAGATCGATTACTTTGATCGATACTGGTAGTCCATGGAGAGGGCCGACAACCCTTCCCGTGCTCTTTAAATGAGCATCCAAGGCTTTCGCCGCGTCCAAAGCTTCATCAGGAAAGAGAGCAGTCAGGCAGTTTGTCTATCTACTGATAAGCATATTTTCACCAGAATAGCTGCATAACAAAATTACATACAAGCTGGTGGGCAATTGCAGCACGTGCCAAGAAAGCCTCCGTGACCTCAACACTTGACAAAGAACCAAGAGCCAGCCGCCCCAAGAGTTCCGTGGCTGTTTGTTCAGTGATGGCGATTTGTTGTGGTGTTAAAGTGCCACATGTCTTTGGAATGTCCATCACGTTGCTTTCTGTCTGGAATTGTGCGGATAGCTTCCATTTTGCGGGGATGCTGTCGAGTACCGCTTGTTGAGCTTTGCGTGTGATTTCTTGCACTGAGGATGACATGATTAGATGTGTATTGGTGATACTAGGATTGAGGTCGCCAGAATTGTCCTACACTTGGACAACCGGGGTGCTATTTACAGTTTCCCAAAACACCACAGCGTGAGACGAGGATAATATACGGAATGAAATGTGGAGTTATTACTATTAGAGAAGGTGATAGATAGAGGTATGCAAGTCCTTGTTTATCAGCCCGTTCTCACAATCTTCGGGGCCGACCGATTAGGAGGATGGCTGATGTTGACGATCCAAAGTGCTGGATGGTCGTAAGTGGGATGTGGGGCCTACTCCAGCAACGAGTGGTGAATGTGGGGGCGAAGGGGGGGGAATGATGTATTGTTAGGCTCCGTGATAAAGTATGAACGATAATTTAATGTCTTTACGGGTGCCTACTTGATGTGAAAGCGTCTCAACCGATAGCCACGGTGTTTGCAGGGTAAAAGGGGCTCGCTTAATCAACTATCACATCCACTTCTCCTATATTTTGGTTAAAGCCAACTCAAATTATATGTAACAGTTTCATGGCATTGTTCTTCAATCTATATTAATAGAAGTTATTGTAAAGCTCCTTTGCTGTGATTTTTCAGGCATGGAGGCTTCGAAAAAAACTGCTCGATTCCGGTACCGATCATGCAGCAGGGGTAGCGAGCTTCAAGTGTAAGGTTGTAACTGACGGTGGTTGGGATTAGTAGCAGATTAAAGTTACACCGGCCATGACAGCAAATTCTTTCAATATCTTGTTCTTTCTCTCCCTCCTCGCCCTTCCTTTACTGCTTACTTTTTCTTCCGTCGGGATTAAAATGATCCTTTATATAAGAAACAGAATTCGGTAAGACTTCACTGATTAACACACAAGAGTTTAATAACGTTATCTTTCGAAACAATTTAACAGAAGTTATCATATAACTCCTGTTTTCAAGAGCTTGATGTTGTCTAGGCATTCATAGCTTTGCCATTAAATTGGCACCCTTGCTTGAAAGAGCCTGGATTACTTCTGCAGCCCCTCTTTCCCCTGAACGAATTGCACCTTCCATGTATCCTTTCCATTCAAAAGATGTCTCAGTCCCAACAAAATGAATGGCATCAAAAGGTTCCCTCAAAGCCTTCCCAACGTCGGACATGATGTTCGGCGGTGTTACAGGACATGGACAGCCTTGGCTCCATGGATCTTTGACCCATTCTTGCTCGAATATTTCTGTTGGGGCCCTGATATCTGTCTCATTTCCAGAGCCGAACAACGCTACAAGTTGCGACAGGATCGCTTCTTTTCGACCTTCAGCACTCAGTTTCGACCACTCTCGTCCTGGCTGTCCAACCAGGAAACAAGTCAGTGAGAATTGGCCTTCCTGGTCATCACTGGTGTCTCGAGTGACAGATGCAGGGCCGATGAAGGATTGGGTCATTCCACAGTACCCGTCCTTCTTCCACCAAGGCTTATCCCAGATCAGAATCATCTTCGCATAATAGCCTAGTTTGCTGTTTGAGCTGTACTTAAGCTTGTCTAGTGGAAGTGGGGGTTGGAACGTGATCTGTTTATAAGTTGGTGTTGGGATGGAGACAACCACCTTCTTGGCGTGATATCGAGTACCATCTTCTGTGGTTACTATCGCTACTCCGGAGCGGCTTTGGAAAATGCGGCTGACTGGTGCCTCGAGAATTACTGACCCGGGAACCATCGTTTCTGCAATTTTCTTGGAGAAGGATTGTGTTCCTTGACTAAAGTCAATCCAAGGGCCAGAGGAAACACTTTCAAAAGCACATACCTGTTCGCAACCTCAGATGTTGCCCGCCGTTCTTCTGATCAGATCTCATTTGAAGCAAACCTCCGCCACTCTTACAATAATCAAGGAAGTACAAAGCGCTGAGCTCCGAAGGTTCGCATCCAAGCATTGCTCTCGACCAGATTCCGACTGTTGCCAGGGCCTTCACGCCAGCCCCTTGCTGTTTCACAAACTCCTCGAGAGTCACATCATCATTGCCTGCTGCCCATGGATTCTGAATGTCAATAGTGTGACAGAGCTCTTCAAAGCCGTCTCTAATTCTCACAATGTCGGCAACATCTTTCTCTCCCCACTGTGTTATGTAAGTGATCAGTAGCAAACAACCAGGGGGGGTTACTTCAACTTACTGCTGGAACTTCTCCATATTGGAAGAGAATTGATCCTTTTTCTGGTACATGTGCTGCGCAGTTGCCGTTGGTATTTTGCTCGATCAGCTCCAGGTTGAACTTCTTTGTCAGAGCGAACATCTTCGACTGATTAGAATTGTTGATCCAAGCTGCTCCCACGTCTACTGTGCTTCCACCTTTCGTTGGTCGACTCCATGTTTTACCACCAACCCGATCACGAGCTTCTAACACAACGCAAGAGTACCCCACTTTCTGAATATCATACGCTGTTTGTAAGCCACTCAATCCCCCACCAACTACTACGACATCTACACTCAGGGAACCCATTGCAGCTGGTTGCACGATGGGTGAGATTGCCGCTAGATCTCGGACTGCCGCGACTGCTTCAATCTCGAAGTGGTACTCTGGTACAGCTAGGGCGGGAACTGGGACAAGGGTTGACGGAGGTCGGTGTCCGTTCATGAATTTGAGAAGGACTTGCGCGTGATACCGATTCTCAGGGGAATAGTTGACGATGTAGTAGGTGACTTTCACAATATCGGCGGCCGTCGCGCCTGCTACGAGGAGAGCATCACCGAGATTTTGGAAGGCTAGCTCGACTTCTTGCTCGTAACTTTCTGGTACAACTCCATCTTTATCTCTCCCAACTTGGCCAGCAGTATAAATAAACTTCACTGGACCTTGTACAGTTGCAACAGGTGAGTAATACGGCTTGCAATCTTTCAAAGCTGATGAATCGATGGTGGTGACGTGAGGAGCCATTTTCATAATTGAAAGTTTCGGTGGAATATATCAAACCCGACAAGGTCTTAGGTGTACCTCTGATTATTTATCGTAGTCCAAGGGACAGCTGGGTCTAGCAGGATTCTCTACACTAATCTGAACCACTCTCAGTGTGTTTCTGCACGTTCGGATCAATGGATGAGGACTTCCAACTTGTCTTACTAACTTTGAAAATGTCGTTTGATTAATGTCGAGTCTCGTAGGGAGTGATATGCACCGCAGCCGCAGGTCTGAATAGTTACAAAAAGCTGCTCACGATAAGCTTCCTAGTTGTATCATATATGTACAGGGTATTTGGCGGTAAGGAGGTGTTAGACCCGAGTCAAGAGTGGGATACGCCAATCAAAACATCCCCTCGCTTCGGCGCCGAGGTTGGTCGATTTCCATCCGATCTTGTCATCCTCGCAGGAGGATCATGCAGGAACTGGGGTTTGAGATATCAAAAGATACCAGTCAGTATCTTGAAGTCAGGTTTCGGGTTATCTTCAGCCCGGAACCTTGAGAATCCGGGATGGACTTTATTTCCGGATGTATTTCCATGTCTCCAAATATACTGATATTTCCCTTCAAAACCTTCTTCTTCCTCCAAGTCTCTTTAAATCTTGTCATTGTACGAAAAAACGCCGATATGTCTTCTGAAAGCTCTGTCGAGCTTCATCTCGTTAAAATGCCGTTCCTGAGACGCAATAAGTAAGCTTTCTTTTCAACACCCAAGGCGACTTGCTTAGAGTCATGCAGTCCATTTATCCAAGTGTTGCTCAGCGGAGCCTGTCTTTTCTGTAATCCAGGTCTATACTTGGCAATTACAGGCTTGGGGGCTGGAGGTGGCAAAGTGTCATCTACCGCCATGGCCGACATCAGCAATGGAGTGCTCTACGGGATGTTTGCTTTCTCTGCCCTGTTTGGTGGCACATTAATCAACACGATTGGGCCGCGTATAACTATGATGTTTGGCTGTACCGGCTATCCAATTTACATAGGTGGGCTGTGGTACTTCGACGTATATGGCAAGCTTTGGTTTCCTATTCTTGGGGGTGCATACCTTGGGATAACAGCTGGATGTCTTTGGAGTGTTGCTGGTTTGTCAACATCTACATTTGTGAACACTACTTACTAAATACCTTGTCTAGGATTCATGGGGAATGCATACGCCGAGGAATCCCAAAAAGGAACTTGGCGTGCCATTCAGTGGACATGTAATGCGTCCGGTGCGACGATTGGGGGATTAGTAGCTCTCGGTATCAACCTTCACACCACCAGCGAAAGCGTTCCACACTCTGTATACATCATCTTCATCGTTCTACAAATCTGTTCAATAGGGTTTGCGGCCCTGATGTTGCCGATCAAATCCCTGCTCCGTTCCGACGGAACTCCCTTGGCGGAAGTCAAGCCCACAAATCTTACACAGTCTCTCATAGGCATGGGAAATCTCCTCAAAGATTGGCGTATCATTCTGATGCTACCCACCTTCTATGCCGGTGAAGTCTTCCTAGTGTTGCAAAGCAGCATCAATGCATATGCTTACGATCTTCGCACTCGCTCCCTTAACAACGTTCTGACCAACATCACACAAATCCCTTTCACACTCCTCATCGGCTACCTTCTAGACTGTGAGAAACTTGGCACTCGCCGTCAGCGCGGAATGATCGTAATCCCAATCGTTGCCGTATTCGTAACGGGAACATACATCGCTCAAACAATCTGGCTCGCATCCTGGAAATTCGATCGCAGCATCGCCGGACCCGCGATAGATTGGACACATTCCGCGTATCCTGGCGCCGTAATCATCTATCTCTGCTACGGAGCACAGTACGGCATGTTTCAAAATACCATACTTTGGCTTCTAGGTACGATGACCAACCAACCTTCCCGACAAGGACATATGGCTGGCCTTTTCGTGGGTGTGCTGAGTGCGGGCACAGCAAGTGCGTTTGGGATTGATAGTACCAAGACGCCTTATGAACGGGAGAATGGTGCATATTTTGCGCTGGCAACTATTAGTTGGCCTATCATGTTTTATATTGCTTGGAAGCATACACTGGATAGCAACTATTTCCGCGAAGAGGGCGTGGGGATTCCGGTACACGTTCAACTGGAGCATGATAAGTTGGCTAGGGCCATTGATGGTGAGCCGGTGGCTGAGAAGGGGGCGGAGGGGCGTAGCCAACCGGTTACTGAGGGAGACGGAGTCGGAATAGATGACAAGGTTTGAGTTGCGTCTGTTGCCGCATAATATTGGCCGCAATATATTGGCCGTGCTGGTAGCTATCAATCTGGGTGATATTAGCCGCATCGTTGGTTATAGCTGTTGCTACGAACTAAATAAAGCATTCAATAGTGGGCTTAAACAGCACTCTAAGGGGCGGGGCCTCCTATCAAGGCTAAGCGAGCCGAGGGATCAGTGCTGTTTAGAATTCGTTTATTTAATCCACGAGTTTACTTGATCTATAGGGAAATTATATCTTATAAGTTAATGCTTATTTTTATGAATTCGGACTTTTTCATATATGTAGGCTTAATCTAAATGCTATTATTAGACTATATAAAGTAGCACCTTTTATTCTAAGATACCCTCTATTCTGAGCTCCTTCTTATTCTTAGCTACTTTGCCAAGCTCTAATTTATCTATTTCAGACCTTATTAACTTTGAACTTCTATATAATTGCTTATAATAGTAGACTTTTTGGATGAATTGGAATCTACTTAAAAGCCTCAGAAATCCCTAGTTCGAAATTTATAGGAGTATTATAAGAGAACCATAAAGCTATTAAAGTATGTTATAGGATGTTGTTCGTAGCAGTGTGTTTAGCGGGGTGGCCAAGAATATGAGATGGCCAAGAATGGGGGGTGCTAACTTATCACTACTGAGCCTTATGCAATATAAGCTCCACTTCGTAACAAAAATGGGATGATATGGATCATGCCAATTCAGGTTACCGTTGCTTAAAGGCCTTTTATGAGAGCTAGCCATGCCTCCAGATGGGATTTAAAGGTTAATCAGTAGCTTATCTGCCCTTCGCCTGACGAGGAATTTGTTCTGTTCGGGTAGTGTGTTTAAGCCGGAGCTCTTTTAAACTGGGTTTGGAAGATTCCGAAGTTATTGTAGTAGTAGTATCTTATCTTGGTGCCCGTCCATAAACTACATGCTGCCCGACTTCTGATCCATTTTAAAATAGCAAGATAGGGCTGACTGTCAAAGTTCCGGATTATAAGCAGCTATTTTGTTTATGGTTTTTCATTTTTGAAGATCACCACTTCTCGACTTCTTTAAAACTTTCATATTCCAAAAATGGCGACCCCAAAAGAAGATGGAGCGGCGATCGGCATCAAAGATAAAGTTGGGTATGTCTCGGACCCTGAAAGTCAACCCAAGCACGAACCAATAGTTGAACTTATCGATCCGGTCAAAGAGCGTGCCTTGGTTTGGAAATTTGATTTACGGATACTGCCATTTCTATCAATCATCTATTTATGCAACGCTCTCGACAAGTCTAACTTGAGTAATGCCAAAACTGCCGGATTAGAGAAGAGTCTGGGTATGGTTGGCGAACAGTATAGTCAAATCCTGACTTTCTTCATCATCCCATACGTCCTCACCTCGCCTTTCCTGAGTTTGGCTGGGCGTAAGTTTGGTGTCAATAGAGTGCTACCTCTGGTGGTCCTTGCTTTTGGTACTTGCACCTTGACCACTGTTGGAGCGTATAACTTTAGCGGTTTGTTTGCCATTCGATGGTTCCTGGGTATGGCTGAGAGTGCTGTGTTCCCGTTGGTTATTTACTACCAGACTCTGTAAGTCTTCATGCACCATCCTGTCTTGTCAACCCTAATAAATAACAGATTCTACCGTCGACGTGAACTTGGTCGTCGCCTCTCAATTTTCTATGCTGCCCATAGTTTTGCTTCTGCATTTTCGGGTCTCCTCGCGTACGGAGTTTTCCATATTGAAGGAGGACCACTTACCCCTTGGCGGTATCTCTTCTTGATTGAAGGCACATTCACAGTCCTACTAGGGTTCTTTGTTCTATGGTACCTGCCCCGTTCGGCCGAACACTGTAGCTTCTTGAATGAGGAAGAAAAAGAATTGGCACGTCTCCGCCTGATTACCGACAGTTCCTCCTCTGCAGGAGTGACCGACATCGAGATCCGCGAGTCGTTAAAGGTTTTCGCACACCCCACTACTTGGGTTATTATGCTTATCGAACTATGCGTTGGAGTGCCACTTAACAGTGTGAATTTGTTCTTACCCCAAATTGTCGGACGTTTGGGTTATGGCAAAGTCAAAACCAATCTGTATACTGTTGCACCAGCAATTTCAGGAGGTGTGATGCTTCTTATCCTCGGTTTTGCATCGGATTATACCAAACTGCGTTTCCCATTCGTCGCTGCTGGATTTGCATTCACATTTATCGGCATGATGATCTTTGTTGCGATCGATTTTAAGTCTTCACTCAATACTGCTTACTTCGCAACCTTCATGATGAACTGGGGTACTTTTGCACCTTCGGTTCTTCTCGATGTCTGGTACAACAACAACACTCCACATGATGGCCGTCGGCTGCTTCTGACATCCTGCGGTATTGCTTTCGCGAACTTGAGTGGAATTATACCATTGAATATTTTTAGGAACAAGGATGCGCCGAAGTATATTCCTGCACTGACTACATCGGCTGCATTTGGTGCTACGGGTTTTGTACTTACATGTGGATTGGGTGTTTACATGATGTGGGACAACAATAGGAGGGATAAGAGACAAGGTATCAAGTTGAAGCCTGGAGATGTGCCGACGGAGAGATTGCAGGATGGACCGGGATGTGAGGAATTCAGGTGGATGTATTGAGCAATGGTACCCTAGAACGTGGTGACTTAGAGGAGGGGTGGAGGGATATGTTACATCTAATACTATAAAGCGATTCACATAGACTTACCAAGGTTGTGCATTGCCGTTGCTATATTGGAATATACTGGCTCAGCCGACGTTCTCCGGCAGAGCAGAATCATCACAAAATTGGCGAAGGCCGGATTAGATCATAAGACCATAGCCAGACATTTCTTAGTGTGGATGGTCGGGATTTGTTTCAATCGCTGCCTGGTACAAGATATGGAAAAATTCGCGGCAAAAGGCTCGCGCCCAAATCTTGTATACAATTTACATATGGTATAACACTCTAAATTAACAAAAAGATGAAACCATAAATTCAAGGATGAGAATAAGGCCTTAGAGGAACGACTTGCTGAAGGTTAAAGTAATAAAAAGGCACATTTTCTCTAATAGCTGAAAAATAAGAAACGAGACATGATGTCCGCTTCGAGATAACTCGCGGCTTAGCTTCTTACACACCTTCAATAGATTCGCAGAATTCAGCTAACGTGCTATACTAGTATTCAGGCCATCTCTTCTATCGCCCAAGCAGAACGGGTTTCCCGTCCTCAGGAAAGGAGGGATACAAGAGCTGAGCTCCTCTCATTATTAGTAGGTTTATGAAAGCAAATGCGATCGGAAACTATAAGCGTATTAATGTATAAGCGTCCTAGAACTAAGAACTCGTTTTAATTACATTCTCAACTCCCAAAGAGCTCTGTGCAAAGATATAGAGCTTATTAGCGCATGAAAATTTCGATTTTAAGCCGACGCGACCTGCCCCATCTTCTAACTGGGTTCGTAGATATTCCTCAGTCTCGGTTATCTCTAAGCATGCGTTGTTGCTGCTGTTGCAACATAGTCCCAATACTTCTTAGCCGAAGCCTTCCTCATGCTCTTACCATAATAAATCATAGGCAAAAACGTTGCAGTGCAACCTAAAGCGATCATTGCAGCAGTAATGAAGCAATTCTGTACACCCATAGCATCAATCCATGGGTTGATGGCATAGGAAATAGCAAAGCCAGTTGTATTTCGAATGACGACAACAGACATCATTGTCTCGCCAGAGATTTCCTAACTCTATTAGTAATTTACTTGAAATTGTCCAAGAAACACCTACCTTGAAACAGTCCACAGCATAACTCAACGTAATAGAACCACCAGCAATCACACTAAATGCGAGCATACCCAACCCAAAGACCAGTCCAACCCAACTCAAATCATTTGCAGCACCGACGCCCCATAGGATCAAACCAGCTGCACAAAGCAATCCAGAGAGACTAAGAGCCCAAAGTCTGTGTTCTGGCTCTCGAATACCATTATTACGACGAGCGAGCCGGATAGCGAATTTGTCAGTAACCCAACCACTCCAAAGGCCTGCAAGTGCAGCTCCAATAAGCGGAGCGGTATAAGCGGTTCCGACGAGACCAGAGGAAAAGAAGTAGGGCGAGGCGCTAAGGAGAGAAGAAGTTGTCGCATTGAGGACATTGTACCATGATAGACAAGTCCCATATAGACTAAACATGTTAGCATAAAGAAGATGTGAAAAAGGGGAATTCTTACAGACCGGCCCAGGTGACGGACGGGAAGTGATACATCATCAGCAGCGGGCGGTACATCATCTTGAGGGTCTGCTTAATCGAAGGTCGTCCAGGCACTGATCTGAACAGAGCAAGTTTCTGCCAATATAATTTCTGCGACGATGTAGTCCCCAAATATATGGTGGTAGGTTCTTCAACAATTTTAGGCTCATTGTCAACCTCTTTGTTCTGCGAAAAGATGTCATCGGTCTGCGGCGCTACAGAATTCCCTGCGCTGTCCCCGTCGTCAACACCTTCGACTGTGTTGCGGAAGTAGATGGTCTCTTCTAAGAAGAAGTACATGATTATACATGACGCAGCTTGTACTAAGGCACCAAAATACATGACCCATTGCCAATTTGATGCAAGATCAATCCAGCCTGCACATAAGCTAGACTGTATTAGCACAGATGGAGATGCAATAGTAGTGGGGCTTACGGTGCGACGAAATTACATCCGAATAACAAGAAGACGTATATTCCCATGTATGTGCCTCTCTCATGTGCAAAGAAGAGATCCGGCACTGATATCTCTGGGAGTGACTCAATGGGCCCGCCTACGAATCCAAATATGATTCTGTGCGCATACCATTCACCTGCGCTTGTAGAGTACGCAGACCATATTATAGGAAAGACGCAGAGAAACGCCGAAAGAACATAGACACCCCGACGGCCGTATGTTAGAGCGATAGGTTGCCAGATTAGATTTCCCCAGCCAAGGAAAAGGAACTGTAGACCAGTGCCAAGATTGAGCTGGGCATTTGTAATGCCAGTCGCTTCGGTGATTTGGGTCAAGACTTTTACACATTAGTAGAATCACATAAAGATATTTAGAAAACTAACCCGAGTATTGCACAGCTGATGAAATTCCAAGTCCGATCGTATAACAATATACCATACCAATCGCTAAACCTTTACGTTGCTTGGACCAGTTGAGCGGATCTTCTGGGTCTGAACTGGGCTTTGGCACCAAAACAATATCATGATCGCCATCGAGATGCCGTCCTTGTATATCATGGTCTACGTCCACTAGATGAACTGTGCCAGGTACGATATCATCGTATGAGCTTAACATGATGTATCACCAACTCTGCTTTCAGAACTTGGGACTTCGAATACAATGAAGCAAGTTTAACTTAATAAGTATATGAGTGATGAAAAATCACTGGATGAAGTTGCATCAGTCCACCTTTAAACAAAAACATTTCATCTTTCACTGCGATAAGCTCGCATGGTTTTAGCCATCGCTATCATGTTTCATAGGTGAGTGTAAGTGCTAGTACTTCCCTGCTAGTCTGCAAAGTACTATTGTAGTGTAGTAGGTGTGAAAAACAATGCGGCTGTGGAGGTAAAGGCAATGATAACGAAACCAGAACTACGGGCCTTTGTGGGGCGGCCAATCACCACACGGGAGCCAAGTTGTCGAGATCCATGAAATAATATACTAAAATGACTAACTTGAATAATTGTAGGTCTTAGCGTCCCTAGTCCATATGAAGTAGGATCAACTATAGTTAATTTCCCATTATCGAGGATATGCGGTAGAATACCGTATCGGAGAAGTGCGTGTGGTTTCAACAACTGCTAGCTGTTGCCGTTTTCCGGCGTTAATTATTAAGCTTTCATAGCAGGAGCCTATCATTTGAGCAGAGCGGATTCCCCCACGTTTGCCATTCCCATCAATCTTTATTTCCGGTCGAATGCTAAAGCTACTAGGATGAATCCAAGCTAATGCATGTACACCTGCAAGCTTGTAAAGACAACAAAATATTTTTATACAGCTTGTTCAAGCAGTCAACGATTGGCTGATTTGAGTGGGCAAAGTGATACGAGAGCTTATCTATGATAATATAATAGTTTCAGAACCAGATAAAAAATCCCATGGGCCGACTGATCACTTTTCCGTTCTGGGGAGAAGCAGCTCGAATACTAGAACTCGTACTTAGAATGTTCATGACTCACCAAGTCCTACTTTCTAGATTGCCAAATACTTACGGCTCAGAATGTCTCTGCTTTATGCCTCCCTTTCTTCATGTAGAATTGCTGGTCGACTAGCTAATACTTCCACACTCTTTATACGACACGCCTCAACCTCTTTCGATGGCCTCAAGGTATCACAAACTCGCCTTTGGTATGGTTTCTGAATATTCCTCTCCCACCGAAGTTTCATTTTATTTACTATTCTATGTACTCTGGGATTATTTCACAAAGTTAGAACATACTGAATCAAGGATCTAACATCATGCTAGGGACACTATCCAGTCAACCTGTGAGATAGCAGGCGCGAAAGATGGCGGGCTTCAACGTCTCTCATGCGATGACAATGATAAGATCGCGCGTGACTGGTTCGCAACTCAAGTACAGGAGTTAGGCTGTAAATACGAAATTGACGCAATGGGTTCGCAGTGGGCTACTATGGAGGGTCAGAATAACAATCTACCACCAATTGGTATTGGCTCTCACTTGGACAGTGTCCCAACTGGAGGCAAATTCGACGGACCACTTGGTGTATTTACTGGACTCGAAGTGTTGAAGGTCCTGAAAGCGAGCAGCAAGAAGACATATGCTCCCATCAGCGTCATCAATTGGACGAATGAGGAAGGTGCGCGGTTTACACCAGGATGTATGAGTTCTGCCGTTTGGGCGCAAAAGTTGGATATTGACTATGCGCATAAATGCTTTGATACAATGGATGAGAGCATTACAATCATTGACGAACTGAAGAGGATAGGATATGATGGAAGTAAGGAAGTCTCTTTCAAGACAAATCCATTAAGTGCACATTTCGAAATCCATATCGAGCAAGGGAGTCGGCTCGAAAAGTCCGGCAAAGACGTAGGTGTTGTTGACAGGGTACAAGGCATGCGATGGTTTGATGTCTCCCTCCGAGGTGTAACACGACACACCGATACCACCTACATGGACATCCGCAAAGATGCGCTTGTGGGCGCTGCTAAGATCATTCTCGAGGTTGAACGAATTGGCAAAGCCTCCAAGACTGGGATGGCGACTGTCTCTCTGTTCAAGTCCTCGCCGCAGAATTTCTGCAACATTCCTGATTCAGTCGACTTCTCGTTTAGTATGCAGCATACAGATAAGTCAACTTTGGAGGAAATGACAAACGCCATTAAGAAATTTGTACATGATACTGCGCAGAAGAGTGGGCTGGAGGTGACCAAATATCAGAATGTGTGGAGCTTTGATCCGGCAGAATTTGATAGCGAGGCTGTTGCGTGTGTAGAGAGCGCAGCGAAGGATATGGGGTATGCTTATGAAAGGTTGTGTAGTCATACTGGTAGGTACGCCAGAAATACGTCTTATGAGTAGTGCTAATTGGTTCTAGGTCATGATTCCATCTATACGAACATGGTCGTTCCCACCGCTATGGTTTTTACTCCTTGTAGGAACGGAATCAGCCACAGTCCATTGGAATATGCCTCTCCTGAAAATTGTAGTATTGGTGCACAGACAATTCTAGGAGCAGTGTTGAAATATGATGGCCTCTTAAGAAAGAGGCATAGTACATAATACGAACGGTATAATAAAACACAGAGCACATCAATATTTTAGCCTTTTAAAAATAGAAAGCAGTCAACTTTTTATCAATGAAATTGCTAAAGTCTTATAAAATAGAGAGCACTGGAGTATACTTAAGTAACCCCGCATATAATTAACAGAGATCTGTTCGAATATCAGAAAGATCCTAGGTAACGATCCGTCAGCCCTCAATTACTAAATCATAGGGCAATTCTCGCCAATTTTGTCAACTTCACCAATGAGCAGTGCTCGACTTTTGGACCGATCATTCTTATATTTTTACCCGTTAATGTTCTGGCGCCTAGTAAGGCTCGTAGGTTAAGGCAATAAACACTTAAGTGTATTATGATATCTGGATAGTCAAATATAAGCCATATTACTCTAACACTACTACTGGCGTTCTCTAATATGAACCAGTTGAATCTGGTAAACTCCGTGAACGGATATAATAAAAACCATTCCAAAGATTTGCCGCAAAACAATAGTGGGTTATGCGGATGAGTATTTTCCGCGTATGATGTAAGTAAATTCAAACCATGTCGGCAAATGCCGATAACATCTCGAAACACACCAACAGGAGCCTCTACGGTACAGTCGACATTAATCAAATGTGGGACTGTTCAGCAGCGTTTCTTTTATCTACTTCTCCCACCTTGCTTCTACGACGCCGCCAATTGCACGTCGAATCATATGCGGAAAACACTCATCCGCATCATGCCTTAGGCAGGATTATAACTTTAGATCTCATGCGGAAAATACTCATCCGCACTACCCACTATTGTTGCAGATCTTGAGGACACCGCCAAAGAATGGCGCGATTTAGCACTTGCGTGTTAAAACATATGCGGTAAACACTCATCCGCACCATGCCTCAGGCGGTCATGATTTGTATCTAATTTTTTTGCTGCAACCCTAAGGAAACTCTATCATTTCACAAGTCCATGTGAGGTGCCTTAGCTAGAGCGGGGCGAGTTGACCTGCTATCGACTTTTGGGACGTTTTTCATGACTATAGGCTACTGCTGAATCAGGCTTCAGATGATGTCGCAAAATCAGCAGGTTTTAATACAGACTTCCTATATTATATGTGCAACGTGATGAATACCACACTCATTCAAGTGAAAAATGATTAGTTATTCTCCAAACTCGTTAGTATTACCGAAAAGCCAATCCAAGTTGAGGTCGTCCTGCATCTCATACAGCCCATTCAGAGAATTTAACGTCCTGTCTAAGTCCCATCCTGCGCAGATGTTTTCGTGGACTAAAGGTGCGCAATCACTGTCTAATGCGGTCAAACCAACCTGCTGGGGGCCTTGATGTTGCGTTGGCACGGATCCTTCATCTGTTCTTTCGGGCCAACTTATTGGATAGCTCAAACGCAGAGGTAGAGCCCATGTTACACGCCATCTTCCTGCCAATTCCTGCAGTCGACGCAGGGTTTTGTCAACCTTGAAGCTATACACCTTTTGCATGTCTTCTAATGCGTTGATACAAGCTGCTAGACCGCTCACGGCGCGACGCGTTGCAGGCATTTGTTTTCCAGCAGTGGCCATGAGAAGATGAATAACAGAAGCACTGAAGATGTAGCTTATAATGTACATAGGCGCAGTAGCAAAAGTAGATTTGTTGCGCAAGCGTCGTATAAAACTTGATATGGTGTTCGCGGCTGTTGTGACCGATCTCAAGGCTAACCTCATAGAATCGCTGTTGAGAGCTTCGTTGAGGAATGGCCGATGTGCTAAGAGAAGTGCAGCATTATATGCCACATGGAGATATACGACGCTAGCCTGAATATCGCCATGCTGAACGGTGAGACGTGCATCAAGACTACTGTAAAAAGTAGTCAGTACTTCGTGCGCAGAAAGCTGCAGTTCGGCCTTTGCAGCACCGGAAAGCCCAGTCCAGCTAAAGGCGTGGCTGATATACCCAAGTCAGTTCCACGCTCTCTATATACCAGCAGTGAAGGTGGTTCTGCTCACGCTTGATCTAAACAAGAGTCCCATAAGTGCCACATTCGACCATGAGCATCGAATGCAAGCTCATCGATGCCAGTTCTCTCCGGTGGTAGGCTTGTCGTAAAAGGGGGGACACGGATTCGCTGCCAGGGTATTGCACAGTTCATTCCTAAAAACCCGGTATTGAGCCTTGAGCATTTTTTAGCAACTGTGTCTCATATTTATTGGTTTTGTGCTCCAGTACTCCTTGGTTAGAACCGGCAGGCCTTCAAGTAAAAGATACGGCGCATCGGAATATACAAGTGTCAGGAATCGTACATACCGCTCCAGTGAAAAATAAGTCCAAAATGTTCGTATTCGTGAATCTCGACGCGCTTGCTGATTCGGCGAGGAAAATTGTGTTGGTTCAATCAAACCTGTCCAATGCAACCCCTGCATTAAGACAGTACCTGAATTCAGGCCTTCCTCTCTTGTCAGAAAGGACCATATGAATGTAGAGATAGTGGATTGACTCACAGTGAACCTGCCACCCAAAGCCATCATTTCCATAGTAATGAGCTAACCAGCACAGAAGTGCCAATGCCTTTACAACATTCTCCGCCTGATGATCACGACAAGACTGAAAACAAATAGACTCCGCCAGCGCGTTGTATTTTGAACCGAGCTCCTTAGCATTAGGAGCACTAGAAAAACATGCACCAACAGCAAATACCGTGAATGCAAGGAACTGTACATCTAATGCTTTCTTAGAGATATCCGAAAAATACTCTAAAACCTCTTCGGCAGTATTTAGCGGAAATATTTGATGAAATGGGTTCACATAGGTCAGAAAGCTTTGTATAAGATTTCGATGTATATCTGCCTCATTGGCGGCTTCGGTTTTAATTGAAGAGCGTATAGTCTGGTCCTGCGCACTTGTCATCGGCGCAAGATTACTGCGTGAAATCTGGGGGGCATTATTCTCATACTGGGAAGCAAGACCTCGTATAGTAAACGAAGGTTCACCCAATTCGCCAACCTGTAAATTGATCATTGACATGCTTAACTCTCCGATAGCGTCTAATGCTGGATGTTCCGTGGTCCTTGCAGAAATATTTGGGTCCTCGGGATAGTCATCGCCAGTATCTGACAGATTTCTACTTGCAGACGTTTTGACAATCCCCAAGTCGGTATGTGGTGACCACAGTCCTGTCTGACTCTCTCTGGTTGCATCCAGCCGAGATTTGAGAGAGGAGATCTCCTCCTCCAAGCCGTGGACAAATGCCTCGTCCCAATATCTTCGTCTGAGATTGAATGGATTAGCTAGTAATCAGGCTTTCATTCTATAAGCATAGGTTATAGGTAGGAGCTACTTTTTAGGCTCTCTAATCTCGTATACACAAGAACGTCCAACACGTGAGCAGAGAGTGCACACTGGGACTAAACCATCACACTATGTGCATATCAGTATTACCTTCAAGACTTATGAAACATACTCGTAACCCACCTTTCGCTTGTGGCGACGACATCCATCGCAAGCTGCTCGGGTTCTCTTAAGATCTGCGGACGAGGACGGTGGACCCCGGTCGGCCATTGTCCTACGGCTGTGAAGACAGAGAGCTCAAATTGAGGCTTTCGTTGCGTAATTAGGAGCCAAGTGCTATCTCAAAACAAATGATTAGCGACGTATCCCATGATATTTGTAACTCGCACCGCACCCATAGAGCAACCGGCGTAGGCGGTTTTTGAGTGCGTACCATAGGTGAGTGGTGCGCAGGTTGTTTCCCTGGAGAATGTATACAAGATTGTAATCTCTATCTATGGGGCGGTGTGTGGAATGGATATCAGTCTACTAAGCTAAGCCTATTTGGGTGAATGGAATCTTGACTAACGACCCCAGGGAGCGCTTCAACATTACAGACTAAAAGGTTTTAGATCCTTCAATTTGTACCATTCGTACTTGAGCAGCCGTCTCCTGGCGGTGTTTGCACGGCAGATCAAAAACTCAGAGCATATACGTCTTCTATTCCCCTTAAGGGCGTGAGATTTTTATAACAATGTAAGGGACGTGTGGAAACAGAGTGAGCGAGGACTATGATTGGTTCAATTTGATTTACATGACAACTAGAAGCTTAGAGAGGAAGAAGTGAACCTCATGGAGACCCATATAAACCCGCCATTAGGCCTTACATTGTCGCTCGTGACCGGCCTTCCTTTGATATAGCACACACCTGCCACTTAACTCCTATAATGTTTTACGGCCGTCTCTGTAAAAAGAAGAAGCCTTGTGCCGCAAGAGTTGTGGGGAATATGAAAAGCGGCATTAATTTATAACATGCCAGGTAGTGCAGAACATTAAAAGTTGATGATTTAGTGGCGCTTCTCTCTATCTAGCATAAAGTGCACAGGGCTTTTAATAAAGACGGCCGTTAAACACTATAGGAGCCAATTGCATACCTACCACCAAAGTCAGAAGAGCAACTTCACCTCACGAGTAACAGACACGACCCGGCGGGCATCGGAGTTATAGATGTATTATTCGCTGTATGCACCCTAGTATACATCGCCAACCTCCAAACCCACTTTCCTTCCTCCCACCCAAGCCCAAACATACAAAAGAGGATTTTTTTCTTACGATACTATTCAATACACAAGCATCCACACATCTATGCAGCACCCGTAGCCTCATTCCCCTCACTCGCCGGCTTGGCCGCGCCAGTCTCGGACTTCGCTACACTCTCCTCCTTGCTCTCATCCGCCTTCACCTCCCTCTGCGCATTCGGCCCATCCTGGCTATCTGGTTCCGGTTTGCCCGCTGTCGAAGAATCTGGTCCATCGACATCCGGGTGCGGCGGCGCTACACCGGCAGCTTCAGCTTGTTCAGGGCTGATTTCGTTACCAGCTGCGTCGACCATGCGTGTGCGTGTCTCGTAGCGGGTTTTGAAGCTCACTTTGCCCTCGAGCGACTTGACTTGTTCTTCATCGAGTAGGTTACCATCTTGGTCTCTGTACTCTACTTTTTCTTCACGGGAGAGCACGCTTTGTCCTGGTGGTGGTGGTTGTTCAGGGGGTGGGGATACCATGGCTGGGGCTTCAGAGATGTCTTGTGGTTGTTCGACGAGGGGCTGTCGAAAGCCGTCGCCGAACTGGGGGATTTGGGCTGCCTCAGTAGGGACCAGAGGATTTTCGGTCTTGTGGACGTTGTCGTTTACATTGATGGATTGGGAGGAGTATTGGGAGTACTGTGGGGGTCAGCTGTGTCCTCGTATAGGAAGGCCGCGGGAGGGGGGACGTACATCTGTGAGGAAGGTGTTGCAGTCGAAGTCCCATGAGTCGAAGAGCTTCACTGCGTTGCAGGCAGACTGCGTCCATGGGTTGCCATATGCTAGAGGAGAGTAGAGACCAAATGCAACAACACTCAACGACAAGAAGATGAGAGCTCCGAGACGTCCAATAATTGGGTTTTCGCGAAGACCAACACCTGGAATACGAGCCACAATGTAGTCGTATATCTGGCAAAGGGTGATGATGGCAAAGTAAAGAGCTGGGAAGTAGTGATGGAGGAAGAGTTGACGTTGCATCAGGTAAAATGGGAAGTAATGGAACGCCCATCCGAGAACCATAGTACCGACTTCGTAATCGAAGCGCTTGAAGATCGAGTTGTCGTAGTCCTTGAATCCTCTCTGCCATCTCAGAACTGCGAGACCCTTGAAGACAACGAAGATTGCAACTGCTAGGGTAGAGCTCCACCAAATGATAGGGTTACCAAGGAGGTAAATCTGGCGGTTGTCCTTGCCCCAGAAGTTGATACCACGCTGAAGAATAGGCCAGGATGGTGGGCGAGAGTCCCAAGCGTGAGATTCGACGAGTCCAGCATTCGTTTGCCACATGACCTTCTGCAATTCCCAGAATTTACCAAAGAAACCCGGGTCTCTGTAATTAACCTTCTCGGCGTCTTCACCAAGTTGAGGGTGTTCGTTTTGTTCGATGTACCAAACGCTATTTGGAAGGGTACCTTGCTTTGCGCACGTAACTTCTTGCTGTTCTGAAGCCCAGTCAGGTAGTTTGACCTTGTGTGAGAACAAAACACAACCAGTCATCACATGCACAAGCCTGAACTTGGTCTGGATAGTTCGAAGGCGGTTTTTGGCCTCCTCTCCGTCGGACATCTTCTTGATGATCTCAACTCTGAAGAAGTCATTAGCATCACCCTCGAAGCCTTCATACCCATATGCAGATACTTCATTTTGCCATTCGGCCTCGGTAACAGGTGGGCGGACATCGTGAGAATGGAGGCGGCGGTGGGTTTGGAAGTGGTACAGCTTGAGAGTGTCACCATCTTTGATGAAGGTTGGAGGGTTCTGAGTATCCCATGCATCAGAACCGTTGATGGGCTGTCCAGTGATATCAAGCGGCTGAGTCTGGTTCTCGAGGAGCCAAACGTTGTTCTCATCCTTGTGGGGGTAGAGAGTGATCTGCTGCTGCTTGCTACCGGTTGGGTACATGAGGTTGTGCGAGTGCAGGTATCCTCCTTGGGTTGCGTGATGTCTGATACTGACTCGGCTACCGAATCCAACATCGACAGGAACATCCTGCATAGACTTGGAGTTGAGAGTAGCCTGGAACTCGGAGCTCATGAATCCATCTCCATCACCGGGGTTAACCAAGCAGAGGAAATGGATCCCGAACATTGCCATGTAGAATGTTACTGGGATCACAATGAGGCAGAATATCCTTGCCACGAGATGCTTGGCAAATTTACGCTACGCCGATCAGCAAGATCCCTGGACAGGTGGGGTTGAGGACTTACAGGAGTAACTGTTTTATAGTCTCCAAGTAGAACCCACAACTGGAGAACAGTCAAGCTTCCAACCCAGGCGATTGTGAAAAGTCCAACCCATTTAACGCTGGCAGTTGCACCCAATCCAAGACCAGTCATTGCAAGCCAAAACCACCAGGTTGGCTCGAAAGCCTTGGAGGGGCCTTGTTCATGTTGGTTCGTGAAAGAGGTGAATGCCAATGCTGTGAAAGCGGTCATGATCATGAGGGGGGAGTCGAGGAGGATCAAGCGTGCCTGGGTAAGGAGACCATTTTCTAACTTGGTCAGCAATTGCCTGGGCAGGGAAAATGGGATACTTACCAAAGACAATCAGACACGATCCCAGAGCTGCAGTGACAGTTCTGCATCCAGCAGCCTTCAAAGTCAAGAACATGGTAGGAACCAAAAGAATACCGCAGATAGCTGGGAGCAATCTCATGGCCACATATGGGACACCAGGCTCCAAGTAGTCCTTTCCTATATCTTTAAAATCAAATTCTCCATCAAATCCAGCTAACCATCCAGCTAATGTGAGGAGTAGTTTTGCGAGGGGAGGGTGGACGTCCATGAAGAATTTGCCTTTGATGTATTTCGATGCGAATCCTCCGAAGCTGTTGAAGCGCCTATTAGCAATTGTTCGCAGATCTTGGGGATCAGGAGAGCTTACTGGACTTCATCGAACACTACACTGCTTGGCTGGTATATTCTGAATAGCCTCACAATAGCAGCCAACACCGTGACCACCAGCATGACCTGATAGTCGGAGCCAGGTAAAAGGAAGATATCATGGTCCTTCACACCTTCCGAGGTGTAATCGTCCGACTTCTTCACAATTTTCTGTGCCGACGGGCTTCGTGGAATCTTTCCCACGGCCGAATTGGCAGATTTCGAAGGTTTCGCCATATTTGCGATGTGTTTGTTGAGATGTCGAGGAGAGGCTGACGAGGTCTTGAGCTTTCACAGCCCACGCGTACTCCTGGATTCACACCAGGCCCTGCAGCGTTCTAATTGTCGCAATCCGTAAATGAATGTGGAGAAAGAATCGCAGACAGAATTAAAAGTGTTATTGCATCGAAATCCACAGATTATTGGACAGGTTGAGGTTGGAGGTTGGGCGTGTCGTGGTGGTAGAAAGAGGAGGGCAACTTTTTGGGGTGATATCGTATCCCTTTAATCGTGGCATCAAGCCAGATCTTTTCCGCCGAGTCCCCCCTGACATGCATGCAGCTGAAGCTCCAGAGCTAGTCACGGCTGGAGGAGTCGGTCTACTTTTAGAATCACGAACAATTAATTTGGGGTCCATTCTATATTTAATGAACTGGCATTATACTACATTTATCAATCTACCTTTGCAAGAGTATTCCAGAAGAATGTACATCTTTCCATAAGGCTATTCTTCTGTGTTATATGTTTTTATAGGACCCAAATCGGCACTCTTAATTTAGAACCACGAAGTACAAATAGGGGAAAGCGTCTGCACACATCCCTGTTCGCTGAACAAGGCTGAAACATATCAGTTTGCTTTGATACATGAATACAGATTAATATTGTCGTATATCTAAAGTTGTTCACGTCGTGTCCACCAGCGAGGAACACCAAGGGTTATTCCCCCTCAGTTGAAATCCACTCGCAAATATTCTCGCGTGCCTTTTAAAACGCACCGGCTCGTACCACCAAAGTCTCGTGAACAAGAAGTTCAACCAAACCAAAAAACGAAAGCTCTACACACACATCTCATTACATTTGGATCAGCCCAAGGCATGGGAACAACTCACCCGGAGTCTTTGTAGTAATTCACAATTGCTCCCATCAGTACGCTATCTCCATCTTAACACCTGGTCGCGAATGGGCTGCTATTCCGCGGCTATCTCCATAGCTTTGCAGGAGATTCTTAGCCTGCATCTACCAGCTCTAGGGACCCTTTCGTTGCAGTCAGAGAAACTTGTTTGAGTGTTTAGGGAGTCAATCCCATGTTGCCGGTGCGCGAAATTTGTATTAAACATACATCACTCGAAGACGCCACTACCCAAGCACTTAAAAATGTCTCTTCTGAATTTGAAGTTACCCTAATTGATGCAGTAGGTTTCATCGCTTTCACGTTGGGATATATAATTCCTTTAACATCATCATTCGGTAACACGCAAGAACAAATTCCAGTCTATGTATCTACATCGGGACCTCTCCAAACACCCACCCCCCATCTACCTCTTCCCAATCTCTACCAAGCTAGTATCCATCTTTACCCCACTTGTTGTACTTCTCGTGCAGCTCCTAAACAGTCACAAGTTAGCATTTATTGCGTCTGCCAATGCATTTCCAATTGTCAGGTCTGCCCCTCAAAAGAATCTGCCCAATCCGCCCTTCCCATGCATTTCCACCACCCCAGGTCTGATGTTCTCCCATTCCCCAAAAAATATAACAGGACAGGGTCTTCATACCTTTGGCAAGTTGACATTGGGCACGATCACGCTGTGCAAGGCGCTTGGAGCGTCCTTGGGAGGGTTCTTCGGGTCGCCACCCTACGAAAATCATTAGCATAGGACACAATAACTTCTCCAGGACCAACAAAAACCAACCGGGTGATACTGGTATTTGAATTCTTCTCTAGCCTCGTCCCCTTTTGTGCTCTCCGTCTGCCATGGCATGCTACCCTTCGCAATATTGACCTTAGCCTCGGAAGTCGACGATGTAGGCTTGCGACCAAAGTAGAAACCCGCGAGGCCGAAAGCGCCAGACATGACTCCAAACAAGACCTATATACGCATCAACCATGCAGCGATTAGCTTATGACCCAGTCTCATTTCAATTGAAGCTGAAGGAGCAGGAGGGAATGGGAATGGCACATACAAACAGCTCGGGATCTCTGCGGGCTCCCTTGACAGAGACGTGGCCTGTGGCGGCCTTTGCGCCCTGCTGTGCGGCTTTTCCTATAGCTCCAGACATTGTGTTGTGATGTATTCGAGGGTGGTGGAATTGGATGTGGTGAGGTTCAATGGAAGTGGTTCGATTCGGCCATGGATGGAAGTTAGGTTGGATTGCTCGGCAGGATTTAAAGATCACGTGATCTGACCCGCCAAGTTGAGTTTCTGCCGAGCCAACGGCTCTGCAGTGGTGGGGGTCTGATCGTTTACACAACGCTATGCTATGATGGACTGGCTTTTGTACATCATAAATCATATGTTGCAGGTAATTGTATTAATATTGTAAGCCTCTGTGTAATACTTCTTCTATTTTCCTCCAATCAAAATCTCCTAAAATGGTTCTCAGTGCCTGGTACCTGCAGATTTTACACACACTTGTCAGAATATCAGAAACATTGCCCCCTTATTATTATGCAGGCCAATTATACACGTTATGCATTAATCTCCCCAAGTGGTCCTAATGCAGTAATCGAGGGACGGCCATGCCATGTCAGGACTGGCTGGATCGTAGTCGAACGCTCGGACTATTTCGTGCCCCCTTTGCAAAACTCCAGCTTCTTGCTTTTTGTGCCAGCGATGGTCCAAGCCAAACCTTACCTTCCCTTCCCTCACACCCACCCACTCACCCTCCTTGTAAAGCAAAAACAATTCAGATCTGGCATCATACTCTCCTTATTGTGACCACAGGTTCAACTCCTCTTCGCTGCACCACCACCATATTCACATTCATCCGTCCTTCTCTAGCCGCCCCTCACTTATGGAAATTTAATATCCCCCTTTGGCGCGCTAATCAACCACCATACGACGCTGGCACTCCAACACCACTTGATATGATTACTTGAGAGATGCGGGTTAAAGGAACGCACAGATAATACAAGGAAGAGGACGTTTATTCCTCCAGCGCTGCGATGGCGTCTCGAAATAATTCTGCCATGTCGCATTCCTCGGATACCGACAACTTCCCACATCAACATCTCGAGGCAGGCGATACTGAGAGTGTATTGTCATCGCGCATGACCGATATAGCCTCAGAAGATGGAGGAGATCGTGTCGCAGATTCTGCAGTCCGCCCAACCCCACAAGGCTACCGACGAGGCAGTGCCCAGGCTGGAGATGTGGGGTCGAGGCCGAGTACTGCTGTTACAGCAGTCTCGTCACAACAAAGGGCATGGTCCCAAGCACCTCCATCTCGAAGAGGACCTCCTCCCCTTGCACAACGGGGCAGCATATCTGGTTCGACTACATCTGGGGGTCGACCTACGAGCGCTACCAGTAGAACCCATGTTCCGTCACTCTCGTCCCACGCCTTTTTCCGTCCGATGAGCTCACAACGACTACAAGCGCAGAGAGGATCTCGACCATCATTGTTACAAAAAGCACCGACCAATGACGGCTCTGCCGAGGGCAACAATGGCGTAAGGAGGCAGAACAGTGTCACCTCGGATATGACAAGGCAGGAGGCACCCGAGGAACGTCCACCTTCGATAGGGACTGAAGTGTCGGAGATGACTGAGAGAGTGACAGCTAATACTAGCCCTACTCATGGATACACATCTACAAGTAGTCCTACTCAAGAACACAACACAACTGCAAGCCTTTCAGAGAGCGCGCGACCTTTACAAAGACCTGCAGGCAATACCAAGAAGCTTACTTTGAACGTGGATGGCAAACACAAAAGTGGCGGACTCCCTACACCTGCGAAATCTCCACGATCCTTTCGTTCTAGCTTCTTACTACCTACTCGAGGGGATGATACGAATAGCCCCAATCGTAGCTCAAAAGGGAGAGAAAAGCTATCTTCAGTAGCGTCATCACCAGGCTTGACTCCAACACATGTCTCGAAGCCGACTCCAAAGACGCCAAATCTTGGAAACAATTACCAATACTTTACCGGCAATACCCAATTCTTTTGGGGGGGACGATTACAAAATACTCGAGATAGACCTATCAGTATCGTCACCGGTTTCCTCGTGGTCCTGCCAGGAATCCTTTTCTTCATCTTTTCAGCGCCTTGGTTATGGCACAACATCTCACCCGCGATACCCATTGTATTTGCCTATGTGTATTATATCTGCTTATCTTCTTTCCTTCATGCATCACTTTCAGATCCAGGGGTAAGTCCCCGGTATCCACATGAACAACAAAAACTAACTTCTCCAGATTTTCCCCCGCAATCTCCATCCAATGCCACCCCCAGACGAGAATGAAGACCCCCTGGCTCTCGGCCCACCTCAAAGCGACTGGACCCTAATAAAATTCTACAAGAGCTCAGAATCAATGGAAGTGCCAACAAAATACTGCAAAACCTGCAATATCTGGCGCCCCCCACGCGCCCACCACTGTCGCGCATGCGACTCCTGCATCGAAACCCAAGATCACCACTGTGTATGGATCAACAACTGCGTAGGCCGCCGCAACTACCGCTATTTCTTCACCTTCCTTACTTCCGTTACCATTTTCGGTTGCTTAGTGCTCGGTTTTAGCCTTGCTCAAATCCTCTCTTACAAAAACTCCCAACATATCAGCTTCACCGATTCCATCTCACATTTCAGAGTCCCCTTCGCAATGTTGATCTACGCTGCTCTCACCACCCCATACCCGGCTTCGCTCTGGATCTATCACATATTTTTGATGGGACGTGGGGAGACGACGCGTGAATATCTAAATTCTCATAAATTCCTCAAGAAAGACCGCTACCGTGTTTTTACGCAAGGCAACGTTTTGAAGAACTGGCTTGTGGTACTTTGTCGGCCACGGCCGCCTAGTTATCTAGACTTCAAAAAGAGATACGAAGAGGGCGATCCGAGGTTTGGGGAGAAGAGGGGGAAGAAGACGGCGCCGGTCAAGGAGGAGTTTCAGGGAAAGGGGGTTGGGCCGGATGCTGCGATGGAGATGGGCGATGTGACGGGTGAGAGGGGATTTCAAGGACCGAGTGCCGTGAGGGCGGGTGTTAGATAGTGCGTGCGTGCTTTTTATACCATACATAATTTTCTCTTTTTGTGTTGAGCGTTTTAGCGGATGGATGGATGGACTGGGGTTGCCGGGGAGGAGGTGGGGTGGGGGCGGGAGATACCTTGTTTGGATAATCGGGGAAGATGGGGGGTAATGTGAAGTGATGTTAGTTTTATGACGTTAGCAGGATCAGGACTGGCTTTCTTGTACCATATCGTAGCATAATTATGTTGGACTAGAACTAGAGCGTAGGTATTATAGTATAATCGGTGGAGGAGTGGAAATTCTTTCTTATCCGAGAGTATGTGAAAGTGGTCTACGGATAAAGGTCTCGATTGTAATAGCATAATAAAGCTTTGCCACCAACCTTTGATCCGTAGATGATCTAGTACTGACATGGTGGTGGTTGTTCAGGCGATCAAATAAAATTTGACTTCCAAACCTACAGCATACCCAAAATCCTTCGTAGCAAACAATGCACTGTAATCGGCGAAGCCACTTGCTCACTGATGTAATTTCACAGGTCGACCCCTTTTCTTTGGCTTTTTGCACGCTTTCCCGTCGATCCTCTAAGACAGCGAAGTATTGGGGGTAATGTTTCGCGAACGATCACGGCTTGATTGACTGTCACCTTCCTCTGGAGACGCAGCATTATAACATGTATGCTTAGAGACATAGTGGCTTTCCAACCCCTGTGAAAGTCCAGATTCCCCTGGCTTACATTGCTGCGAGACCTGAAAATCTAAATCAGGCAGCATCTTATCGATAACTCTAAAGATCCTCTTAAGGTGAGTCGGTATCCATATGTCGTAGATATTCTTTTTAAACTTGTATGATGCCTATTTCTCCTTGCTATCCTTGCTAGTGAAGTCGAACTTTTCAACCAGGTAGCGGTAAAAGGTGGTTTTGTTTCCGTTGATCACAGGATAGTGACCATAGATTCTCACCGTCCGGTTATCGTGCGAGATTGAGTCTTCTTCATCCTTCATATTGGGATGCAATCAATGCTGTTCCCACATCATGAGAAAACCCTCCTCTTACATTTTCCACCCCCTTAGATTGATTTCCACTCGTAAAGCTGTTTGGGGTAACGGCCCCTTGCACCGTCAGCAACAAGGCTCTCGCCGGATGATGAAAGCCATGGCAATGCCCTTCTTTCGAAAGCAAAAGGATGACGGTTCGGGTAAGCTGGGGATTTCCAGTTCGAGTCCAAGAACGTGTTGCTCATTTCATACCACAGAGGAAGAAATTCCAGAAGAAGAGCTTTATCGATACACTCGATACCGGTGGCTGTACGACCCCCGACTTGTCTCGTATCATCAAATGAATTAACAACATCCAGGTGCAACGAAACTGAAAACCTTGCGATGCGTTATCGCAAATTCAAAGTATCGGCCCTTGTAGATGCCGCCGTCAACGCTGTTGGCGACGATGCTACATCTTGTAAGGTTATATTTTCATCGATCCCGAAGCTGCGGTCGTTTAGAATCGAACCTAATATTGCTACGATCTCAGGTGTGAAGCTACTGAAATGCACCGAAGGTCAATACAACAAGGCATTTCTTATGACTATGGATAATGGAGCAGAGGTTCTGGCAAAGATTCCTAATCCGAACGCTGGTCCGGCTTTCTATACGACTGCCTCTGAGGTTGCTACACGACATTTTGTATGTGATTCATCACGCTGGCGTTGGTGATGAAGTTCTGATGGTCTGTTTTAGCTACGTACAGTCTTGAAGTTACCCGTCCCACGCATATACGCATATTCTGCAGATCCCCTCAATCCAGTCGGTTCCGAGTACATTATTGAGGAGAAAGCAGGAGGCAAACCACTAGGGAGTCTTTGGTATCAGTGGCAACCAGAATCTCGACTCGATCTTGTGACTCAGCTCGTTGAATTTGAGACAAAGCTAGCGTCGATTTCATTTCAGAGACACGGTTGCATCTACTATAAGAAGGATCTGGAAAAGAAAGGTCTTCCGCCCTATGAACTAGAAGCTAGGTCTTTATCATCTGATGGTCCGACGACGCGGCTCAACTTTGTGCTAACAGAGGGGTTTGCATTTGGGCCTTTGACTGAAGCAAGATTATGGGAACGCGAAAGAGCGACGATGAATTTAGATCGAGGTCCTTGTAAGTTATCTACGTCCCTTTGAGATAAGTAGTCTGCTGACATCACAAGGGAACACTCCTTCATCCTACATGGCAGCTATGGGAATCAACGAGATACAATGGGCGACGGCATACGCAAAACCCCAAATCAACGATTACCCATCTAATGAAACGCCCGACTCTCCCGAGGACTACATTTCACTATTGGAACGGTACCTTCAACTCGCCCCCCACCTGTCGCCTGGTCCTTTCCGAACATCGCTCTCGCACCCAGACCTTCACCTCGATAACATATTCGTTGATCCAGACACAAAGAAAATAACTTGCATTATTGACTGGCAATCGGCTTCGGTATCTGAGCCTTTCTTCCAGCCTAGTATTCCGCGTATGCTTATCCCAGTCGGCTCTTGCTCCCCTGGTGAACGATTGGAGGCTGCGTTAGAAAAACCTAATGCAAGAGAAGACTCCAGTGGGACTCTGGATCTGCTCAGCCATTATCAAAAGCTTAGCAGGCTTACGAATGAACAACGGTGGGCCGCGATCAATCTACACAATCGTTCGCTCCTGACCGAACCTGTATCTTTGATCTGTGGCGCGTGGAGCAGGAATGATATATTTTCTTTTCGTCACGCCTTGATACACGTCGTTGCTCGATGGAACGAAGTCGCGACGGCCTCGACGCCCTGTCCTATCCAATTTACGGAGCGCGAACTAAAGCTTCACAGCGATCAATTAGAGCTTGCAGAAGGTCTTGGAGAAGTCCTGCACCAACTTCAGAACGATAACCTGATCCCACTAGGCGGCATGGTTCTTCGAGGAAACTACGAGCAGGCTATGCATATCAACAATAACGTTAGGAAGATGTTTATCGATATGGCTGAGTCAGAGTCGCAGAGAATTCTCTACTCACAAATTTGGCCCTATCAAGACCGAGATTCGTGAAGATATGATTTGAGTTGTCACGATGTGTTTCAGGTCGAGCAAACAAAAAGGGTAGCATAGTCTGCGACAAATTCATAAGTCAAATTGTCAACACCAGCTATTTAAAGTGCACTCTGCCAGTCGGCTGCTTTAGCCTCTATTCCTCTCAACTGGAGATGCCTAAAATATATGCTATTAATATTAAGATATTAAAAGTCTTTATTGCGATACTTGAATTGCATCGCGAACCGCATCACGACCTTTCTAGTCTTGTGACCTAACGTAGCTTAGTCAGCCAAGAGGCATAACCTCTTCGCGTCTACACCACCATGAATGCTAAGCAACATCAACCAGTATCAAGTCTACTTCGTAGTATAGAGAAGTGATCACGGATATCAAACCTGTGATACCAACAGTTCTTAATAGAATATTTATCTTATATCTTAATATAATAGATTTCGAATCATCGGTGAGGTGTTTGGGTATCCTATATGCAAAGCGAGGAAGAAGGCTTCCACTTTATCCTACAAGTGAAACAAAAAGTCTATCAAAAAACGCCCCCGCTCAAAACAAATCCTATGCATCCGTCCTTGCTTCTAGGTATTCATCCCACGGCCTCCACTCTTGCGTGTCATAAGTATGCATACACTTCACCTTCTTTGGTGGTTTCGCCTTCCACTCGATCCTATCATTCCCTTCTCCCATAAGTAAAAGCCCCGCCACATCTCCCTTCCCCTTCTTCACTTCCCGCGCCCTATCATCCGAGTACGCAAGGTTCACAGAAGGAACCACCGCGATCTTCCCATACCCCAAATGCCACATTTCCTTGCTAAAAATCTGTGGCTCGCCTTGAAAACACTCTCCCTCCTTCGAATCCCGAAACCTGATCTTTCGTTCAAGCAAGGGCTTTGCATTGAAAACAGCACCGCCGTTCCAGCACGCAAATACTTGAAATGGCTGGAGGTTATCGAAGCGATCTTGCGTGGGCTGATCATTCCAGAAAAGATTCCACGCATCATCCCAACTTCCATCAGGAGGTATCTCGAAAAAGCTGTCACCGTTCATGCCGCGCGCAACCCAAACATCGTAGAACGTGGGGTCGCGCCACAGATTCACCCAGTCCATCCCACACGTCATATCTGCTTTTTGGTACACGCGCTGGTGTATCAACTCAAGGATATCTTCCATACACAACGATACGTCGTTGAGAAATACCACGGTGGTGTCGTTCGTGCTGTACTGGTCGGAATGCTTGATCATAGGCTCTAGAGCCTCGTTGCGGAGATCGGCTAGCCTTGCTATTCGGGCTCCGGGGCTGGCTAGTGGATCCTTGTCGTCTGATTTGAGGGTGTAATCTATTCCTGCATTTTTCAGAACGCTGCTCAGCGCTTCCAGAACTTCAAGGGTTCCGTCATCAGATCGCCCTTCCACGATTGATAAGGCACATTGTGCAGGTCCGAGGAACCGTATGGCCTCGACGATCGATCCTAGGAGCCGGGGAAGAATGTGAATACTGTCATGCAGATTTACAGCGAAAAAGTACCGTCGTTGCTTTCCCAAGGATGTGGAGTTGGACGGGGTGCGAAGATATTCATATCGACCCTGAGTAGGAACAGGACATTCTAATCTGGGAAAACTCGTGTCGTCCGGTGTCATGATAGCTTTTACATAAGTTGGAGCGGCTTGAATGAGGGTGATGTTGCCACCTTCTTTCACCGGCGGATCGACCTCAATCAGCGTGACATTGACATCCTTTATCGCTGGAGTCTCTGCACTCAAACTAGGATCACTTTCTGCTGTAATATTGGGTTAGCATTTGTAACAAAAGTAGAACTACAGATTTTACCTACTTGCAACACCATTCCAGGCCGCAAGGTCATCACTGGGCACCGGTCTGCCAAAAGGAGAGGTCGTCAGAAGCCCCAGGTGAAGGGAGATAAGAACAATCGCTAGGACCAAAAAAGCAAGCTGAGCGACTCTATAGAGACTGAAGATGCGAAAACGACGAAAACTAAACATTTTGTACCAGAAGATTATAAACAATCGAAATCATACCTCTCCATGTAGTATTTGTGAGATGGAAAGCTAGCGTTGGTGAGATAAAAAGAAGAGTGAAATTCAACCCGTGTGGAGATGTAATTTCTAGGCTAATTTCTCTTGTCAGCAGCCAAGCGTGGAGATACGTACCACTACCGACAAGGCTGACCAATGAGCAGGGGTTATTTTGGTGGGCAGCGGGATCTCCAAGAGCATGGAAGCGAGTTTTATATTTTACCCCTGATGCAATCCTACGCATGCAGCCACGCACGCCACATAAAACAGCAATTAATAGCGACCGATTCCAATAATAGATGAATAGGGGCTAGTAGATATCTTGAAACGCATATCACGTGCTAAGTACCTCTGATTAGTTCGCGGGGAAAATATCCCCTGGAAAGGATCTACTCGCTTTTTTTTAAGTCTGAAACTGGGTCCTTCTAGCGTGGAAAGGACAGATCCTCCACTTATAACTGGCTCTTTACCCTAGCATAGATCTGCATTGCAGCAAGAAAGACGAAAGTTAAAGCTCTCAAATTGATGCTCGTGTTCAAAGAGATTGGCTCCATCCAAGCCTCTGAATGGTCACAACAGCAGGTAATGTGGAGCAAAAATGGACCCAGTTTCAGACTTCAAAAAAAAGAGTGAGTAAACTTCTGACAAGTAGGATGACGTAGTGTTCTAAAACGTACGCTAGAGCTAGGTATATCGAGATGTATTTATATTTATATTTTCACTTCCCCTCGACTCTTCTTTGGAGGGCAATGAAAGCCAATCGCCAAGGCGAACATTATTCGAAGCTTTTGCAGCTTATATCAATCAAACCTACGAAGGTAGAACTCGATACGACAGTGCAACATAGTTACACAATGAGAATCCAATGGCGACCGCGGCAGCCTTAAACCTGCGAGTTTAATACTTGAGAATGAGAGCTTCCCCAATGGCTCTGTCATGGACGATTGTATCGGCTTCAGAAATTAAGGTTCTTGGCTCGAAAACGGCGAAGATATTGGGTGGTTGATGTTGGGATTCAGGTTCACATCCTACTTGGCCATCATACATCGGAATGTCTATTCTAGTTCCGGCGTTGAGGCTCTTTTGTACCTCAAACTTGTTTGAAACTGTTTCCTGTCAAAATGTATATTTGTCACAGTTTGGTACAGTATTAATACTAGGGTCTTATTGACTAAGAAAACTACAAGGAGAAAAGCTAGAAGTATAGAGGTGGGAAGTTGGGGATAACCTCAAGAGCACGAACCATGTCCCTAAGCGAGTCGATCCGTAACGTGACAATATTCTGATGATCAGCATAACCAGAACTTTCCTTCTCACCTCGCAGTAGACAAAAAAGAGCGGGACTTATTATTATAGTATCGACTTTTGATGTCCCACGTAATATGACATATTATACACAAATGCTGCTTTCCTGACCATCACAAGCCTCCTAACATCCCTCAAACAGCCTTCTTCGCGCCCATAACCAACCGCTTCAACCTAACCAGCCCAAACATCCTCGGCATGACCAAATCAAAAACCCACCCCCCCAATCCAGCCCTGCACAAACCTAATCAACCTCGCTCTATTCCCCTCCCAAAACCACTTCTTCGGACACTCCCTCAACGCTTCCCTAACCACCCTCTCAGCATAAACCCCCGCATCCATCGCCCCCTCCTGACTATGCGTCAGCCGCCTCTGAAACTCCTTCTCAACATCCATATACAGACTCCCTTCCGGCAGCTCCCTGTGCGTCCTCGCAATACGACTTCTCACCCCACCAGTTACCACAACCATGACGCGCACTCCATACGGCTCCAGCTCCACGCGCAGCGTGTTTGACCACGAGTGCAGCGCCGCCTTGGACGCGCCGTACACGGACCCGAATGCATACGGCACGATGGCGGCTACGGAGCCGATGTTAAGGATTAGGGACGGGGAGGAGGATATTAGCAGGGGCGTGAATGTTTGGGTTAGCGCGATGATGGAGAAGAAGTTTGTTTCGAAGGTGTGGCGCGCTTCGTCGAGGGGGACGTCGAGGGCGGGGAGGGTGAGGTTGCGGCCGCTGGGAAAGTTAGCTCTTATTCTCCCATCTGAGTTCAGATACCGGACTCGAGTAATGCATGACGGTTCTGTGGCTTGCTTTTCCTGTGCACCGTGAGGACGTTGGGAGGGCATACGCGTTATTAACCAGAATATCCAAACCCCCGCCCGTCAACGCCTCCACGTCCACCTTCGCAGCCTCTATACTGGCGCTATCCGTCACGTCCAGCGCAAGCGTCGACATGCCCATCTCCGAAAGATCTGTGATCTGACCGAGGTTTCGGGCCGTGGCTATGACATGGAGACCTGAGCCGGATTAGTACAGTACAGTATAGTATACGTGAGTAAGGGTTTGTTGAGAGGGCGTGAATGAGAGATTTATTTATTACCTTTCGAGTGGAATTCCCTCGCCATTGCATTTCCGATTCCTCCGGGTGCACAGCTGTGTATACATATGTCAGTATGAAATTCTCAATGGATGGTGTACAAGTTTTGACCGGATGAGAGGAGATGAGATATATACCCCGTGATCAACACGCTCTTTCTTCCATTAGCCGCGGACATGGTGGACCAGGTCTTCCTTTCCTCTTGACTTTATTAGACGATTGAAGAATTGGGTTTCTGTATTGAGTGTACCAATCACAATTGAGATAGTGGAGAGGGGAGCTCGTCTGCTCAGAGATGAGACGTCGACGTCGTTGTCTCAGCCTCGCGATTTTCTACTCCGTACCGAGCCGAGGCACGGGGCACGTCAGCTTTCTATCTGTATCCGTCTGATAAGCAGCCCCTAAAGTGGATACGAAATACCCGAGTAGACTGAGGATTAAAATTTCCATTTCCCTGGTTCCGATTAAGTTTGCGGATGTGAACAACTACTACTTGAACCTGAGCTAAGCTAAGGGTGAGCATATATAAGCCAAGGACCTACCCCCCAGCCGGACGTCCTTTTCTTTAGATCCCTCCATACCAGGAACAGGCAATACAATAAAGGACAAATGGACTCCTACCCCCATTTGCTCGTTTTCAAACTCAAATTCATCGCTCACGCTGCTGGATTTGGAATCAAAGTCGTTATCGGAGCCGGGCTAGAGACGGCGGATTGGGATATAATGCTTAGGTGAGGTGAGATCTTGTAATATCGAAATGATATAACTTACTATACACTGCAAGCCCTTGCGTATCTTTATTTCGCTCTACATTTTCCCCTTCACCTAATAACTCGTGTATTCAAATCCACCGAAACTTCCACTTTCAGCAAGTATCGGTGCAGCACTGGGAGGTTTGTCCCAGGCTCCCAGCACCGGATTCGGGATCGCGGGCCGGAGGTATGGCGCAACAGCCTATTAGAGGTAGGATAATAAGCTCTGTACCTAGGTAGGAATTAATGATGAATAGAAGCTTATCCCTCCTTTTAACGAACGCAATCGCCGTGACTTTGAGTGTGCTCGCGAGCGAGGATAAGGAAGAATATGACGATGTCTGTATTATATGATATGTAGGAGGATACGGAGATCGTCATATCCCCTGAATCTCGACCCTTGACTTTACTTTAACTAGGTACGCATGGGTATCCCCCATACCTTTCGTTTCCCCTACTCACACACACACAAAAATGCACAAATAAAAAATCAAGTTCTATTGATCTCCTAATCGAATAAAACTCAATTTATCCTATCCAATCCATTAACCTAACCCCCCTCCCCCTACACTCCTTTCACCTCTAAACATATTCAAATACCTCCACTCCATTTCATCTCCAACCAAGCAACTATGACAAAAGAAACAAAAATCCCATTCTCAAGCAAACGGGGGAAGAAAAAAGGGGGGGAGTCAAGACTCAAGAAGCGAAAATTGTATGCTATGTAATGAATGTGCGATATCGAGGTTACTGGCCATGGTGTTTCCACCCATAATCACCGCCTTGGGGCGTATGCTGATGACCAGGGAAGCCCATTATGAGGCTACCCGGGGTAGGCTGTGGCTGTGGCTGTTGCACCGTTTTTGGAAGAGGCCGATGTGATGAGTGTTGAAGTGACTGTGGATGTTAGTTACCGTGGATGTGATTAGAAGAACAGGACGGGAAGTAGAACAGGAAAACTTACTCGGGTAAGTAGGTGGTGGTGGGGGAGTGTAATAACTCTCAGCTGAAGTCGTCGTCGTCGAAGCTCCACCTTCACCCTCGGTACAAGTATCGGTTGGCTCTGAGCTTGAGCTTACAGCGCCGCTGTAGATCGATGAAGCAGAAGTTGAGAAAGTACTGGTCTCGGTGATCGATGAAGAAGAGCTTGTGAGGGTACTGCTCCCGGTAGCCCCCGCCGCCGCCGTCGAGTTCGATGCTGGGTATGGCACACTCGATGTAGCCGTGGTAGCGTACGACGAGAGCGGTGTGCTTGTGCTCGTATAAACAGTAGTCGACGACTCATACGTGAAGCTGCTTTGCGTCGATGATGTCGAGTTGGCAGTACCAGTAGACCCGTCTACCGTGGAGCTCGAAGCCGATGGGTATGTGTACGCAGCATATGACGAGGCCCCCACACCGCTATCTGCTGTAGACGACGTAGGACTCCCTGTCCCCGTGGCCCCAACACTGCTCGTGGAATTCGACGCTGTTGGGTAAGGTGCGCTTGAGTATCCGACGGATGAGGATACGGTGCCCGACACCGTGCTTGAGTGATAATGATAGGGCTTGGTTGTGCTGCCTGTCAAGCTGCCAGTTCCTGTAGCCCCAGCAGCGCTTGTGGAATTCGACGCCGTTGGGTATGGGTAAGGCGCGCTTGAGTATTCCGTGGATGAGGATATGCCGCCCGAGACCGACACAGTGCTTGAGTGGTGATGATGAGGCTTAGTCTTGCTGCTTGTCGAGTTGTAGGCTGGGTCACCAGCGCTTGAACTGGAAATGGACGTTGCTGTTCCACCAGCAGATGAATAGACAGATGTGACGCTCCCTGGGACTGTCGGGCCAAGCGAGGACGTCGAGTTCGCGGGTATTGGATATGGTGCCGTGCTCTTGACTGTCGACGAGATTACACTCCAAGACACAGAAGATGAGGCAGGCAGAGGTACAGTGCCAACTGAAGTCGGGTAGCCACCGGGGCCTGTTGAGAGAGCCGCTGATTCCGATGTCGAATTGGAAGTTGGGTACGCGTACGGAGCCGAAGAGGATTCGGAAGATGAAGTGATGACCCCAGAGACAACACCCGTACCAGTGGACAATATGACACTGGAGCAGGTCCCAGTGAAACTATACTTAGTTCGAGTCTTTGATTTCGTATGGTTCCTCGAAGCGTAACCAGTAATTGATGAGCTTACGCTTCCAGTAGGCAAGATTGTGACCGTTGCGTTTGAAACCGTATAAGGAGCGGAAATTGTCCCTGCACTGCTTTCAGATGCACCAGTGCTCAGTGGAAATGAGCTTGAGCTCGTGCCTGAAGTAGGGAAGCTCGCCGTCGTTGAGTTGGGGAAACCGTAGGGAGCTGATGAAGAAGTCACGGCCCCAGATGAAACTCCTGTACCAGTTACTCCGCCCACTGTGCCAGAAGAGCTGGGAATCTCGCTAGATGTGGAATTGTCATACGGCGCGGAGCTGGTCAAAGATGATGGATACAAAGAGCTTGAGAATGAGCCGGGCACCGTCACCGTGGTAGTCTGATAAACAGTTATTCGGGTTGTCGTTGTGATGTCTGGAGCGCTTGCAGAATTCGAGTTGCTTACCAAAGATTCTGAACTGCTGTATGCTGTCACAGAGACTGAAGTTGTCACATGCACAGTGGTGGTGGCACTACCACTGCTGGGATCCGGGTAGCCGTTTATACTAGACGAACTGGCAATGGATGCAGTAGATGTATGAATACAAGAGCAAGCCGACGAGATCTTCCAAGGGTCATCATGACAATTCGAGACAAAGTTCGGCAGGGCGGTTGTATTGGGGTAGCTGCCAGCTGTATACGATGCGCAAAATTCTGATCCGAGAGATGAGACACCGATGATCTGACGAAGACAATTGTTGTGATGGCAGTCATGTGGCTTAGTCGTGGGTGTAGGGGGAATATATATTGATGTTGCTGATGGAACATAAATATCCGAGGTTGAGGGTATCGAGGCGGTGGAAGACCCAGCAGTGATTGACCCGGAAGACGAAGCAGGGTCAGTACCAGACACGATATACGAATATGAAGCCGACGACAGGGCAGTAGAGGCTACGCTCGGGATGTAGCTTTCAGAAGTAGCAACAGAAGAAGCTAAACGGTGTCAGTTAGCTGCCAAACAGTAGGGATTAAGTTCACTTACGGATATACGCCGAATCAGAACTGGATGTGGTTTCACCCGAGGCTTCGGAGGTCTCAGATGTAGAGGACGACAAAGTAGAGCTAGACGTGCTCTTGATTGTCGGGGACGGACCGTAACCGCCATAGTTATATCCTCCATTTCCGAGAGTTGAAGTATATACCCCATAGGTTGGAGGTGCATAATCGTTATCCTTTCGAGCTTTGAGCCATGGAGCAGCTTGGGTAGCTGGAATTAAGGCTAGCAGAATTGAAGTGGACGCAATGCCAATGTTCAGAGTTGTGATTCTCATGTTTAACTGATAGCACAAGTTAATATACGCATGTATGATAGGAACACTTGAAATAGGAGAGCTTTTCGGTGCTTTAAAAATGGAGTGATAGAATGGAACAAGTAGAAAAACTTACGGAAAGTCTTCAAATGGATTTGGATTTCTTAATTAGTGCCACAAGAAAGTGAAATGCTGTCAAAGCAGGTAAGATGTGACGAAAGGCAACTGATCTGTTAGTCGTTCATGAAAAACGTCACGACGACCAGCACGAGAAGACAAATGAGTGTCGATGAAGAAGGTTAAGGAGAAGAGAGTCAAAAGAGAGCGGATGGAGAGGAATATGAAATATATGAACGTTCCAAGAAGAAGTGCTATTGAATAGCACCGGAATCACCTGGCCCACTCCCTTCCCGTTCCCAGATACCAGAGCATCATATCAGAAGCCTTTTTTTTCATTTGCTTCATCAAAGGGGGTGAGAATTTAGCCAACCAAGATTGAAATAACCGGTAGTTGGATTCCATCATAAACTTAGTACACACTTTTTCATGGGTTTCCTAGTACTTGCGCAATATGCTTATGGCAGGTACCCGTTTTGTGACTACTGCACAGTTGAGATGGCAGCGAGCTTTCCATGGAACAAAAACCAATTACTGCAGAAACCTGTACAATCATAATCCAAGTACATGCTCAAGTAATGGGAACATCGCAGAAGCGACGCTGTACAGTAGAATTTCTCCAGCTCTCGATAGTGTTCGAGTAGCACTTGCCGAGGAACCATGCATACTTACCAATCTGACGAGACAGGGGTAGCGTGCGGCTTTCCGTTGCATATGGGATTGATATGCTTGTTCCTGCATTTTGGGTCGATGCCAGTTCGATTTAATTGTGATCGCTCGATTAAAAGTTAACAGTTCAGTTGATTGAGTTCAAGCCATGTTTCGTCTAAACAGCACGTTGCTTAGCGCAGAAACTGCATGCAAGCTAGGTATTTGTGTATGCGACAGCACATGCCTAAGGTCAGCAATAATTTCAAGCCAGGAGAAGTGTTCATCTGATCTGACCTACTAGACTTAGGAGAGGAGAGGAGAGGAACCCCGCCTCGTGAAACTCACGAGCCGCTAACCTGCATATACACACTGTGACAGCCGCGAGAAGTCCTACCGGACCGCAGTCATGCTGCAAACGCACCGTTGGCTGCGGCTACCGACTTAATATCTCGAGGAAATACTCCGTTTGATTGGTAGATGCCAAAGTGGCATTTGCAGCGGTTGTCTGGATCTCCGCTTTCACTGCAGCTGGAGACGCACCTGATGCTGTGCTGTCTTCTTTGGGTTCATTAGAGTTTCTTAGACTTGATGGATTCACGACTTTGCAAAGGCAATGCTGTGAGCTGTGCGCGTCCAAATCACACGATCTTAATGCAACGTTTGCATTATCTAGATCGTGATGCAAGATGATGATACCCAAGAACCGAAAATGGCACCGCCTACTTGATATCGCCGAGTACGGTTGTGGTCATCATGAGTTTGCCATGCAATAGGTTGGATAAAAACAGTGATATTTCCTGTCATAAACGTTCGTTGATTCCCATTTCCCGTTCCCGTCCTCAGACGCCACGCTGCGAAGCTCATTCAACAAACGAATTACGAATTGTAAAAGGAAAAGTGGACTCGAACCGACAAGTTGAAGATGTGGCGGCTGGAAGAACTCGAAAAAGTAACACTCGTGCCTTGGAAGCAAGTCTGTATGTAACGACGCGATCGGATGATGGTAGTACAATCGAGTCTACATCTCGGGTGGCTACAGTCTATACTTAAGCGGCCTTCTTAGATTCATCCCGAGTTTTTGGGCTCTGCATCTCGGTCATTGAAGTATTATTGCTTTCAATACTGTCCAGCCAATTAGAAGGGGGTTTCCATGGAAAAAGAGGGGGAAAAGCAATAAATGTGACTTACTCGGCTGCCCACAGGGCTGCACCAACTGTGAGTTGTCAGTAATGGGGATCAATTGTGGTGAAAAAGACTCATACCAGTGTTGGTGAAGGCGAAGAGAATTGATGCAATGGGGATCAACTCAAGGAGAGTGGCAATTGTTCCGAATCTATTTGGTGTCAGGTGGTTATAATGTAGCGCATTGTGGAGACGCATTAATGGCGGGGGGGGGGGTTCAGGGCGACGGAACCAGTATACAAGCACCGGTATAGAACATTCTCTTTCTCCGACAGCCACATCCACGCTGCATGGTGGCGCATCTTGGCGCATCTTGGCCGTCCGAGCACTTGTTCAGATATAGTGTTCGACACGTGGTGGATATTGAAGTCGCCTTGAATGAGACACGGAATGAGAGTTAAACTTACGCGGTGTAAGGAGCCGTGTTCTCCTTGAGCCACTGCTCTCTCTGCGAGTTGGACCAGTTCTTCAGTTGAAAGTACTTTGGCAAGGTCAGCAACCGCGACTTTACAGCAAGGAAATTTGTGGCTTACGCGGGTGTGCACAGCATTTCCTCTAGCCTTTCCCTGCAACAGGACAAATATGACAGTGCCCACAACCGGGATGAAATTCAAGGGCAGATACATGACGTATCGGATTAAGGCTGTAGGCGTGAACTTCTCAAACGGACTCTTAATTAACTTTCCCAGCTTCGCAATCGGATCATTGAAATTGCCGGCCTTCAACTGACGGCCCTCGGACAAGACTCCAGTCTGCTTCTTCGCAACCAACACACCGTCAAATGTATCCACCAATGCGTCTTGGATGAGGAAGTTCTTCGAGAGGAGGGTTATGATAGTAGAGGATTCGGACAGCGTGAGCAGGATGGTGGTGATGGCTGCGAGGGGTCCATTGACGACGGACAGCACAGCTGCTTGGGGTAGGTAAGTGAAAACGAACATGAAGGATATGACACCCAAGGAGAGGGTCATGGTAGGAGCGAGTTTCGAGAGGAGGGGCTTCCATAACGAGCGGTGGGAAAGGAAGTAAAAGATTCCCTGAAGGGAGTCAGTCAAGTGCCTCTGAGAGCGTCAACTGGATGGAGGATGATGGTGTACTTTGATGGGATAAAGGTATGCTCCGGATCTAGCAGCAGATTGTGCCAGTGCCTTTGCCTTGTTGAAGTCCTCGACGCTGTAGATTTGGATTTTAGATTAGTACACAAATGTATTGCCGTAACAGACAGAGGGGTCGTAAAGCACTCACGCAACCTCCTTGGCCTTGGTCTTCGCGCTGTCGATAGAGCTTGACATATTGGATGATGAGGGGAGAATGATTTGATATCAAGAGGGGTTGGAAGAGATTATTCGGGGAGAAAGTTCTTTGGTGTTTTGGTTTCTGGGATTATGGAGGGTTTTGTACTTGTGGGGGTTTTTTGAAAGTGATCATATCATCATCCGCCTCCCTTCCCGCTCCAAGCAAGCAAGACATTGTGCATACCAAAGTATTTCTTGTCAGGAATGAGCTAGTGGAGCTCTTAAGCCGGTGATGTCATGGCCGCTAGGCTAGGCTAGGTACACTGGACGGGTAGCTTTAGCGATAGATCCTCGTGATTCAGGGGTGGCAGGGTCACGAGACCATGCAATTTGAACCTTACCTTCGCCTCTTTAACCTCCATTCCATCCTCAGCTTCAGAAGTAATCTTCCATGGCATAGCCTAAGGTAGTCATCTATGGCCAGTCACGATGTGTTGTTATATATTTGCGTGTCATGTGGAAAGAATCTCATCATCATTAGTGTTGCTCGCAAGCGCAGATGCACGTTGGATTTATGAGATGCGAAAGCAGGCGCGGCTGAGTATGTTGATTCCAAAGGGCACATCAAGCGACGTCGAGATCCTCCTAATCAATGGTTGGTCACACCTTCAACTTCACCTTCGTCGTCTTGTCATTTTGTTTCTTGCTTTCCAATTGAGCTTTACAGCCTGTATGTATATGGAGTCAAGTCTCTGGTGACATTATCCGACAAACAAGGCAGGCAAATGCACGTGATAGGCATCACTCCAATGTCTGATGGTGTATCACCATTAGTCCGGCTTCCATAACATTTGGTGGTAGGACCAATTAACATTGTGCTGCGTATCATGTGTTTTCGTGTTCTTTTCGCGCAAGGGGCCTTTCCATCGCTCCTTGGAAGCTTGGAAGCTTCTATATGTGTAAACAGATTCCACTTCACTCTGCTGCATCATCGGTGCAAACAAGCATCTTCTATTCATTATTCACATTCACATTCCCAAGCCACCTAGCATAGCATAGAATAGCAAATCTTAGATACGCAATATCAGTCTCGAGCTCCCACGACGATGGCCTCTGCTTTGGACCAGATAAAACCAGCTGTCAATGGATACGTGTGTACTGCTGTGGGAGGGAACATCCCAATACTGGATCGATGGATGGATATAATGAGCCAAGTCATGCAACCAGCAGGATTGAATGAACGACACGATCGAGCTAGTAGGAATAAGTGGGGAACTGGAAAGGAGAGGGGTGCGATGGCAAGCGAAGGAAGGGGAAAGAAAGTCGTCATTCAATTTCCTGGATTGAATAACACATTCACCTGCTCCTATTGTTGTCATCATTCTTTTTGCTGTCGTCATTATTCTTGTTGTCATCATTGTCATTGCTGTCAATCCCATTCAGACGGTCATGCCTCCTCGCTCTTCCCATCCAAAGGGGATCCCGGCATCGGTGAATGTTCCTCCCTCCGAACTTCTTCTGAACCTCTCATCTCCTCCCGACCTCCCTCCCGACCATCTTCCAACATCCACAACAGTCTTGTAACACCACTCTGTCTACCTTCCACCATCGAACAGCGAGTACAGTATATCCCGAGGAGACGTGTCCTGGTATTCGACTCGAAGCATTGGTTGAAGTCTGATAGAGCCTTGCATCTACTCGAGCACCACAATGGCTGACGAGTTGCCGACCATGAAGAACCTGTTCCCAGAGTGGTATGCGTTTCAAGCTGTCGAGTGGAATGTCAATGAGCTCAAGGATAAACGATGCAGCTTGATCAAGAAAAAGGTATATCTCCATCCCAACAGCCATCTGCTCTTGCTAACTTCGTTCCCTACAGCTCAACAGGCTGGAGATTGAAGAGCAATTGGGCCATAGTGCCGATACCATCCTAGCTCAGATCGAGCAGCTCGCATGTGATAAAGAGATCCGCCTCAGAGCGCTACAAAACAAGATGACCGACGCCCTCGCCCATCTTGACAAGTTGAAAGTCAAGGCCAAGGCCCGTCTCCTGCAACTAGGCGCGCTACAGCGTCCAAGTCGGGAAATGGATTGGGAACGTGACACTGATTCGGGAGAGGGCTACGTTGTTGAAACCGGATTTGAACAACGTAAGTAGCTCGCGAATCGTGTTACTCTCAAACTGACAGGTTCGAAGAGATAGGTGAAGCTGAGGATGCTCTGTCAAAGGTCCAAGCAGAGATCGGAATGCAATTCACTCGAGAGGTGATTATGACGAGCAAAGTCCATCATGCTGTCACGGCTTTGGCGATTGACAGCAATTTTGACCCCGAGACGACTGTCAAATGGCTTGAAACTACCAACAAGAATGGTCTGGAGATACAATATGGCCACCGGCTGTACACAAACACCCGTGCTGCCAGAGAATACATGACTCACCTGCTTAAGCAAGCTATCCGGAAGCAGGAAGAGGAAGAGGAGGAGCGAGCGGCAGTCTTGGCGGGCCTGGAACTGAAGCAACAATACGAGTTGGCCAAATTGCAAGAAATGCACAAGAACGAGCTTCAGAGAGCCTTGGCTAGAAGTCTCTGGGGTACCTCGGGTCTTTTGTTACACAACAATCCAAAGCCCGAAACGTCATCCACCAGCCCGGTTTCTAATGCCAGCAACTGGACCCCGTCATTCAAATCCATTGAAACCATTTGTGATCATTGTGAGCGACCTGGACACGAGACGGAAGATTGTTGGGAACTTCATCCGGACGGCAGACGCCAGGCATACAAGAATTTGAAGACTCGTGTATGCAACATATGCAAGCGAGCCCATGATAAGAATTGCTTCGAGAGTTTCCCAGAGAAGCGTGCCGCATATTGGAAGTGGAGTGGACGAGGATTGTCGAAATGATGATGTATCCACTGGAGGTGAATGTTGGGCGCAGGGCGACAATTAAGTTATAGCAATTGACATGCATCTGTCTTCTGATTCCTGCCTTTTCGTTCCTTGATCCTCACTCCTCACTCCTAGCTCCTTGTATCTCCCATCATCTTCCAAACACTCTCCCACCTATCCCATCACCCCTTCAACCGAACCCCAACTTCCAAACAACTAACCCTCCTAACCCTACTCCCCTCTTCCCCCCCTCCCTCAACCAGCACAACATCATCCACAGCCCCCACACTCCCCGTCCTTACCCTCACCAC